TCCTGACAACCGGGTGCGGACATGGTGATCACGACAAGGAACATTGTTTCCAGGAAGGCGGGGGGATGGCAGGACAGGCACCTTGGCAAAAGAGGAAGAAGGAGACAGCAGTGGTCGCATCAGGGACTTCTCATACTCCCTCCACGCTGTTATTGGACTCACCACCTGTCACTACAGCCACCACAGCGCTGGCCACACACACATGTGATCTTTCATGCGCAAGCATCGAGCACCTCGACGACGTCTCAGCTCATGCCCATGCATTGTCCACCATCCTGGACTCCGGCACTACCAGCACCCTCATCAGCGACCGCAGCATGTTTTGGACATATTCCACTCAGGACCCCATTATCGTCAAAACGGCGAACCATGGGTCACTTCATACTTCCGGTCATGGTGATTGCATTGCATGGCTCAAAATTGGCGGTACCCGACATCATGTGTGATTTTCAAACTGCCTTCATGCGCCCGGGGTGATGCTGAATCTTCTCTCTGTCGGCTGGATGCTAGCTAAAGGATGGGAGTGCTATTTTCGGGGTGAGCCTCCTTGTTGCGAGCTCGTATATAAAGGAGGATTGCTTGGGGCAGTGCCCATGTCAGGGCACCTTTTCTATGTGGATATCGAGTTTATCCCTCTTCAAGAGTCAGTACCTCTGGTCACTGAACCATCAGAGGTGTCTGCCTTTGCACGTATCCCACTGACATACAATCTCTGGCATGCTCGTATGGGTCATGCTGGAGGAGAGTCTGTCCGCCGCCTTGCTCACACTGCTCATGGCTTCTCCTTAGACGCTAACGAAGCCATGTCACGCTGCAAGTCATGCATCATAGGGAAACATCCACGTCAGCCCCATCCTACATCCCCTTCCCCTCCTGCCTCTCGCTTTCTTGAGTTGATTCACTCAGACATGTGCGGTCCCATTCCGGTTGTCACTCCTCACCATAAGCGCTACTTCATCGTTTTTCTCGATGATCACACCGGAATCCTGGATCTTCAGCTCCTGGCCACCAAGGATCAAGCCTTGGATGCATGGAGGAACATTTGTGCAAGGTGGGAAACTCGCTCTGGTTTGCGCGTTGTTGCTTTCCGTTCGGACAATGGTGGGGAATTCCTCAGTGCCGAACTACAAGCAGCCAGGATCAAGCGCCAACTCTCCACACCATACTCACATCAACAAAACGGGAGAGCCGAACGTGTCATTCGTACAATCGAAGGGCGGATGTACGCCATGCTGAACCACGCACACCTCCCACACAGCCTATGGGGAGAAGCAGCCCTGACTGCAGCATACTTATTCAACCACACTGAATCTCGTGCTCTACCTGCCGGGAAAACACCCTATGAAATGCTGCACAACACTAAACCCGATCTCTCTCACATTCGCGTTTTTGGTGCACGCTGCTTTGCTCGCATTCCCAGTGAGCTCCAGGAAAAGTTAGGTCCTAAATCACGCAAGGCTTACTTTATGGGTTATGCTCCAAGTGGTCGTGCTTGGCGCTGTAGGGATAAGGCAACAGGGACTTTCTTCAACTCTCGTGACATCATTTTTGATGAAACGTTCTCTGGCAGACCTTTCCCATCAGACAGCGATGATTCTGATGAAGAAGACACGACATTGACCCCCACCACTGCACCCGCAACCTCCTCACTGAACATAAGCACCCCTGCACCAATACCCTCCACCACGTGTCGTTCTGAGCGTGCACGCTTGCCCACTGCATGTGGACAGATCTTCCAAGAGAAACTGGCCTCTGACCGTGACTGGTTGGCTCGTCAGCATGAGCTACGTCAGGCTCGTGTTCAGGGAGTGCCCCTTGAAGGAGTGAATGTTGCGCCTAACCCTTCTGAGCCCTCTCTCCAAGATGTCATCGCCAACACAGACACTGACACCATTGTTCCAGACAAGGACGAGGTTGGCTATCCCCGTGTGCTCGCCAATCTCATTGCCACTGAGTTTGCTTGTGTCTCCATTCGTAGTGATACACGACACAATCCACTCACCACAGACTACAACATGAGAATTCCACCCTCCACTTTCAATGAAGCTATGCAGTGTTCGGATCGAGATGACTGGCTCAATGCCATGCACAAGGAAATCAACCTGATGTCAGAGATGGGGGTTTACGAGCTAAAGGAGCTTCCAGAGGGATGTAGGGCGATAGGATGCAGATGGGTTTTGGAGTTTAAAGAGGACGAGAAAGGTGGGCCCGTTCACGAAGTGCGCCTGGTGGTGCAGGGATTCTCGCAGGTGCTGGGTGTCAACTTCGGCAAAACATTTGCACCTGTCGCAAGGCCATCCTCCATCCGACTTCTTTCTGCACACGCAATGGCTCACGACTGGGAGATCAACAGCTTTGATGCCAAACGCGCATTCCTGTGGGGCAAGCTACGCAAAGACGTGTACATGCAGCAACCACCTGGCTTCGAACGCGGAGCAAACCTTGTATGCCACCTCTTGTCTTCACTGTACGGATTAAAGCAAGCTGCGTACAATTGGTATGAGCTCTTGCATGCTGTTCTCACACATTTAGCACTCCTCTGTTGCGAAGCCGACTATGCTGTCTTTGTATATGATCACGTCAATAGCGAGGGGGTGCACATCATCTGCATCATTGTGTGGCACATCGACGATGGCCTTGCAGGCTGCAACAATAGGAAGTTCCTCGATTGGGTTAAGGGTCGCATTGCAGAACACTTTGGCATTGCAGACTTAGGGCCAGTTGTCAAGCACCTGGGTGTTCAGTACATTCGCTCGCATGCTACACGAGAGTTGTGGATGCATCAACAAGACTATATAATTTATCTCCTCAAAGAGCATGGTCTTCGTCAATGCAATCCGGTATCACTGCCAATGGACCCCATGTTCCCTTTTGGATGAGACACGGACATTCATCCTCAGATCGACAATCTTCAGTCAGAGTACCGTAAGCTCGTTGGAGAATTGCTTTACCTTGCGATGTACACACATCCTGACATTGCCCTCGCCGTCATGAAGCTTGCCCAACATAATTCCAACCCGGAGCTTCGTCATTATGCCGCTGCAAAGCGCATCCTTCACTATCTTTCCGGGACACTATCCTATCGGGTCCACTATGGAGGGAAGAACGCAGACAGCACCATCCATGGGTTCAGCGATGCTGATTGGGCAATGTCTCCCGAGGATCACATCTCCATTACAGGATATGTTTGGTACTATCATGGTGGCCCTATCTCACATGCAGCAAAGAAACAGACCACCCAGGCATTGTCTTCTGTAAAATCGGAGTACATGGCATTGATGGGGGTGATCCAGGATGGACTCTGGATCAAATCTTTCTGTGAATGCCTGAAGATCGCCTTCACTCTTCCTCTCAAGCTCTATGCAGACAACACAGGTGCCATCGCACTATCTGCAGAGGCCGCTAATCACTCCAGAACGAAGCACATTGACTTGCACTATCACTTTATCAGACAGCACATTGATGCTGGCATCTTCTTACCTATCTGGGTTTCTACCCACCGCAACAGCACCGACATTTTTACTAAAGTCCTCCCATGTCCCGCATTCGTGGCTCACCGTTCAGGTCTGTCCCTCATGGCGGGTTGAGGGGGTGTGTTGGAGATTAGAGAAACAAGGGGGTGTGTTGGAGATCAAAGAGTTGAAGGGCATTTGTTCTTGGTCATCGTTTCTCTACTTTTGGACTGATTAACATTATGATAGAGTCGAGGGCGCGACCTCGCCACTTCATACCATATGGCTGTTACTTCGCACTGCATGGCTACTACTTCATATCATATTCAAGCTCCATCGTCATTTGCATAAGTATCTTGCATCCTCATTGTCTGTGTACCTCAGACATTGGATAAGTACCTTCGGACATCGTTTCGCACCATCGGACATTTTGTTATTTGCATTACTGACACATTTTTACTACTAATACCAATTAGCAATCCCTTTAGGATCGAACGCACTTGCTCTGCAAGTATAGCAGCATAGGTCGTGCTAAGATCTATCTAAATATTTGTTGTCTAGGTAGTACGATTTCTGCTGAGCCCAGCGGAAATCAGCTTTCTACATCGGGTAGCTTATGTCAAGCGGGGGCTCGATAATAAGCATATCTGCCAAGGCTTACGACACCCGAAGGTTAATCATAAGATCTGTGTTAATTAGAAGGACGGAAGTCCAACTAGTTAACAGGGGCTTTGCTCGTCGACGAAGTCAATGAGTAAAGATTGAGACTAGAGACTTATCCACGATGAGCAGATAAGAAAGTAGAATATAGACTGCTGGCTAGGCAGAAAGGATCACTCTTGTTAGGAGTAGGAGGTCAAGAACCAAGTAGATTCAAGTTAAGGAATAAGATACATGGTATCGAGTTTATATAGAGGAGAGGATGCATATTAGTGGATGATAACTCATACTACCAGAAAGAGAACTGGTCAAAGGGTGATACTAGAAAAAGAAGGCACGTTCGAGGTGAGTCATAGGTGAACCGGAACGTGCAAGTAAGAAAACGAGTCAAAGATAGAAACAGGAAGTGAAACACGCAGGGGCACAATCGTGCAACTGCGGAGCTAAATATAAGTACACATGTGCAACTGCGCACCGAGTCATAGATCAAGAAAGGGAATAGGGTAAAGGGGATGCAGCGTGCATCGTATCATAGGTTACCAGTCTGGACGGTAAGGGCAAGGGGACTGTCCACAGGATCAGTCAGGTGGTGGAACTGGAGCATGGGTATGCTTCGTCAGAGAAAGGGTCCAGCCAGATGTACTGGCTCTGCTGGAGTGACAGGTAGAGAGCGAAAGGGGAATGCGAAGATGACGAGGATAACAAGAGCAAGGTCAGGGGTAAGGGTGTGATGCAAGGGCAGAGACGAGGAGGATAAGGAGAAAAATAGTAGGGGTCCAAGTGTCTAGATGTTCTTGTAACAGTGTGTAGGAAATGTGGGAGAATTCGAGGGAAGTGCCTGTGGAGGCGCGAGGCTTTCACACAATTTTGAAAATGAATCATTTTCTGATGGACTCACTACACAGATTTGCAATCAGATCATGGCACTTTATGGATGCTTATCACAAAGGCCTAAACAGGAGCCAAGCTGCTTGGGCAGCAAAGAAATATCGTGGACATTGTGTTCTTCCTGATTCAATCCTCACTGAGCTCAATGCAGCACATATAATCTAGGTAATTTTTATTTAGTATTTGCATAGTATACAATACATACACATTATCTACATTATCATCACTACTTACTTACCAGTAGTACAGTACTTACTCTTCACAGTTTTTCTATGCTGTCCATAATAGGAATTTTGACCGCAGCTCTCGGTCTCGAAATGATTACTCATCCAGCCAACGTACATGTCACACCTTGGTCACAGCATGTGAGGTTTGCTGAAACCATGCAAAGTCTACCTTAATAGGTACACTACAAACAGGATAGTATCTATCCAACAGCAAGTCTGACAGACGGATGTTGTGCTGACACACCAACATCGCTGGTGTATCTTACAATAGCTGACAGGTATCACACAATATCATGTGGAGTCTGAGTTTGGCAATTTTGGTGATGATTGTACAATCCTTTACAAATACACAATTTCATCCTGTTATCTCGCCCGATTCATTTAGTGTTCGTCCCACGCCATTTTACATGATGAGTGCCAAAGGCACCTCCCACGAGAAGGTCTTGGATGAGGTTATAAAGCGAAGCATAAGCGAAACAAAATGACAATACTCAAAAGGATTGCTGCATCAGTATGCTACAACCCATTGTCGGCGACAATGCAGGACACTGAATTTGCAGGTGTTGTATTTACCACTCAATTTTTTCGCTGTATAAATTATCACATCTAGCAGGAGCAAAATTATATCCTTTGCATCACCAAAACTGCCCAAATGTCACAACAGGTAACATTAGGTAACACTACCTTATCTGGGATTTTTCCCATGATCGAGTGTTATGGCCCCATATATGCATGTGTCATATGAGCCGGGCACATTATATGGTAGTGATAATTATTACATGTAGCTCATTATAGTTTTGTACCGGCACTGACTAACATGATGAAATTTGTCACAGGGTTGTAACAGGCAGAACCTGAACAAACTTTCTGTTTCAATCAGGACTAGAGATTCTCAGAGGGCTCGTTCTGCTCTACCCATGGGCTACTATGCTGAGGTATAAACACCAAACAAGTACAAATGCATGACTTGGGCATTTTTGACACATTCCTGTGAGTCCTCTGCTTTATCTCAACATTGTTTCAACAATGGTTCCAGGCCCCATCTTACACCAAATGTTTCTCCTTCTTGTATATACTTGTGTCTTGTATCTTTTTCTCTTCATTCACAATTCCCTGTTGAACTCACACCTAGCCTTACAGCACACATGCACATATATGCATGGAAAACTCATCTGTAAGCCGTCCTTAACATCATCTGTCCTGCAGGTATTGAGAATGACTCTAGGCCGTGCAATCCATCTTCTAAAGTATGGGTCAGTGTGTATGCCTCATTTGAGTTAGGTCTCATGGTCTGTCATGGAGAACTCCTCCACACATTCGAGATCTCTGTCAGAGAACTACTATATCGCAGTGAAAACTTAAAGACAGATGACGGACATCACTCGAGCCTCACTGACCGAACACATCACTGATCCTTTTGACAGGATGTGAGTTTGTTGATCCTCTGTTGAGCTCAAGCCTCGCCGACCAAAGACGTCGCTGATCTGTGAACTCAGAATCACAAAGATGAACATATCATTCCTTCACAAGAAGACCCAGAAAAGCTAGAACAAAAACAACCAGCTCATCCAATCATGTTGTATGCTCCCCTATACAATGGTCTTTGTGCCGCACTCGCTTTCAGTCAGTCACAATACTCTTTTTTTGTTTTCTTTGCCTCACTTTCTCTAGTCTTTATCGGCAACGGTGTCCACACTCTCCTTTTTTTATTTCGTCTCCATTCACATGCTCATTATGACAATCATCCACCACTGTACGCTTTCACGGACTTATAATACTCGCATGGACCCACAACTGCTTGTATGTTTCTTTTTTCATTCTGCTACACTCAATGATGTCACCTGTATGCTCTGTTTTCGTTTCTGACTTCGCACTCATGTCCAGTCGATTGGTACACTGTTGCCATGTTAATACTACATTATAATGTTACTATACTACATGTATTCGAATAGCACAATCATATGTTGTTATAATCCGATATCAGCATGATTGTGTGATATAATGCAATGTCATATGGTAGCGATCTGGAACATGTATTCACACATATCACAACTCTGGAACATTCCTCCAACTATATCATAAAAATCGTTTCCTTGTATTCTCATATATCTGACACCCAATTGTAGACAGTTGTCACAGTCCATACAGTGTGTCACAGCCGTTACAGGTGTATATATAGTTAGGTATAGGATGAGCAATTTTGGTGATGCTCTACAATTCACACGGCCACAATAACAAGGTCTCATCAATTCACTGATGCGAATTGTTGAAGTTCATCCCTACTTTGCGCTCCGAATCAGTATGTGTTCTAATAAAGAGTTTTATCTCTAACCCATCATTTGCGTCGCCACAGTGCTTTCTCACTGCTACTAAGAGTGACAACAGTACTGAGTCGACGTGCGGCCACCAATGGTCAAGTTGCAAGTTCTGGTCTTTATAACACGGGTTTCTGGGCACGGGGTCCCCCCGCACGACTGCCAAGAGCATGCGGTGCCAGTACTAGGTCCATCATGATCGTCAAGTACGGCTGCTCGTGCACTAAGAGGACCAACAGCCGTAACTGTAAGGACAATGATCGCCAAGATATTCATCTGAACCCTCAGTGTCATCAGTCAAATCTACAGGTTGGTGAGTGAGCCAGGCTTACAGTTAAAAAGTGCGAAGTCTTTAAGCTGAGTGTGGGTTGTTTTTTTGTTGGTCGTTCTGTGCTCATGCACTTTATAGCTGCTGCTAGTTAGAATTTTTTGTTTGCAAGTTCGAAAATAGAAACCATGCCTCGTAGTCTCCCTCAGGAAGATCACATCATGAGCATGCGAGATTCCTTTAGCACGCAATCCTCGCACAAGGACTTGCACAAAGGTTAAGGCTAAATCAAGAGTTCATCGGCACGAACGGATAGATCTCTGCGGAGTCTCTTTCCCGTCCGCCGGTTCGCTCATCGTGCAATAGCCCTGCCCTTCCAGACTCTGCATCTCCTCAAACACGTAATTTCGACTTCTGGCAGACGGGGAAGAGACACCGCAGAGATATATCCGTTCGTGCCGATGAATCTCTGGCGTCTATCCTAGGGTCACTAACTATTCTGTATGTTTCCAGCCCCCTTCCGTGACACATACTACTGGGTCGTCCACTCCGGCGTCGACGGATAGCCACAGTTCCGGTTTCAGTTTTTCTCCTCCCCACACACCACTGTTCGCTGCTACTCCAGAAGAACTTCACCTGTTCCCTAGCGCTCAAGTCATACAGAAACCGTATCTGAGAAGTCCAGCTCCACAAACCTTGTCGGCATTCCGTGCTCGCATTCTGACATTCCGAGGCTGACGCTACTCGCCTCAGGTCGAATGCATTTTGGGAACTCCGCAGGAGTATTGCCGTAAGCGGGGAAGGCCTTGTAAAACGAATGCGTGATTTTGAGTATTCCCGTTCAAAGTCGGGTATATACAAGCGCGCTAGGACTGTTGACAGACAAAGGACCAAGAAACGGCATTCCCTCAGCGTCCCCGTGACCAGATGTGTCAGAAGGCCTAATAGTTCTGAGACCGACGAGGATGATGTCCAAATATACTCTAGAGAACTTTGTGGTCTCCCCGTCTCCCGTCAAAAACGAGCATCGAGCCTCGGGTCCATGGACCTTGGACGACGATGAGATACAGTCCAGTCCTTTATCAGAATATATGGATCAAGCATCCACCCGCTCTTCGTCTTCCAACGATGACGCAGACGATCTTTCTCGCCGCTCCTTTAACAGCACATTCCACCCTGACGCATTGCATTCAACATCATCATCTCCAGCATATAAATATTCTGCTTATACCACGGCATTTAGTCCACCTCTATCTGGCCCTTCATCGAGCTCTCTAGCTTGTTCCTTTGATGCACTACGTTCCAGTCCTATACAAAACTCAATCTCTCGATCATCTCATCCCACTGCCGCATCCTCTGCATCCAGCCAAGAAGATGTGACTTTGACCTCTTCTGCCTCGCGGACTGAAAAGGCCATTGCGGCTCTCAGTCTGGCTATAGCCAACGGTGCGGCAGGTCTAGGCGACGACACCCTTCGTGATATTCCTTCTGTTATAATAGTATGCATGTTCAACGCGACTTAAGAATAGCACTTGAGATCCGTACGAGAGACATTACACTAGAGTTAGTATAGATTGCGACAAAGCAGGAATACAACAATGGAATCAAATCGAAAGCAAGTTGAGTGGTGTAATGGCTTGATGCCTAAGCACAAGAATCTTCCGTAGTGGCATTCGGATAAGTGGTATCAATGGGTATTGGTTCGGCTCCACCATCCCGCTGCCCAGCTCCTTCTGGACTTGCGTGCACCGAAGTCGCACGCGGTGAAGCATGCACTGAGGGATGTTGCTGAGATGTACCTCGTCCCCGTTCCCTCTGTAACCTATCAACCATTTCTTCCATCTGAATGCGCAAGCGCATTTCATCTAGATAAAGTTCTTCAGCACGTTTTCGAGCCTGACATTCAATTTCTAGTTGACGTTTCATGGCTAGTTCCCAGAAACAGTCAGTTCAGGTCGAAAGTAATGCAACTGAGGTAAGTACCGGCGATTAAGTGCTGCACAGCAGGTGGGACGTAAACAGATGGCGCTGCGGGAGACATTGGTACCCATGGCGAAAGCACCTCATGCAGGTCCAGCATGTGAAAACCCCAAACAACATCCTCGATATCGGCTTGAGATGAAACAACGTGCTCGATATCGACGGCAGGAGAAGCTCTAGTCGAGGATTCTTCATGTTCGACAGGGGCAGCAGGTCCAGCCAAAATCGTGGTCTCTGGGAGGATCTCAAGCTTTGGCAGTATAGGACTACTGGTGAGATGCAACGTCGTAATTTTACGGTCAGTAGCAAGTAGTTGTGAAGGCTGATTCACAACCTCTAGAGAACCGATGACAGGCGTATGTGAAGCCTTGGCTGTTGTTTCCGTTGTCTCCTCATTAACATGCTGCGATGGAGCCATATCCTCAACCGCTGGATGAATATTCTCCGGTGACGAGCTCGGATACCTTAAGTCACAATCTGATAAACTATATTGTAGGACAGATTCCCCATCCAGCGGGAGCGGGGGAGTGAATGGCAATTCATTTGTAGCAGGCACGTCCGAGTCTGGGTGTGGCTCAGTCACTTGGTTAGACAAGGAGCCGGAATCTTGTTTTATGTGGTCGTTGGTTGGGGTGGGGTGTGGTTCATTGGGTTCAGCCACTTCACCGGATGGCATCTCTGCTTTGTTGCAGGGTTCATGGCTTCCACATTTGCTCGATAGATGCGACGTTGTATCCGTACCTGCACTCGTACTTGATAGCAGTGTTCCTTGAGACATGCGAAGATTTGCCCACTCTTCCATAAGGGCAGCCTTTACACCATCATCTGCAAGACTGGTTTTACGCAGAGGGCCTATCTTCTTCTTGAGAGTAGATGCTGAAAGTGTCGAGCACCCTGTGCCACTGTGCTCCTCTTGTGATGACTCGACCGAGTCCAAGGAATCCTTGGAAGCTAAGTATGGATAGATGTCTCGACTTTTTGTAAAAATAAAAGGATGGATCTTCTTTGCCAACCGTGATGACATCCGAGGTGTTATCGTAGTTTCAGACCGAAGAGATGTATCGGACACCGAGACGAAAGCCCGAGTCAAATCAGCCTTTGAGCCACACCGAGTTGCGGACTTGAATTTCGATTTTTTCCGAGGCGGCCTCGAACTGAGGCTAGCAGTCAGGTTGTCTGGAACATGTGGTTGGCTAGAGGTTTCCACTATATCATTGTTTTTGGATGCTGGCGATACAATGCATGCTTTTAACACGTTGTTATTTCTCAGCAAGGAAATGTTCACCAGAAACGAACTCACGTGCACAAACGATATCAGGAGATGACCCGTCTATTGTATGGTCGGTGCCATCGAGATCATTGGCGTCCTCAAGTACTGAGCGTCCTAAAAGTTCGTCCATTCGTGCGACGAGGAGTGTTTCATGAACTGACACCACGTACTCCTCTTGTTCAACATAATTCTAATGCGAGTCCGTTACAACTTGAAAGTGATGAAAGATGGCATGCTCCTGATTTTGTGTTATTCAGGGTTGAAGTGAATCATGGGTGAACCAATAATGAGCCGGAGGGTTGTTGCGAGTGATCTCCAGAGTTTACTCACCTACAAACACAAGATGAAGACAATAATCACAAGCCTGGAAGTGAAATCCGTGACTGGGCACTCCGAAAGCTTGCAAAATAAATTTCACCGACTTATACAGGATTTGGGATCGTGAGAAACAACCGTTGTGGTATGAAGAAGCGCTTAAAAGTGATCGCACAACCTCAAGCTTATACACAACTGAACCAAGGCGGTGTTCATCGCTAATGACAACGGGAAAACAATCTAACGATACAGTGCACTAATAGTACTGGTACATGGGTCTGAACATAAATATAGAACAGAACACTAGTAGGTGCGATGCATACTACTATAACGTGTTTATTACATAGTGGCACCTATCACCTTCGCAGCCAAAGCGCGCAGGATCTGGTTAGACCTCGTCAGACGGCACAATAGAGTTGATGAATTGAGCGCTTACTTCCGCCTTCTGACTACCTCCAAGTTCGGAGAATACTGCAGCAACACTCTTACCTTTGGCATCACGTATCGCACCGACGCGGTTACCTGCATATGCGCCTATCATGAGACCCGGTAAATTAGCGACTATGAATCCCATTCCTGATGAATAGATGGTTCATCAAGAGCGTCGTATCAGAAGATAGATAACTAACCGCCACCACAAACGGCGCCAATGTATGACCACCATGGCGCGTGACGTTCAACCTCCGGACGGAGCAGCTATACAATGGTTAACCAATATACAAGGCCGAGAAAGTGGGAGTAGAACCTCTTCAAACACGTCCGCAAATACGTTCTCGGCGTCAGGTCTCGGCTCTTGAGCTGGTGCTGTGCCTGCACCTCCAAACATGCTGGCAAACTGCGTAAAGAAATTCGAAGACGCCTTCGGGTCACTGCTTTTATCCCCGGCCCGCTTTGATGAGTATAGTGCATCATATTCTTTCCGTCGCACTGGATCCGACAAAACATAGTAGGCATCGGCTACGGCCTGCTTAATAAGTTAACATGCTTTCCAGGGTAGTAGACACGTTGCATGAACTTGGAACTTTTCTGTCGCTGTCTTTCTCTCATCTTCAGTGGCATTGGAAAATCTATCCGGATGAGTCCTGTAAAGCTAGATAGTTAAGTAGAAAGAAGTGCTACTGGTGTTATGACTGTCAATGCACCTGAGTGACTCCTTTTTATAAGCCTGTCTGATCTCCTCGGCGGTGGCCGTCTTTGACACATTGAGCAGTGCATAATAATCGGGAAAGCTCGCCATTGGGAGTATCAGGAATATCGAGGGGAAAAGAACCAGGTATATATATATGACGGTATGGAGAATGAGGTGCTTGCTCCAAGCTTGCTCCTTAAGGTCGTGTCTTCTAGGTTGAATTATATCATTAGTCAGCCCGTCGCCGCTCCGAAGAATCCCCCGTAACGATGTTTGCTTTTAATACCAACTTGATCTCCTCCACAACTGTTTTGTGACTAGCGCTATTTTCACAGTCATGCACCCTTGACATTCACCCTAACTCCGCATCTGCGTTGCACAGCGTGCATGGTTCAATGGCAGCTGTGCTCCATCGACACGTCATGATTTGACAGACTCTTCTTATACTGACCATAAAAATGTGGTGCACATTATTTATGATATACTGCCGCTCATGTGTTTGGGTATCCTTGCCGGCTTGCTCACTTTATCATTGGTCATCTGACCCCTCAACATCGTCGATAACTCCTGTAGTGTGCTGGAGACCAGTGCATGCCAGGGCCTTGACAGACATTGAGTTAGCAAAAGCCCGCGCAAATGAGGTCACCACGGCCGCTGTGCAAACAGTTCACACTCCCAGCACCAGTGGATCCAGTTTCAACGATCACAACTCCACCTACTCCACGTGATATTTCCACATTGGTTGATTGTGTTTTGCAACGCGCATGCTTCTTGCACCTGCATTTTTGCACTGCACAGACGCTCAAGCCAGCGCTCTACATCTACCTGATATTTACGGGCGTCTAGTTCGCTCGCTGCTGCCGTACAACTATATGCCCAATCTTGACACAAGAGGTACGCCGTTTTTGCGACTTGCCAAGCCAACGTCACTTTGGCTGCGAGTCAATTGAAAGCGCACTGCCTGGCCTTCGCGGCAACGAGACCTCCAAGCTCCTTAAGCGGGAAACATCCTTTACAATATGGTGGTTTTTAGGGCTGCGGAACGTTCATTTTCTGGCTTCGGTGGTAATATTATACCCATTTTGATATGCGTGAGTTACCCCTACTTGAAAGCATTGCCGCATTTTTCGCGCATTGAATTTCCCAGACAAAGTGGGAGTAGCATATGCCCACGTTTGTGTACAACTGAGTCTGGGGCTAGACTGTATTGCACGGCATCTGGGGCGGCCGCTGCAAAGCGCGTGTCTCTGCTAGCGTAACTTCAAGTTCAAGTAGATCTATTCGTGAGGTACTATATACACTGACTCTGAGTAACGTATGCAGCTTTGTTCCACGTGAAGGTGGGAGTGTTGATGAGGCGGCGTTCCCGATAAATCGATAACGGCCCGTGTCTTAAAGAAGCTTAAGCACATCTACCAATATATATATATACCAGTACTTGATCTTTATCTCACAGACACCCACAACTCGAACGCAATGGCGAACAACCTTCTTCAAAGTCCAGCGCATGCAAGCGCCGTTCCTTTTTCTCGGCCCCCAACTCCCGGAGTACACCCTCTCCAAGTTGGTTTTTGTGGCCTTGGGTCTATGGGCTATTTTATGGCCCGAAATCTAGCTAATTCCTTCAAATCTCAACTCCCACCTCTTCTCGTGTACAACAGGACTGTGTCAAAGTCTCAGAAGCTCCTCGCAGAACTTGGCGCATCCACCGTCAGAGTCGCCGATACTCTTCACCAGCTGGCTACGGAGTGCGACGTTATCTTCACTAATCTTGCGAACGATGCTGTAGTAACAAGTGTCTACAACGAGTTTGCGAAGGCTCTTGCCGTACGCCGTAATTATATCTTCTTGCAGGATAAGATAGTCACGCTGCCATCATCAGCAATTACCTCCAACCAAGGCCAAAATATTTGTTGAGATGAGCACGGTAAGGCTGATATCCACTTCTTGTTTTCATGCTCAACGATGCTGTCAGATTTACCCTACGTTGGCTGGTGCGTAGAACGTATCTCTGCCACTTACGGAACCATGAACAACTTTGCTATAGGCGATCTTGACAGACTGTTGTCGAGCCATCCGCACACCCACTTTGTCACTTCACCTATCTTTGGACCTCCCCTAGCGGCAGATAAGGCCACCCTTCTTATTCCAATGAGTGGAGATTACCGGTCCAAGAAGGAAGTCGCCTTTCTCCTAGTCCCGGCAGTGGGCCGCAAAGTAATTGACCTCGGAGGAAATGTGGAAAAAGGTAAGATTATAAGAGTGGTTGCGAGGAAAGTCTTAAATGTGTGGGGTTTTCAGCTCCGACACTAAAGTTGATCGGTAATGGTATGATCATGGGTATGAATGAGCTCCTCGCCGAAACTTTGACGCTTGGAGAAAAGTCTGGCATCGGACAGCAGACTGTATACGATGTGATTAAAGGTAAACTTTAGAATGCGTCTTGCTCTACTTCGACGGAGAGCTGATAACGATCACATTCAGATCTCATGCCAGCACCAGGGTATGCATGTCGTCAATTGTACTACTTGAAATTTCTGAAGCTGACGCATGACAATAGTGTGGTGGCCTATGGTAACAAGATGGTCAACGACTTGTTTGATGGCTCCGTTGGTTTTGCCTTGGATGGTGGGATAAAAGACGCCAAGTCGGTACCTCGAGGTGCTCGCAATGAACATTCTTTTCTAATGATTTTCAATCCAGTCACATCCGCCGCCTGTCCGCGGAGCTAAACTCCCCGATGCCTACAGGTATGAACAATTTTACCTTCAGGCATCCAGAGATACTCATATTTCATAGTTGATAACGCGCATCGTGCCATGATCGGCGCCCGAGCGATGCACCAGGCACAAGTGGCTGCAGGGACACAGCAGTGGGACATTATGGACTGGAGCGCACTGATTGCAAGCAGCCGAGTTGGTGCTGGATTGAATCCATTTGACAGCAAGAAGGTCGGTGCTTGAGTTCTCGGCCTATTTGATGATAGACTGAAGTCGAGTCCAGGGAACAGGACCAACACGAGAAGACTGAGGAATAAGCAGTGAGCTCCAAGTCATCTCAAGCATTGGAAGTCAAGGTGTATATATTAATTTGACAGAACAACCATAGAATTGAATTGCATGAAGACGTGAATGTACCTTCAATAGAGAAATGTAATCCTGGTAGCATCGGAGAAATGAAAATCGCCCTTCATCAGAATAAGGCAGTCATCCCAACAATTGCTTAACTATCCTGCAGGTAGTCACCCTTGTTGTTTGGCGAATCCCAAAAAAGTTGGTGGCGCATGCTTATAGTTGAACTTGGGATGATCACGGGGTTGATCACGTAATCACATCAGTTTCAACTTGCGGAGCATGACCGCCTTCAATGATGCGGCACATGCCACACTAGACTGTTCTTCTAACACCCTTGCTTTCCAGATCAACAAGCTCATCCAGAATCCAAAATTTATGCCACTCGACGCACCTATCCACAACCTACAACGCCTGCAGGACCCAACATTACCTCGGGGCTCTTTAACTCGTTCCTTTTCGAAATCCCCTATGTATATCCGTACGGACCGATACTATTACATTTACACATAGCGGCCAACCAATCAACTTCGTTCCTCATTCACGTGGGAATATAGCGTTTCCGATAACTCTCGAAGTCTGGCAAATGCTCTTGACGAGTGCAACTTGACTGTGTTCACTTACTCTTTCTCTCCTAGATATTCAGCTCAAACGCAATGGCGAGTAACTTTCTTCAAACTCCAGCCCCGCATGCAGGCACAATTCCCTTTTCTCGACCCCCAACTCCCGGAGTACACCCTCTTCAAATCGGCTTTTGTGGTCTCGGGGCCATGGGCTATTTCATGGCCCGAAATCTAGCCAACTCTTTTAAATCTCAACTACCGCCTTTGATCGTGTACAACAGGACTGTGTCAAAGTCTCAGAAGCTCCTCGCAGAACTTGGCGCATCCACCGTCAGAGTCGCCGATACTTTTGGCCAGCTGGCTACGGAGTGCGATGTTATATTCACTTGTCTCGCAAATGATGATGTGGTAACGAGTGTTTATAACGAGTTTGCGAAGGCTCTTGCCGTACGCCGCAATCATATCTTGCAGGATAAGATAATCACGCTGTCATCATCAGCAATCACCTCCAACTAAGGTCAAAATATTTGTTGAGATGAGCACGGTAAGCCTGGTATCTGCTTCTTAGCTTCATGCTTAGCGACGATGTTAGAATTATCCTGCGCTAGCTGGTGCGTGAAAAGTTTACTGCTACTAACGTAACTGTGAGCAAGTCTGTTATAGGCGATATTGACAGGCTGCTGTCGAGCTTCCCTCATACCCGATTTATCACTTCACCTATCTTTGGACCTCCCCCAGCGGCAGATAAGGCTACCCTTCTCATTGCCATGAGTGGAGACTACCGGTCCAAGAAGGAAGTCGCCTTTCTCCTTGTTCCTGCAGTAGGGCGAAAGGTGATCGATCTCGGAGAGAATGTAGAAAAAGGTAAGAATGGGTCAGAACATAGCGATCAAAGTTTGCGAGTCTGAAATTATTTGGATTTCAGCTTCGACATTAAAGTTGATCTGCAATGGTAATCTCGCTGCTGCTCTGGAGCTTCTCGGCGAAACCCTGACACTGGGAGAAAAGTCTGGCATTGGGCAGCAGACTGTATACGACCTGATCACAGGTGAAGCTCGGACCGACTTCTGCCGTATTATAACAGGAAGCTGATTGATTCTTGAGAAATCATGCCAGCGCCAAGGTATGCGTGCTGTCAATCGCATTGCTTCGAATCACTGATGTCCACGACAACAGCTTGGTAGCATATAGCAAGAAGATGATCGACGACTCGTTTGATGACTCCGTAGGCTTTTCTATGGATGGCGCAATCAAAGACTCTTCGTTAGTGGTGTTTACGATGAATAGTGTTTTTTGACACAGTTTTTGATTCAGCCACATTCTTCGCCTATCCGCGGAGCTGAATTGCCCAATGCCCGCCGGTATGTCGACGAACGAACCTTTCGTTGTTACGAGATACTGATTCATTTGCAGTTAGTAAAGCGCAACAGAGCATGATTACTACTCGGGCCCTACACCAAGCACAAGTTGTCTCAGGGACACAGCAGTGGGACATCATAGACGAGAGCGCGTTGATTGCGAGCAGCCGAGTTGCGGCTGGACTGAATCCATTCAACAGTAAGAAGGTTTGTGCTTGAGTTCTCATCTTCTAGATGTTAGCCTGAAGTTGGATCCAGGGAACAGTAGTTGTACGAGAAGACTGAAATTTGATGCTGCAGCAAATCATTATTTTGATATAACCTTCTAATTGTCCTCCTCGCTTAAGTCTCGTGGGCACCGAGTATAGCCAGCAAATTCGAGGACCCCAACGTGTGAACGTGAGGTCCGCATGGATTCGGGATACAAACTTGACTGTAGTGCTAATACAAACGCTGCTGCAGAGAAGGGAGGGCGCGCAAAAGATTGCTATCGACACTGGTAATTCGAGTGAGAAGAAGAAACCTGGCGTACCTAGCGAGACGAGTAATGCGAGTGAGCAGAGGTAAGGACCCCTAATTCACCAAGTCTCGCTAGACATAGGCCAGCTGAGGACCCACTAAAGGGGGTGGCAATGAGGATTGCCTGAGACATATTAGTCATGACTAGCGATGCACGGGGCATCCGTAGAGGTGACAAAGAGTCAGACTGACTAATATGCCGAACGATGCGCAGGGCATCTGCCACAGGTGGCAAAGGGACAGGCCCTGGGATCAGCTGCTAAGGAGCCCGCTGGTGTAATCACTTTAGGTGATAGCCTAGGGTTAGGGTTAGAACGAATAAAAATCGAAAAAAAAGATGGCCTGCTTAGCCAGAGTGGCCGTAGCAGGACTGGAAAATATTGAGACGGTGCATGAGCCGGAGCCCATACAAACCGTAGTTACCCTCTGTATGGACAAGGTCGCCGTGCTATGAAGGGTCCCCACGGCCCACAAACCCAGGTACATGAAGGAGCCTATGCCATCAAGGTAAGTATGAGTTGTTACAGTCAAAACACACCGCTTATATACACCACAATACCGTGCACGGACCATCCATGGCTGCATTTGGAAACACCTCATTTCCACGCTTGCTCCTTCAAGCATATGTCTCATCCAGGTATTTCAGATTCGTACTATTTAACATGGAGATTATTAAAGGACAGATCCGAAACTCCTCAGAAGGGCGGCCACCTTGAAACAGCCCAAGGGATGACAAAACTGGATAGAAGACTTCTTCAGCAACTCAAGCCCTCAGCTGCCCATCCGAACGGGGCTCAGTGTTGCAGGAGAAAAAATATTTCAGTGGACTTCGTAGCCTAGACAAGGCACAAGCCTAGGCTCCGGCAGGCACGAAGACACTACTTAGCTCACATGATGGCATCTTCACTAATCCGAGCTAGAAGTACGTGCCAGCTGAGTGGTCAGTTATTCTACTCACTAATCTCACCATCACACCTTTCAAGTATTTCCCTTGCGCCTCACTCGGGCGCCACCCTCACTGGCAGTCACATGTATGTTTTTATTAGTGCTGAAGTTGAACCCAACCTTATCCAGTACCACACATAGTGTGCACTGTGAGTAAAACAGCGAAATCCTTTGGAAACAGTGGGTATCAGGCCTTCCAAAAGCTCACCAGGTATCTCATGACGTCTACACCATCCCTTGAAGCGCTGAACCCTTCTATGTAGAATCGAGTTTCTATATCTGTGGATTCCGTATTTTCTGTCTACAATCCCTGAGAAGTGAAAAAGGACGCTTGGCGTCTCCACAAAATGTTTTGATATTCCACGGTCATCATGTTGGCACCATGACGAGGCAAGTTGTGACCCTGAAGGATATGACGATGCTGACGTATCACTCAATCACGCCCAGATCACTGTCACAACTGTTTTGCCTATGTAAACGCACAGGTTGGCTTTCCGCATAGTTGTCTTCTCGACAGTGCTTACCATTTTCTAGTGCAGCACCAGAAACATCAGAAGTACAAGGGCGCCCTTCCTTACGAGCTCGTGGAGAAAATCCTTGTAGATGCATGGTGCTCCATTGACGACGCTCCCGCTAGATGGCGTTTCTTTCGCGCCATTGCAATCTTGTCCAAGGTATGGCGCGATGTGCTCCACGAGGTGGTATTGCGCTATGCCTTCATCGAGACAATTGCCGATTCCGTCGCGTATAGGAGACTCCTCTCGCGTTATGACCCATGCGCTCGATATGTCTCCATCGTGTTGAATGCTGTGAATCACACACGATTTCATGTTGACGAGATTGCAAAGTATGTTCCAGGGGCGCGATTCATGTGTCTTGCTATCACAAGGGATAGGCGATATTATTTCGACGCGATCCTCCAAAATCTCCTCGCAAAGACGGAATCCCTCACGCACCTCCGTATTTGTTGGCCTCCCCTTCGTGATTCTTTTGCATGTCCCCTTTCTAGCATCCTCATTAGCTCAGTGACGCATTTGCATATAGCGCGCCATCCGTCAGCGTCACTTGGTTCTATCCTTGCGTCATTCCCGAACGTAACTCACCTTCGTCTGGGGACACCGTGTTTTCTGAAGAACCTCGTACCCTACATGTCCGCAGTTCGAGTTCTTATCCTCGATGCTCCACCGCAGTACTGCATGCATACAGTTTCTCGAGCTCCAGCCCTTATATTTCCAAGTTCGGTCCCGCTTTGGAATATTTGCGACGCACTTGAGCATGGCTTGCTGAAGTCTACTGCCAGCTACCCATGCCGGATCATAATGAATGCAGGAAAGTCGGACGCGGATGAGTCCATGATTGCGGATATTGCTCTGAACTGCCAGAAGCATGGGGTGGCCTTTGAATGCAGACGAAGATATCCGCCATTATGGCAATCTAGTCATTTGGACTCCGGGCGTTGGGACCATGACGCATGGAGCTAACTGTATGTAGCTACTCAAGTAGCAACAGTCGTTTTGTGATGCTAGCTATGCTATGAAAGCTATGATCAAAATTTCAAGGCTCTTCGGTACTTGATGAAGGCAATCAAATTGTCTCGCATTTCCTCCCCTCTCAGTTTCAAATCTCGCTCCTTCCGCCTGTCAATTGCCCGAACGGCTTTACGCACCCCCTCAACGCTATCTACAAGACGCTGCACGAAATTGCCTTGCCAGAAATTGACATCGTATGGGAGATTCTCATCGGAATAGATGTCGATGAGAGCCGACAGTGTTTGAATAAGTGGCTCGGTGCCATACGTCGAAGGTGCTGTGGACGTTGGGAGGATGGAAAGCAAGTGCATCGCAATAACCTTATCCTATTTTTAGTTTCGAGAAGGGTCAGAGAACGTGCGACTCACGCGATTGGCATCAATAGATTGTGGATGCTGCGCCAGACACTCAAGCGTGCCGATGCATTTCACGCGGATAGCAGGATCAGTGCTCGAGTTGCAGAGCTGAATCAATAGCTGGACTTGATCTTCGTTGGGCACCTGACAACGACTCATTAACACCAGAACTTTCGCCAATGAGAAGACTTACCAAGCTACCCTTCCAGATATTGCCGACGCCCCATAACACACCCACTCCAATCTCCCACATTTCCTTTTTACGCTCTTGGCCGCGTGTGATTTCCGTGCCTACACTCCCAAGTGCTGCCCACACACCGTCCCATATATGTTTTCCACTAGCACACGCTGCGGCTAATTCAGGACTTGGAGACGCGCTCAACGAGAGAAATATGTTATTCAAGCACTCAAGCGCGCTAACATGAATTGCACTCAGTACGGATGTTGTCGGTGGGTGTGAGGATTGACCGGCTGCGGGGGGAAAAGACAGTCTGACGGGTTGGATAAGGGTAATGAGGGGTTCTACAAGCGCAGGCAGATGACTTGCGGTTGTCGTGCCATTGGTGATCGGTGTATGGTCGAGGGCCATGTCATCGGTGACATCCTCTTCTATCTCGCCATCATCATCTATCTCAATGTCAAACAATCACCCCCACTTACGTAAAAAATATCTTACCTTCATCTTCTTGTGCATCAGGTTCACCTTCCTGCACCTCGGAGATGGGGTCAGGTAATGTCGCACACACGCCAGTTAAGATTTCTAGTGCGAGTTGAACAGTGCGTAATTTATTCTCCAAACGGTCGAGTTCGACCTCAGTATCAGACCTATGATCTGACTTTGGAGCACTTTTGAGAGATAATTTTTCTATTTGAGGTTCCAGAGCCTTTATGTCACATCAATACACACCACCGATGAGCTGCTAAGATTGACAACTCACCAATTGTACCACCAGGCTCTCAGCCAGCGCTGATGACTCAGTGAGAGACACAGAAGCTACTACTGGCTGAAGCAGTGGAAGTACAATCTCCTTGCCAACATCGACTCCCGATGCGGCACTAAGGGGAGGAAAAGGTGCAGCGTTGCTCAGGATACCTGATTATAATCAGCCAATTTATTCAACGAAAGCAAGTTCCTTACCGCTTGCCAACACTTTCAACATGGTCATTCTATCCAAGAATATTTCCTTATCCTTGCCCGTTACACTGCCATCGTCGTGTACAATTTCGAGTAAGCATGTGCTATACGCCGCATTTGACCGAAGCTCATCTATTGCTGGCTGATTGTCATCCGTCAGGACGTATAGGCATTGCGCTGAGAACCGCAGTAAGTCCTAAAAGTAGATATTGAAAGCAGAAATATCTGCGAACCTGCGGCAGTAATGGTAGCTATGGGTAATCTTTTTCGAGCGGCCAGGAAGGACATCAAAAAAGGAACAAGATTGATTTGATTGATAGCATTTAAAGCCTTGTTGGATGTTTCCCTGGCCGTACCTTCAGCGCTGATACGATACGATTAGAAACCGATGCACCTACGAAAGACACCAGAGTATAGTATTCACATTCTCGGTAAATTCATACACTACTTTTTGTGCGTTCTCTGGAGCCGTCTTGGGTGATTCCAGAAACTGTGAGAGTGCGCTTGATATCTGGGAAGAGTAAATCTTGACCTCACATCATTCATTCACATGCATATTACACACACCTTCGGCACAAATGCTTTAAGGGGAGCCAGTATATTTTTATTGTACATTTCTGCGCATATATCGTACCCTCCATCGATGCACAAATTTCTGAGAGGTACGAGGATGTAAGACAAAGAAATCATCGAGACTGGAGATGCACACCTTAGTGCCCCAGCGGCTTCGATCCAGACTTCCTCCTCGCTATCAGATAAGCGCGTAATAAGCGCTCCAACTACGTTTTTCCCCTGTAACAACCGTCGTGTAGATGGATCGTTTTGTATGAGATTGGATACCGCGACGCATGCCCACTTGCGTTCAGAAGCGTCTGGATTCTCCAACTACAATGCCAATGAATTCCCGTACGTGGATCTTGCCATACGGCGCACCTTTTGTATGATAGGCAATACTGCTTCGTTTTTTTGGGAGGATGAAGCTACTGATTCTAAACCTTTGGGAAGATGTGAATCTGGCACCCGCATGGGATTGTGTCGACGCATCGAGCGTTTCTTCTGCGACTTCCCCATTTCCGAGTATACTGGGGACTGAATATAGGCGACTGATGGTCCCGAACTGGAGCCTAAGAGTTAAGATAATGAATCTAATGGGCTCAGAGGGATAAGTGAGACGTAAAATGTGACTACTATTTTTGGTCTTCTACTACAAACCGTTACTCGGAATAATGCTCCTGACAATGCCATACAATCACGTCGGAGACCAACAAGTGCTGTTGAACCTCAAGCTGACCATATTTCGTTCGATAAGTATAGATTATAATGCAACACTTGTAGCACTTTACAACAACATTGTAATGCGCAATTGGCAGATGTCCAGGGTGTCGATTAGGTATATAGTACAATACAGTAGACGAATATTCCAAGTATCCGCAAAAACGTGGACCAAAAACCCATAACTAGCGTTGGTATATCGGAAGTATGCCATGCATGGTAACAAGTTCTTCAGGTGGAGCGGAAGCTTGAGAACTAAATGCGGATGACGAGGGCTGAGAGGGAGATGGTGCAACGTGGGTATCGCAATCATCACCGTATATTTCTGATACTTCTGGAGCACTGCCTTCCCAAAGGCCAAACGTTTCGTCATGCTCCAATATGGGAGGAGCCGAAGCTGTCAGGGTGTCCTCAAAGGGAATAGCGTTCGGCCGAGCCTCATATGGGGGCATAGAAGGCAATGAGATGGGGTCTAGCGCGGTGATATCTTGCACATAGCTGTGCCCATCAAAGTACCCTGGTGACAAAACGTTTTTCGAAGGCGGATTTGGGAAACCCAAGTTCCCGACCTCGGATAGAGAGGATGAGACAATGACTAGTTGAGAGGGCTGGTCATCAAAATCATCATGCCATTCTGGGGCAGACTCATGGATATGCGAAGGACTCCCGCTAGTGTTATCTTGAATTACGGGAGGCGCGCTAGCCAACTCGGCCATACGGGCGAGATGAGCCTTATCATCAATGGCGACATGCCCGGCACCGCTGGGATGGTAAGGGATATCGTCATGGTCCGTGGATGAACAGTCATGACCAAAGAGCAGTGACCCTCGGCGTAATGTGGGGTCATCCGAAGATACGTGCGATGCTTCGTGAGGACAACCTTCAATTTCAGGACGCACAGGCAGGGCAGGAAACATGTAAGCTGGGGGAGACGAAACAGTGCATGGGCTAGATGGGTCGGCTGATATAAAAGGTGGCTGTGTGGGGTCGAGACGATTCTCAATGGGAGCAGCGTAGTAGTCCGTATCTTCAGAGACAGATACTATTGAATGCCGCCGTGATGAGACTGGGGAGGGGTGGACAGATGGCTCGCGAGGATCCAATAGCGTGGGAGATTGTGGTCGACTTCTGGTAGACATGCCATGACGTCGCCTCCGTCGACGAGCAGAATTTCGTATGTTAGCTTTCCACCGTTCGCTTGCCCTCGCCCACAAGCGATTTTTTCCGCGAGCCTCGATCTCCCTTTCGCCATCCTCTGATAGGTCTTCCGGGTTCACCTTGTGTCTGGCCTTCAGTTCCAAGTCATTCTTTGTCTTGTCTTTGTCCAATATTTTCTTCCGTCTCTTTCTCCAAACGATGCAGCTTATGATGAACATGCAAATTGAGACCGCCAAGATTATGGCTAGCGAGAGGATGATGATAGAGGCGGTGCGATTGCTTTGGGACGTCGTGGACCAACCTGCAGGAAGGACGGAGTCCATTTCGGCGGAAGCGGTTGGATTAAGAACCGACGTAGATCGCGAAACATCAACTGTAAGGTCCGGAGACGAAGCATGGTACTAGATAAGGATGTTAGCGGGCGGAAGATGACAAGGAGGGTGAACGAACTGTTGAACCATACAAGGTCCAGGCAGTTGCCTTGTGCCAGCGGCCGTCAGACTGTAGAACGTATTTGTCTGCCACTGGTTGTGTGAATTTAGCTATAGGCGTGGGCGATGTGGAAGAGGTTGTGCTGCTATAGGATGTCGTGGGGGTTGTGTTACGGACGCAAGTATTGAAGAGATCTAGAGACGGACATAAGAAAGATGGAGGTGGGGTCGGTGCTGGGAGTGGGCTTCCGTCCACTGTTTGCGAGCTAGCAGCGATAGTTGCAAGGATCGACAAGACGGATGATGAAGGACAAGCTATGGCAGCTGGTGAATGTCTACGTTGATGATTAAGCCTTGAACCGGCCTGGCAATATATTTGCTTGGCCATGATACAACGAGTGCCAAGAGAGTCTTGCCGATTCAGCGTGGCAGCAACTCGGTAATTTGTCGTCAGAATCGTTATGGTCAATATTCGACTATAAAATGAGTTTAGTCAACACAAAAAAAAACGAGGATCAGTCCTCTGAAAAACGCTCAAACTCTTGAGGAAGAATCAATCTACAACAGACTTGACAGGTTGGCTGAGGAGAAAAGCGGGGACTAACTCGTGGGCATCATATCCAGCTTATTAAGTAATAAATAAATAAATAACTAGAGAGTCACATCGTCCAGTACTCGGTTGCCTAAATAAGGAATTATTTTTTAAGCTACCTATGATATATCACATACCAAAAAAACAACCATTGCTATTTCCGTATCAGTTATTTAAGCTCAACATTAACATTTGCTAACCATCGGCTTCGTTTCCGCTCTTCCTCTCGAACTTTCGCTCTTTCCCTAAGCTCCTTCTCCTCATCTCTGCTTCTCAGCCGCACGTACAAATCTTCAGCGCTTGATTCATAGAACATCTTGTACGTGCCTAGGCTCACCCGGATGCTCATAGAATCCCAACTTGAGGTGCCTCGCGGTGATTCGTCGATCGTCATGTGTCTATTTACAAAATCACATTCAGTATCACAAATCACGTTTACATAAGTTGTCGTCCTAACCTTCGCAAATATACCTTTCCTTCACGCTTTGATTGCGGCAACCATTCTGTCGGCTGTCGTAGAACATACGAGTCGAGATATTCTCGCCACCGAGTAATTGCTGTTCCGTCCCCATTCACACTAGGATCGTCCGGTTCGACCAGTTGAATGAACATTGTTTTCGAAGACCGATGCTGGAATTACTTGACATCAGGGCCACAAATAATCCCAAAATTAAATCTTTCACATACCCAATCGAACCTGTACAAATGCTCGTCGCTACCAACGTGACGTTCCGCCTCACGTCGATAGAGAATCATATTTTGATTGGATAGAATATCCACCTTTCGCGTTTGTTGAAGTAATACCCAAAGCTCCTGACACTTGTTATCCGACAAGAGAATCTGCACCTGTTAAAGGTAGACCCCATTCAGCTAAACTTGAACCACGAAGAGAGCGCGGTCACGAAGGCTTAGAAGCCTAATAGCACAGTGTTATATTTACCTGCTTGATTAATGAAGACAGTATCTTGTCTAACGTGAAAAGGTAATATGCCTGGACCATGCACCGGGTCAGGCAATAACTCCGAACATGAACGCACAACTTACCTTGTTGCCGAAAAACCATCGCATATGCTCCTCAAACGTTGCCTGATCAAGCTCGTTATCAAATAGCTTTTCAAATGCTTCCAACATGTAAAGGTATACGACATCGGTCGCGTCACAGGTCTGACGGTTAGACACAGCCTCCACAGCTTGCGCTAGTATAGCAGAGGGTCCATTCGGATCATCCAGCCCTAACTCAATTGCGATAGGATTGCAGTGTGCAGGATTTAGACCTTTTGCAGTCTGACGAGCGCCCTGTTCCTTACACACGAGCAGACGAGAATAGATCAACTACATGCGATAAAATCAGCTCACATCATGCGCATACCACTGTGGGACCTGACCTGTAACAAACAGAACACAGTGTAGAACGTCGTGTTCCCGAAAAAAGGTTTTCGTCTAGAGGCACCGTCTCCTGAAATAGGGGAGGTTTGATTGGCTGACGCGTCACGGATCCACTGATCCGGAGAGCTATTTTGAACTGGAGCTAACCCTGCACTTGTGTTGTCCCCCAGGGTGGTGTCAAGTAATACACGCTCTGAATAAGGCGTGGTCCCTCTTGACTGGGATAACGAAAATGTATCCAGGCCCTCAGATCCAATGGGGTTTTCTTGCGAGGATTTCAGTAACCGCTTCCGAAGGTCACCCGTGGCTATTACATTCCCCATAGTACCGCGCCCACTCACAAACGGGACACCGTTATCATTCCGCGAGCCATCTGAAGCTTGTTCCTCGTCTCGCGATTCGTCCAAAGGAGCAAACCCAGCATTGAACTCGGCAGCAGGGCACATACATAGAAGGGGGATGAATGATCGCAGCCAACCTTCGACTCCACGCCGTTCCTGTAGTGTATAGTGCGCATGGGAATGATCCAAGAACGAGTAAACCAACTTGAGCGAGTCTTGAAGGACAGTCATGTCCTTGAATGAAAACTCCAGTTGGTAGCCTGGCACAGCCGCAGCGAGTGAGGATGGACCCTGCTGCGCCTGTACATCTGCTTGCTCAGCTTTAACTGACTCAATATTTCCTACAAAGTGTTTCGCAGTGACGACCTTCTTATCATTCGACTTGAACGTGACCCCTTGGTGATCGAGAGATTTATAGAAATTTTTGGCGTCAACCTCCCGCCAGGTCTTGTTCCATTCTCGTTGCACGCGTCGCCACTCTTCATCCTTCTGTTTGAGCCGAGCGAGGACCACTGGCACAGCGACGCTAGGACACTCCTGAAGAGCTTGGATGACTTCCATTCCAGCATCTCTACCGTAGACTTTCTTCAGCGTCCGGTGGTATATGTTCTTGCTCAGGCCACCAAAGTCAGGCTTGAGTCGGAAATTGGAGCGTTCATCATTGGTCATTTCCTCGATGCGAAAGTTAATGGGCTCTATAACAGCGATTGTGCGTGCAAGGGCTTCAAGCTGGACATGATATTCGTGTCGTTCTTCTTCGCTCTTGTGCAGCGCTTCTTCAAACGAGTTCTTTTTGTGCGCGATAAAGCCTGCTTCTTCAGACGCCCATGTTGGATGTGAAACCCATTCATCATTAAGTACAGAGCGACAGAGTTCGTCGCGACCTGAACATGCCAAATGAACTTCCTGCAAACAAGGTCGCTTCAGTCAGTCGGCTGGAAATAAAAATTATTCGATACGTACGCTCTCGGGTAACCGACGATAGCTTGGACCCTCACCATCCTCAGCGGGTAATGCGGACAAGGCTTCTGGCGGCCCAGTGCGGATGCTCCCGGGAGGACCATATTCGATACTGTCCTGCCGTTCATCGATACCAACCACTTCCCGAAACTGCGAGAGTAGATCACCATCGCCCAAATACACTTGAGCCAAGTTCACAAGTGTTTTCGCATCGATGATGTCCTTGGAGTACATGTTCAAGAGCTTGAGGAATTCCTCATATGTATCCTTGCTCTCCAACGTGCGCTTCGCGCGCTCAAAAAAGATGAGTTCATCAGGTGCCGACTGAACATTGGCAACTGGCTGAGGGCCTTGTAATACTAGATTATGCATTTGGGGTGGCGGTAGCATACTAGCATGCAATTGTGGGGGGTGGTGGGGCGGTGATTCCGGTAGCCCGTATGAATTGAACTGCGGAGAATCAGGGTCGGCCCCTTTGTGCATGTGCTTGGACTTCTTTGCCTACACAAGGAGAATGTTATTGACGAATGACGTAGAGTCAGCGAAGCACGCACTCGACTTGGGACGGTTCGCATAGCCGGCGCAGGCGTAGTCTCTTTCTCTGGAGCTTTTCTCCTTTTTTTAGGCGGAAGTTGCGTCTTCTTGCCGTTCTTGTCACCTGTATCTATCCAGGGTGTTGGCACGCCTGGACCACTAGTTGGCTGGGGAAGAATGCTGACAGCCCCGCTCAGGGCTATCGACATATCAGGTAAAAAATCCTTGAATTCACTGAGTAGATCTTGAGCATCTTTGAACAAGACTTGCACTTGCACGTATACTTGTGACTACGCTCGAGCGTCAATACACACCATCAGCTAGCGCACATAGCACATACATCTTGGATCTGACGCTGCTCCTTCTGATATGTTTGCAAGATTTCCAGGAATTGCTTATATGTATCGGGATCATCGGAATAGCGCGCCTTGATTTTGTTTAGGTACTGTATTGCATGGTTGAATTCCCCTGAAGATTTGTTTTCTACTGCATTTCGGTTGGACAAATTGCCAAGAAAGGAAGCTGCAGCAGTTGTGGAGGGTACTTGAAGGCCTGGGGAGTACGTATCCATAGACTGTGGTACGTGCGGAACCTGATAGGGAGCCATTGAGGGTGTCATCGAACGGGTCATTGGCTGAAGGGGAAAAGCAGGGCCGGCGGCTGATGGAAGAGGATGCGAAGACTTGATTGTAGCGGGGTCACGAGTGACGCGGGAGATCTGCTCGAAGGTGTTTGTGCTCTGAGTGGTAGTCCCCAGCGGTGTTGTAACGGTGATGATATTAGGGTCGTGCGGGTCTGCGGACATCTCTATTCGGTAGCCAGGGGGAAGAAAGGTGTTGAATCCCTGAATAAGATATGGATTGCCATGGAATAGCATTGACACGCGCTCGATCACTCCAGGTGTGTCAATTCTGTGCAAGGGAAGATCATTAGTAACACGAGGCTGAAAGGCAGAAGAATAGACGATATAAAAAGGTGCTTCTGCAACCACGACCACAACAGGAAAGGCGCGTACGCCGGGGTAGTCCATGCCCTTAGGCGGTAAGATAACCGGACGTCATAAAACATTTGCCGCCTCCCGAGTCCCACATCCACGTCTACGTCACTAGTATCTAAACTGACTTACGCTTCACTCTTGAAGTCCTTCATGATGTCTAAAAAGTGGTTGTATACGTCTGGCTTGTCCTGAAATTGAACTTTGACCGCATCGAGGTAGCTGAGCGCATCGGTAACGTTAAGTGGTCTGTCTGGCGACCTCTGCGCATGGGATGTACCGTCACTTTCACCAGCGGTGCGAGGACGTGGGGTTCCAGATTTCGGAGTGCGGAAACCCATGTTTGATGAAACGAGAAGTTGTGTGGTACTGGAAAGAGGTTCCAATGAAATATCTCTAGGCGTGTTAGAGGTTGGAAGTGGGGTAAGGTCGTCGGAATCAACCTGGAGGGATGGAGAAGGGATGGTAAGCTTTGGTGAAACGTAGGAAGAGGGTGGTGGTGGTATGGGAAGAAGAGGGACGGTTTGATTGAAGTTCTGTGACGGAGATTGTGGTCTCGAATTAGGTGTGATGAAGGGTGTTTGGGTGTCCATCATTGTAGTTGCCCTTCACAGTAACTCTGCAGTACGGCACACGGTGACCGAAGGTAAACTCAATACTGCACGTGGGAATCTCCGGAACAATTCAATACAATTCATTATCTTATCTTATCAACACTAGTACATCTCGTCAACCTTGAGTTCTCTTTTTCCTCGCGTTGGTTTGCATGAATCCAGAAGGCCGCAGAAGCTCCTCTCGCGTCTTCGTCACATAATCAATGGCTTCCGGCGTTCCAGGTGCTGGAAAAAAGTATGGCGCTGCGTAAGGCTGTGTCCGTAATGGTGGGTCTGGGATTTTCAAAGGACGAGCTTCGGAAGCGAACACCGTTAATTTAAATTTAAGACCGGTGGGATAAACCCGACTTACAAAATGACCCCGTAGAGTTTCTGCCTTTGAGATGCGTTGATCTTTGCTTCGGCGAAGCTAATGTCCGACACACATTGAAAGGCAGGGAGGCTGAAAGGGTGTGTCTCTTGAAAACTTTGCGGGCTTCCGAAACTTCACCGCGACTAGATCGTTGGATAGGCAATTTTGTTGCAGGCATCGTAGAGGCTAGTGGTTCCACACGCGCATGACCTTGAGGTACCACCCCATCAACCATGCTGCTGTGTATGGTATTATTTGACCTGGTCGATCGTATAGAGGATGAAGTCGGGGAAGCAATTGGCCTGGGAACAGGTCGCTTGATACGACGGGCTATTGTCCTTTGACCGGCGTCTGGGGGTGGTCTGGACCAAGTCCATTGTGATGGTAGTAGTGTTTGAATGAAGATAGCTAGCAGACTCTGGTTATTCGACAAACATAAGCACGGTGGTGACCAACCTCGAAACAGCTGCTAACGCACCAGGAGAATCCCAAAACTGGACACCACCACGCTGACCATCCTCAGGATGATTTTGCGGAAATTCATCGATGCATTCAGGGTTGCAGCATGCTGCACAGTGCATGGGCGTATAACTCGGAAATAACGCCAACATAATTTCGAGAGTCAAATATATATACCATCAACGATGCTCCTGTTGTAGCTGAGGAGCCCGGGACTCGAGTAAAGCTGCTGACTACACTGTGACTGATTTACCGGCTTCACGGGAGACGTCACTGCAAGGCAACCATGGCTCGGGATTTGGGAGTTATGACCATGAAACAAGTGACAAAACGTCAACGGAACGCTAGCGTCGTCCGTCGGAAAGTTCCCTTGGTATAAGATGCTTGCCCCAAGCTTGCAGAATTTTTCCCGTCACAGCTTTATCAAGGGTTTTGCACTGCCATAGTCGTCGCGTGGGAATATTTGAGCACGTGTTGGTTTCGTAGTTGGGATGGCCTTGTCCTATGAACGTCAAAGCTCTTCGTTCAAGTCACTTCTACTTCTAGTACCCAACTTGTTACCAAAATTCACTCTGACCTCGACAAATAAATCATGCCTCCCCGTGGCAGCGAAGGATTAGATTTTACGCCAATCTTAACGCATTATCTTTTCTTGTTTACGACAATTCTTGCGGTGGTAAGTTATGTACCAACTCCTCCCATTTTTCAATTTTCATACTAAGCGCGTCGCGATATAGTTGGCGTGGTTCATCGCATTTATCTCGCAATGTATCGTAACTGCTCAATGTCAGTACAGTAGCTTGCCTTTTCGTAGTTTCAGTCACTAATTTATTTCCTCTAGACCGTGAACAATCCGTTGGTGTTGGGTGGTTTGGGATATTCCTCCAATTATTCCTAACCCTTGGCGTATTGCACACCCTAGCAAGCGATTCAATAGCCATGCATCGCTTCCAAATATCAGTTTTTGGTGCTATTGCAATCGTTATGGCTGTCATCACCGTCAGCAACAGTATCTTTACTGGATTAGCTTCACTGGACGCTATGGCTGCGGGATGGCTCATTATTGCAATCGTGGACATTCTTTGGGTGATCTATTTCACGTCAGAGGAAGATTCTCTCGCATTCCACCTCTTCAATTCTATGGGCACTGGTGGCCTCACACCACCATCCCGCCGTCGTAGGACTCGCGGTGCAAGCAATATTGGTACCAATGGCTATACAGCCAACTATTCTCCTGGTGGTGGTGTCGGTTCACACGATATGCCCTATGACAGTGCCAACAAAACAGGTGGTATTGGTACAGGTCCCGGGGTTCGGAGTCAAAATAGTTTTGTTGGCGGTGCTAGTGTGGACGGTGCACCCCGCAGTCTTGGTCCCGCAGCTGGTGTAGGCAGTGTTCACAGCACACCGAATCCAGCTCCGGTTTCCCTAAGTGGCCCTGATAACAGTATGAGTCCAGGCTCACCATTGATAGGCCCTGGTGCTGCGGGTGTAGGCGCAGGTGGCGGTACTGGTGGAGGTAGCCCAAATATGCCTGAAGCCAACCCGGGCGGACCAGAGGCATACATCTACAAAGCAAAAGCATTGTATGCTTGTAAGCCAAGAGCTCTTTCACTAATGTTCTTTTGCTCATCATTTGCCCCAGACACTGCCTCTCCAGATGATCCAAACGAAATCTCATTCACTAAGGGTGAGATTCTTGATATCATCGATAAGCAAGGCAAGTGGTGGCAAGCAAAGAAAGCAGACGGTTCATTAGGAAGTGGGTATTTTTATCTTGAGCTGCTCGCTGGCCCCTTGATCCTAATGCTTGCATTGCAGTTGCACCATCGAATTACCTTCAGGTCATCTAATAGACCGAGCTTGAAATTTTGATTTTTACTTCTTTATGTTACACCTGACGACCATGGACATGATGCGTGCGTGATACGAGCGTTACGTTCCTTGTAATAGCACTGAAGGTGTCTTGATGCTAGGCGATTCAAGTTATATTATCCACTTCCTTGCTCCACATCCCTTGTGTTTTTTTATTTGCTAGTCTCACTGTCTCGACGATACCACATTCCGACCAATGTTTTCCTGTGTCCTAGCGTTGCTCAATCAATGATATATAAAATAGCTCATTTATTCTTGTCGTTTGATAACAATATTTATTGATGGGTGTGATTGTGACTCGACACTGACATCATCATACAGAATTTGAATATGCTGATGCGGTTATCGATCTTAACGGAGTCTACCGACGGGAGATAACCTAAAAGGAATTGTCTAAGAAATCTCAGTTGCGCAGCGACCACTTGTCACCTGGCTCATTCTTCCCTTCACTGATGAGCGCTCATACAGCAACAGGACCAGCTAGTCGTCTGGCGAACTTTTTACGACCGAGAAAGCAGGCAACCTCAACCGAGAATAAAAATGTCGCCCAGCTTACAAGAGCAGAAAAATCGATTCAGGTACTGAATGTCGAGAATGAGGCCTTGAAAACCGCGAACGAGGCATTGAAGAAGAAATGCGGCGATCTACAAGATCGTCTGCAACGAGTCGAAAAGAAACTTGGAGTTGAGGGATAAAGATGGAGATCAAGGTGTCGATGAACAGGTGGATGGAGCAGGCACAGGCGCCCAGGGTGCTGATAAGCGCTGTACAGTCAGCAGAGAAGCGCAGACGAATTCGGAGCCGTCATCTCCCTTATCTTTACATCGTCAACCCGGGATGTCCAGACACGACCACCAATCGCTTCCTCCAGAGCTGTGGTTGACTATAATTCGCTGGGCGACTTATGCACCGCTGGGTCTCGACCTACCAAACTTCGAGCCATTTTATGGATCTTCTGATCATGACAGTCAGGGAGAGGCGGATGCCAAGGCTGTCAAGTGTGCAGTGGTTCAAGTGTGCAAGCTATGGCGAGACCTTGCCCTCGGCATTCTGTATGAGGATGTCAAGGTCGGACGTGGGGTACAATCCCTCGTAGAGGTATTGGGGAAGACATACAATGATGAACCGCTTGGAAGATGTGTCCGCCGCCTTGAACTTCCTTACCATCACACTGCTACTATAACCAACACTAGCTCGGATCTCGCACTGCAGATTCTGCAACAATGCCCGGAATTGGAAACATTGGTGAGGCCCTTCATGCAGGGATCTCCAGATACAGTACGCTACGAATTCCCTATTCGCAGCCACTCCTTCTTGAACCTCAAGAGGCTCGAGTGGTGGCACTACAATGATGCTACTCGCTCCGGGGGAATAAACTCGCTCCTAGACGTTCTACGTCACTCCCCGAATCTCCAGTATCTCGTTTTAGGAGGGGAGATGCGGACTTACACCCAAACTGGCAATGCACTAGAGCTCCCAGCATTGAAGACACTTCGTTTAAGACGCATGAATCCTCTCTTCGTCCGTCAGATCTGCCAATGGCGGCTACCTTCACTTGTCCATGTTGTTGTAGATTTCCCACTGGAACATAACACACTCGACACCATATGGCAGGTGTTTGGCGCTCGTCTCTGCACAGTCGAATTCGCAAGGCATGTCGGGTTCTTGCTCAGTGATCAGATCACCCGTTTCCTACATGGTTGTCCTCAAGTCAAGGCATTCAATTACTTTCTTAACTTCACATCATCGCCACCTATTTTCGAACAACCTTGCGCCCTTGAATGCATATCTTTGCACGCATTTCCATGTGGCATGATTACAGACATGATCACTGAAGCCCAAGAGCGCCTTACGCTACACCTCGCCTTCCTCTCCAGATCATCCTTTCCAGCGCTGCGCCGTATAATTCTTTATGGCGATTGGGAAGAATTGCTCCGTGATCCTCGCTTCGTGCAATTCAGGCAAACCATGATTTCCAGAGGCTGCTCGATCGAACGTGCCACTGGGGACATGCATTCCTGCGATCAAACATTAAGCGTCTGATCGTAAGTGCCAGTTAGTGATTTGATGTAACACTTTTACTCATGTGCTTTGTCAGTTACAGACGACATCTCTAGAAGCCTGTGTATTCATAGCTGGGATCATTTCTTGTAATTGTCTCGAAATTTGTCCGCTTCCATTCTCACCTACCTTCGAACTGTGTTATACGCTGGTGATATTTCTCCTACTTTAGGCGTGGTCGAAATCTGTTCTTGTCCCCTTCGTGTCCCCTATCGTGGAGTGAAAAATTGCAGGGTCTCTAGAAGCGTGTGTGATCTCGCGTGCGCAGTATATTTAGTACTTTGAGGAGAAGTTTTCAGTTTGGTGGCTTTGAGCTGCGTAGCAACGGACGGGACACAACTAGATCGCGCTAAGTTGTCATGGCCCTGCCAACCAATCAAACTACATTGGCTTATTCACGATCTAAGACTAACCCTTGACCGAGTGACGTGTGTCCGACGAGTCATCATGAGGATGTCGACCGGCATCAGTTCGGTTTGGGCCGTTCGACTGATGGGCCTGATTTCAATACCTCAATTACCTAAACGACCGCGTAATAAGTATGGCCGGCTTCGGCGTGTTCTCGCTATTGTACGTCCAAGGAGATGCTGACGCGGCCCAGGGAGCTGTCGCAACTTTCGGCAAGTAATGATTCAACTTGTGGGACTCGTTATGTGGTCCGGATCAAGATGTCCGAGGGGGCCGATAGAGGCTCATTCATGCAAAGTGTGCAGTCTTCTTGAAGCTTGAGTATTGATTAATATCTTTGTCCTTGCAGTACTATTGTTAGAAGAGAGACTCGTGCACTCTTTGTGTAGCCAGAGTCTCTCCCACCGGCCGAAACGTCCTCCGAAGATGTCCTCATGGCGAGCAGTCTTGAATAATCATTCCGTTTCTTGCAACACTGTCAATTTACAGCCCACATGGGCCGTGATCTTGTACTTAAGGGTTCCGAAACATCCACGTGCAAGCATTTGGAAGCTGCATGCGGATGATGACAGGAAGATATTCACGAATACCATAGTATGCAAGGAGCGACTGTCTTCATCCATCTATGATCTGCATGGGAGCTACGTACTCCCTGAAAGCTACTAACTCCTCACTCTCTAGAATAAATCGTATGAGCACTCTGGTTTATGCAGAGATGAGCGACTTACGTTCTCGGGTTCAGGTGGGCAATTTCGTCTAGTGGACCTTGTCCTTCGTTGATATTACTGGAACCTTCATCGTGGCCATCAAGTGCCCCGAGCCCCGATCCATCCAATAACACCTCTAATGGATCGACCGCGACGGTGGCGGGATGAGAGAGTGTTCCAGGATTGAATGTATCAGAGCCTATCGGGGGGACATGTTCAGAGTAACGTCGCGCATTTGTGGGATTCGGTGAATTCTATGGCAGTTGGCGCAGGTTATGCAGGATATGAGGATGGAACGAGTAATTTATATGACATACCTCTGAAACCGGGCGAGCAGAGACGCTCATTACTTTCAGGAGAGTCAAAGCGATGACAGAGAAGATGACATTTGGCAGAAGGAAGACCATGACGCTTGTTTTATGCTAGTCTGTGAGATAAAATTCAAGAGGAGTAATTCTCGACCTGCGAGATACTATTAATGCGTGCTTAGTATACAAGATGCAGGAGTAGAGAGAGAATTGCTGGTACGGTACGGTTGAACGCGACTGGTACCGTGTTGAGGTCACGTGTCTCTTGATATTATGCGCTTGTCAGCAGCTCAGACTTGCACAGAGCTGTCTCTGATCAGTGTTGAAATAGCCTTATATAATGAGCGAGACCGTCTTACTTTACCCAAGACCACTTGCTCGTTATCCAGGAAGCCTTCTCCTCCTCCCTCTTTTACCTCATCGACCTCCTCTAAAGCCTCTTCCTTCAGAAATATGGTCCAGCATTTTTGTGCAGGCCCTCTTCGAGGGCGGTCAAGATGCCCAATCACACAACGCGCATAATAATATAAGGCGTTCGTGTTTATCATTGATGCTAGTATGCAAGGGTTTCAAGGCGAGTAACTTGAGTTTTCAAAGTACTTCTTACTACGTGCTGGAAGCAGGCGAGGGACGGAGTGTAGTCGCATATGATTGTGGATGACTGTCTCAATCCATTTAATTCACCTCGTTTCACTATGCTGACATATCTTTGCGGTAGGAAGTTGCAATGCCACTCTTATATTCTAAAGTGTACTTGCGCTCTGTGAACTCCTTGCAGAAGTTTACTGCACATCTTCACTCTGCAGACCGGATGTGGGATTCTATCCGCAGAATTCCTTACTCTACCCCCGGGCGTTGGGTACAAGTGCTTGATCTTTCTGCACTGCTCGGAGGGTTGGATTCCTCGGCGTACTATGCAGTTAACGCACTTTTGACGCAACTTTTCCCCCTGCTGCCGTTCCTTGCAAATTTGACTTTATATTCTGGATTTCTGCTGAGCTGTCGCGCACTTGCATCTCTTACACACAGAGATGGCAGCTCCAATATCCGTACACTGGGCGGAATTCGTTATGATCCCTCCGTGTACTCCGCAGTGGCAACTGGTGATGACCATTTCGTTCAGTTGCTGCGGGTATGCGTAAATCTGGAGCTACTCGACGTTACCGGGGCTGGTTTGGATGACACCGATCTCGAGTCACATTTTGATAACACCGGAAGTCTCCAAACACCACATATAACTGCCCCGCTCTATCTACCGTACCTGCGAAGCCTTACTATATTATCCATGCCCTCCTCTTTGTTGATGTATGCTCTTTTGCACTCCCCCCTACCACGTTTACGGACACTGTCACTTACTCCATATCATGACATTCCCTTTCCGGCATCGCTGTCGTCCCTCTTTCTTGAGACGCACGGCTCGCATCTTCGTAATATATTTCTCTTCACTCCAAAATCTTGGCCTACACGCTATCATTCATCACCCACCACTATACTCCACACATCACCACATCTCAGGCACCTTTCTCTTGAATATCCGCTACCGGCACTTACAGTTCCATTTCAAACGCCATTGACTGCTGTATCATCACCGTGTATTTTTCCCCTTCAGATCCTGTCAATTCCCCGACCCAGCAGTGACTTCTGGGTCACTTTGGAGAGGCTCCTCCCCTTTCTTCCTTCCCTACAAATTATACGTATGCGTGACGTGCGGTGGTTAAGGCATGGTATGACTTCCCGTGCTCAGGAGGCTGGAATTCAGGGTGAGATGTTGGAATGGGACTGTCGCTTGGCTCGTAGAGGCATTCGACTATTGGACGGAAATTGGAAAGAGTCGCAGGCACGTGAATGAATGCGGAATGTTCAAACTCTCAGAGCTAGTTATCAACATCATCTATATTTTAGTGTTTCCTGCTCTCTGCTCCATGTTGTACATATCTTACCCCTCACGGTTCACCTCTCAATATGATTATTATCTTGAACTACATGCTATCCTTTTGTGGACTTTTTTTCTAAGAAGCTGAAGGAAACTATCTTGGACATTGAATCACCTGAGCAAACTGTTGTTCGCTCCGAGTTTAGGTTAAGAATACACATAGTACAGGCAGCAGATGCTTCATGACCTCGAAGTACCTAAAATGTCATCCATCTCCTCCACAAATTTCTGATAATCATCCTTCTTTCCAACATTGGGCTGCATGCCCTTCGAAGAACTTTTTTCATTCAGGGAGGCTGCCCCAACCACAGGTACCGGTCCAAATTTATCCATCAACGAACTCACAAGATCCGGTCGCGAAGCTTGTGCTGGTTCCGAAGCTTCTGACCCTGTACCAAGAGAAGGAGCTGCGTTAACCTTAGATGACATCATCCCAGCAGCAGGCTTTTTCCGCTTGAGTGATGTCGGAACAAACGCCGTAGCCTCCTTCTTGAAATCTCGTAATTGCGGGGCGGCCGAAACCGTAGCTGTGGTATTGTTACCAGTAATCCCTAAGGAAACAGCACCAGGGGCTGGCGGAGGTTTGGGGGGAAGTGATGGATGGGGCGTCAGGCGATTGACACGGTGTGCTTGGTATGTCTGATGAGGGATGGAAGAAAGCGGATCTTGCATGGACGAGGTAGACTGTACACGGGGGAAAAACCCAGGAGGTGGAGGAGGCATGTGAGGTTGCATGAATGCAGATACGGGAGGGTATGGTGAGATACCGGGCGGGAAGCTAGGAGGAGGAATATGTCCAAATGGTGGAGGTTCGTGGGAGTAAGATGGTGGAAATGGCGGGGGACCCGGGATAGAATTAACAAACGTTGGTGGTGGTGGAAGCGGAGCGCCGGGAAGGTTTGGCGGCAGTGGTGGTGCTATGAGCTTAACTTGAGAATTTAACGTATGTTAAACAAAAGATAGGACGAACCTTGAAGAATGCTCGGTGGAGGTCCTTCTGGCATCGGAATGTCATCATCGCTGTCAACCATATCATTGTTGTTGCCAGTTGGAGGAGGACCTTCAGGCATAACGACGTCGTCATCTAGGCAATGGAAGAGGTAATGTTGAGCAAAAGAACAAATATATTTGCTGACCGCCATCAGCCTCATCATCACTGGCCGTCTCGTCAGGCCGCAGAGCTACAGCAAGATTATCAGAATTGATTTACACCGTGTATCATGAGAGTTAATTTACGTCTCTCCATGTAAGGCATTCCTGGAGGGGGTACTCCATAGGGATTCATGACAGCATCATAGTAGATGCTTCGTTCAGGATGCCGAGGCAAGCCATGTTTGTTGAAAACATTTCGTTTCTGCTCGACAACCGGTTCCTCTTTGTTGACCTCATCCTTGTCTCTACGAACTCGATAGACAAGTTTACGTTGTTCAGGATGCTCTTGGACGTATTCTTCTTTCTTAGCCATGATTTTGCTTAGCTCTGCCTTGAGTTCTGCTAGGCGATATTTCTCTGGGCCAGAGGGCTCTGCCAATCCCTCGAGCTTCTCAATTTCATCTTGGAGATCTAACAAAGCAAGAGTGAGTCGAATGCCATTGTAGACAAGAAGATAAGCTAACCTCTTGTGTCTTTCTTGACTAGAGCAAAGTCACGAGCTTTAGACCTCTCTGCCTTGTTCTACTGCAGCAAAAATAATCCCCAAAGGTGTTTAGTCCAGATATGATCATCGAAGAATGTATGCTCGCCTTTTTGAGTTCTTTCTTTCGTTGAGCCTTTCCTAAGGGTCAGTGCCATTCATTACGAGGCTTGTGTGTAGTCCATAAAGAGACTCACTAAACGCATCCGCTGGGTTGAGATTTTTTCCTTTTGCCATGGCGGCGTAGGCTGAACTTCTGATGGGCTTGCAACTGCTTGCGCTTAGTTCTCGCTTGCAAACAGTACGGTACCGACACGTGACTCGGATAGGTAGTCTTGGGAGTCATAAAGCTGACAGATATCATTCACTAATCGTGGTGGTCTCTATCCCACTTGTAGGGAAGAACCCCACGAGGGATCCGTTTGTCCACCAATTATACTCAGTAAACCGACGACTGTTTCCGTCAGTTTTGCTCGATGACGTTGCAGCTGAGAGCACAGGCGCCAGCCCCGAAGCGACCACCAAAGATGGCCTCAAATCAGTCCTTGAACCATCTCTTGAACTTCACACTCCCTCCTAGACAGATTCAGCCTCATATTGTGCCTAGGAGGAGTAAGAAAGCTGTTCATTCAGCTGTGTGGAACAAGGAGAGTGAGTATCGTCTTCTCTATTGTATCGTGCTACTTCTTATAGTGCCGCAGGGTTCGTGAATGCGCAGTACCGGTTTGTTATGAATCCAAGCGGGGACTATACAGTCCACTTCGCGGATCCAGACATGTAAGGTTTCCAATATACACCTGGACCGCTCACACTAACTATTTATCTCAGCTTTTTCCAATGGCACGATATATTGCAAGTCATTATTCCACGGTCCTCGGCCTTAGCATCTGCTATTTTCGTCGGCGGGGAGCAAAGTGTGCAGGAGGAGGGGGTTAAGACCTGTCCTATCTGTTTGTCCCCTCCGACTGCTCCGCGAATGACAAAATGCGGGCATGTCAGTAACTGCCTTCTACTACGTACCAACGACTGAAGATCACTTCCCAGGTATATTGTTTTCCTTGTGTCTTACATTACCTGAGCATGTCGGACAACCTCAAATGGGCGCGATGTCCGGTGTGCTTCGACACGCTCAACGAGAAACAGTTGAAAAGTGTCAAGTGGTATGATGGGCCTCAGTTACAAGAGGACGAGCCTGCTCTTGCCAGTGGCTCCTCGTGTATCACGCAGATTTCGGACCATGATGCGACACCTCGAGCTGGATCCACAATGCGGATGCGACTGATGCAACGTCCTCAGATGACGACCCTTGCATTACCACGCTCACGTACTTGGCCATCGGACTTGATTCCACCTCATCAGGCTCCTTTTCACTTTCTTCCCGATGTGTATGCATATGCCAAGTTCATGCTGGCCACTCCTGAATATCTAATCGCCGATCTCTCCCACGATTTGGATGCGCTCGCCGTAGAACGCCGGATGATGGCCAGCATGCGAGATGAACTCAGCATTTCGTTTATTGATGCAGCTGACCAGAAGATTCGTCATCAGATTGCCAAAGCAACTGCATTAGAATCGCCGCAGCTGAAGGAAGCCATTGATAGAACTCGCAAAGATTGCGACGACATCATACGACGTCACAACCTTGAATGTGCGCGAAAGCTTGCTGGGGAGACGAAAGGAGCTGCACTCCCCGAGGCACCAGAAGAATTTCTTGCCACAGGTTCGAGCTCTGGGATTTCCGTATCTTGGCACATTCCTGTCACTCCCGAGTCGACACCAGCACCCGTTCCGACTCTCCCTGTCAATGCTTTCAACAATCGTAGTCACAGACAGCGCCGTAACATTAATCCTCCTCCTCCATCTACGCAGACCTACTACTACTATCAGGCAGCGTCTGGCCTGCCTATCTATTTACATCCTCTGGACATCAAGATCCTCTTCTCGCACTTCAACAGTTATGCTTTATTCCCAGACACAATTACAGTCTGTGTAGAATCTGCTAGTGAAGGTACTGTTAACGACGACCTGCGCAAGAGGTGCAAGTACCTCGCACACACACCAGAGGGTGCAGATGTTGTTTTCATCGAAGCAGACTTAGAGGGAGTTGTGGGTCAAGAGGGTCTCAAGAATTTCGAAGGGGCGATAAAACTACGTAAGTCCAGGAGGAAGGAGAAAGGTAGGAAGGACGACCGCGCACGTGCACGCGCGGAGGAACGCGAAAGAGAGAGGGTTGCTGTGCCGTGGACGGAGTCTGTGTTCTCGGCGCCTCTCGATCCCGTTTGTCATGCTGTGGAAATTGAGGGGATAGCGAATCACGAGTCCCCTTCCCCGCAGATTAGCGGTGCTTGGGGTTCGATGAGCTTTGCATCTGTTGCGCACTCTGCATCGGGTGCAGAACTCAGACCTCGGAATATAAACAACCGCAATGCGAGCCAGGATATCGGGGACGAGTGGGAATTGGATGCAGCTTGGCACGAACTTGAGCAGCGAAGCACAGGCGGACAAGGGAACAAGAAGAAGAAGGGGAATAAACTTGTCGTCATGGGCGGTGGAGCGGGGGGGCGAAGGCGATAGATATTCATGCTGGAATGGTTAATTCTGATATATTATATTTTTGTAACAACAACCTGTAGTGTCACTTGTTTGAATTGTTGAAATGACTCAATAGGGACCCTAGTCGGCTTTTGCAAGGATACACATGTATGTTAACAGACATGCGGGTACGCAGGGCGCCCGTGCAAGATTCGAGCCAAGGAAAGCTGGAGATTGCCGAGTAAGCCGGGTCCGAAACCGTTTGACTGAAAGCGCGCGTCTCGCCGAGTTCACTCAAGCGTATCATAGGCGTTATATTTGGTACAGAAGGCGTGCTCAAGCGAATAAAGAAATAAATGGTTTCAAATGCGCAGTACCTGACAGCGGGCTAGTGTGGTCAACGTACATACATATGACAGCAAATATTGCGCTAATGAAATGCGTCATGCAGGGACTTTACGTGGGTCGCGAATATAAAGTCCGTGAATATATGACAACGTTCATTTTTTTTCGCAAGACGCCGAACGAATTGTTCCGACGACAAAGACAGCCGTTATCAGTGTGGAGCACATCAGATGCCATGAGGGCAATGTGATTGTTACTTCCGGTTCTGCTCGTAATTTCCACCGCATCGAAGCTGATGTAGATCAATTCCGAAGACGCCCTTGAGTGTACAAATGAAAGCCTTGCTGCTCACATTGACCCTATTTCAATGATTCTGGGGAAGGCTCGAGCCTGAATAAGTCGCAGGCCAGCCAGTGTGCGGACATTGAACACGCCAGTGTTACACGAGGACGAGACAATGTAAAAGGCGGTGATTATGAACGTGTCCAAATGAACTTGCAAAACGATGAAAATAAAATAACTAAAAATCCATCAAAGTCTGGGAAGACATCAGCTGTTATCAAATATCAAGAAAATAGACAAACACATATATTACATGTTCACTTGATCCAAAGGGGTGAACTGAAGCCAACTGGTGGGCTCTGGTGAGAACATACTAACATCTGAAGAATGCCGATGCATAGGGGATGCGATACTGGTCACAGACACGATCGAGGGCATTGGTTGGACTATCTTGGAAGTAGCAGGGCGTATTCAGAGTGTATACTAAACACAGCAAGTTTTGAAATACGAACCGTCACTGATCTCGGTTGTGAGTAAGAAATATGGTATGGTGTTCCTTCAAGGACTACGAGGTCGCTGAGTAGTGAGTGAGTCGCGAGATTGTTTTCGTGCCTCTTCCTCCATTCGAGCCAGCTTCCGTCTCGCTTTCTCTTCTGCGACTCTCCTAGACTCCGTCCACAATTCAAGAGTGTAGTCATGCAGGGTTTTGGAGTATAATATCAGTGGATCCCGGGCCTGTCCAACACTAGAGATTGAAGACATTTGATGCAGAATTCGGAAGAACAGGGATGCAAGGCGAGTGACAAACAGACACCACGATCCCTACGAAGAGGGAAATATATATGGTGAGGGTGTTGCGAACCATTCGGATCACTTGAGCCGCCCCACCGCTCCACAACTGCTTGCATGTAATTGGTCACAGACCTTCAATGTCCCCGCGGTATTACACCAACCTCCATTTATTCTCCGTGTCGTTAAATTCACAGTCACTTGGTAGTAACACTGCCCCCTTCATGGCAGTACTAGTAGCGCCGTATCTCAGACAAAGAATTCTTTGGATCTGCAATCCATACGGTTACTCAGCTTTTAATTAAAGGAGGGTCACTTCGAAAAATAATGATCTCACACTATCTGTACCCCGGTTTTGCATCATGTCGAACCTTGGAGTACTTTACACACCATCATTTTTCCTGTTTTCCAATTTCACTTGACTTTTCTCGCAACATAACACGGGTCACTCATCTTGTAGCACACGTGCATATTTTCTGCATCAGTGCAAGTGATGTGAAGGAACTGACAAGATCCAATTGGTCCCTCAAACTTAAATCCGGATACCGGCATCGACAATTGAGCTAATCATGATGTCAGCTTGGGTCAGCTCCCACTACCTCTACAGGCCCAATCGCGGCTGCGATCCATTGGTTCCCCACGACCGGGCTCGGTACTGAGCGAATATCGCCAGGTACCCTAGGGATTCTATCAATTGTCCGGAATTTGAAGCTTTGAAGGTTGACTCAGGGTTAAACGTTCAACAGCGGCTCAAGAAATGATAGTGAAGAAACCCTAGAAACGCTTTGAAAATCCGTTGCAAGCATTTCGAGCGAAAACTCGGAGTACCGTTGTACTCCTATCCCAGGTCTGAAGGAAAAGGTTCATGAAAGTCGTCTTTGATATATGATAGTGGAGTAAGTACGATCTATAAAGTAACACGAGTCCACCAATTTTACGCCAAAAAGTTCGAGGATGGCGGAAATGTGAAACGGATCTTAGCCAAAAGAAAGCACAGCAACACGTCATGCGTGTGTTCGTGTGGATGTACTCCGTTTAGGCAGAATGACATCCCTAGCATGGACATCAAGGGTAACGTGTATATCGTGATATTTCCGCAAGTCAATTGCCTCCGTTTTGGCCACCCCCGCGGTATCGTTCGGAAGCCAGATGATCGGCGCTGGAGCAAGCAACTCGGGCGGATACATGATACCCGACATCTCTTCGGCATGGTCCCCAAACGATAACGGAGGAAGGTGCGGAGGAGCATCAGGATGCGTTCTGGCAGCCCGTTCTGTAGCGATTAGATCATCTAGGGTCTCCGTTCCTATAAGACTAAATTAGTACATTGACGATGTTTCAGACAAATGTTCGTACGAAGTGGTAGCGGACCACGATGATTTGAAGCTGATGGCATAACCGCTAACGTGAGAGACATCATTTCGAGGACAGAGGCCATGGAGCCCCTCGTGCGGTTCCCTCTAGCAGTGATCATGCTGCGAGTCTCGTCATTGGTATCAGTACGATCATCTGATTCCAACGCCCTGCAAAATAATCTAAGAGACTCTTGAGTGCTCTCAGATAGCGTTTGGAAGCCTGCAAGCCTCGTTTTGTGTATAGTGTACACCTCCACTATTCCCGCCACAACGAGAGCTATGCCTAAAAGTATTCCTCCTTCTATCCAGAGCCGCCGACTGAGCAAAATTAAACCAAGGAGTAGAGGCTGTAGCGCAAGGAGTGTACCCATTCGCTTCAGCAACCAGATCTGGAGAAGCCCCCCAGTCTCCGAAAGAGTTCGGGCGTAAACATACCCAACGAGATATCTATGAGCTGATAAACAGTCATTTCGGCCTGCGAAATACTAAGGCACAAGATGACGCACCAACAAGAGTCAAAAATAGCAGAATCACAATAGCGGGCCCGATCAAAGGGAAAATGAGACAAAATGCCGATGCAAAAACCATGGATAGTGCGCAAGCACTTGCAACATAAGAAGCATCATAAGTTGTCGGATATACAGCTGGTCAGTGAGATAAGTTAAGTTTATCGCAATCGAGATTGAGTCAGGAGCCGTACCTCGGTAACGTTGTCTTGGGGTGACGGCGTCTTGTTCCGAATGAAGAACAGACCATGCTCGGAAGGGTTGTAACAGCATTAACCCAGGGAATACGACAGCAACGTTGATAACGAGAACAAAAGCGAAAGCGCTCATATAAACATAACCGGTTGCGACCGTTTTGGCAATGTCAACCCCATGACTAAATGCATCTAACGCGAAAAGGAGAGCGCCGGCAGTGATAGTAAATGCGGCAAGGACAATTACTATGGTGCTGAACACAAGTTTGACGGTGAGCACTCGAATCCCGGACACGGATACGATACTACTCCACCCAGCTGCCCCTGCATCACACCTTGATAAGCATTACACAGGGTGAGCATGTCATGAATGTGCTTACGTTTTACAATCGCGAGTGCAACGACAGTGAAAAGTGTAGCGCCAATTGCGGGAGCAAGGGAAGTTGCTAATCCAGAAATAAGATTCCCATGATCTGAAAGGGGGCGCAAGAAAGGTAAGTAATGCTCCACGCTAGAAGCAGTGCCGAGGGAAAGTCCCGCGACGGCCGTGACTATACAGAGTTCAACACCGATATTCCCTCTAAATCGGAAAAAACGTGACTTACGGCCAGCGACAAGGAGTATATTGACTACCACCATAACCAACCAAAAGGCTGCAGAATCCAGCAGCGTCGTTTCGTTCTGCAGCGTGTCCCAACGTACGTCTTCCTTTGCCCTACCCTCTATGAGCTCCACAGCGTGCATGTGGCGCAAACCACGCCCGATGATAATCCAACCCTTGACTGGCGCGCCATCGGCAATATCTGCATAGGAATCTTGCTGAGCTTCGGCAATCTGCATGTTGATGAGCTTCAGTCGAGAACGCCATTGGTTTATTTCGGCATAAACAGTACCGAGGTTATCGTAGTTAAGGTCAGAAGCAGGTCGAACAAACGGCTGTCGGGGCTGCAGGCGTAAATGAGGTGGCGGAACATCTTCAGCAGGAATGTGATCTTTTGCTCGGATCCTTAATGGAAAGGTCTCTCGACGGTCGGATGACGTATCAAGATGTCTCTGACGTTGCCTCGGGGGCGCAAGCTCTTCCTGTGGTCTGGGTGCTGGGTAAGCACCAGGTCCCTCGCCTAACGGTCTCCCAAATTCAATCTCGTGCTCGTGCCCGAGAACGACCCAGTCGTCATCAAGAGATTCCCGAATTTCCAACGACGACTCCACAGTGAGATATTCAGTGCCTGTCCCAGTTCCACCACCACTTTCAGGTGACCCTCTGCCATAGTTTGGCCCGTAGTACTTTGGGTCAGGAACTAAGATCGACGGCTCTCCGAGTTCCTCTGTTTTTACATGGCTTCCGGATGGCATGGCATTGTAGGATGCCGAACCTCTGTCCATCTCCTGGAAGCGACTGCTCATAGTTCGTTGTTTGAATGAATCAGTCAGGCTAATCGGCGTGCTGATGCTGTCGGAAAGTCTCCCGCCATTAACGTTTTTTAAGCCACGTAATTTGTAGTACTGTGATGGGGCTACGAATGAGGTAGGAGCGAAAGACGAGTTAGCCTGCGCCGGGTTGTGTCTCCGATGGCGTGGACGGTTTCTCTGAGGGTAACTATTAGCCCAAGGGACATAAAACTGTACACTGAGGTTATCACCGATCCAACTAAAGCACGAGGCCTGCCTATGTGAGGTCTAGATGGCGTGATTTCTGATCCACCGGAAGCGAGAATGTCAAGATCAGCAATCGAGGGATCGGGCGTTGAAATTTTGAAAGATGATATGTATCTTGTTTCTGCAACTTCGAGATTTTCCAGAATTTCGTCTCGTTCTGCAATGAGGAGTGCCAAATTATGGGTGTCACTGGAGAATGTTACTGCATTAGTGTTCATGAATGTGTCTTAAAACGCCTTCTTACCATACAGTGAACAGACTTTGGACATCAACCTCGAGCACTGAATCCTGATGGTTCTGATAGTAAGACTGAGTTCGGCGTGAGAGCTGCTGCGGTCGGTTGTTGGACCGAGAAGAGCCTCCCAAGGAAGAACTGAGTCCAATTTTGACAAGATAATCCTTGACACGCTTCTCCCCCCATCCTGCAAAACCGGAGGCTTTTCCGGAGCTCAGCCAACCCATTTCCTTCTCTTCGCATCGCACTTCTAACCAGCGCCGGCGGAATGCAACAAGGTAGTTGATTTCTTTCAGTATTTTATATAGCGCGGGTAGCGTAACCGCAAATACTGCCAAGATAGCAAGAATAACGATGCGCAGTCGAGCCTTCGATACCTCGTCATCGCTGTTAAACAAATCTAATACTGAATAGGCGGTATTTGTAGAGGTTGAGTTGGCTTCTAGTGACTGCAGGAGACGTAGCAAGCTGAGGTCTTGAATTGTGGAGTAAACTCCAGTAAACTCAGGGTCGCCTGCCGAGTACGCAAGGCATGGCATGGACACGAGGTATATCGGCAAGGCTCCGACAAGGCCCACTAAACTCCAGCCAAGCACGATGATGAGACACGTCCATAGAGTTCGTTGGCTCAACTCCTCGTCGGATGGAAATAGGCGAGCGTCCACTCGAGCTGACCTTCCAGTGTCAGGGATATCTGAAGGTATAGGTGGAACAAGCGGTAAAGGGGGAAAGAGGAACGCGCCAAGATTCGAGCTTAACCGATGCGGTCGCAACCTGTGAATGAGTTAGCATATACTACTACATAGATACTAGCGTCCTACTCTTGTTGGACGAACCACTCTCTGAGCGCATATATCTGTCGGTAACGTGGACGTAGTACAGCAAACAGAAGCTGCCAGACCAATTGAGTCTATGGGCACAACGGAGGACTACCAAGTGATGACTCACCCAAATGCCGAGGCCGACACTCGTTGGAAGCACCACGGTCGAGATTACGCCGTCCGAAGCTGAATCTAGGCCATCCCCGATGCACACAGGCTGAATCTGCGCAGCACTTCGATACGAAAAGACATGAGATGAAGAGTCGGATCCCGATACAACAGCAGTTGAATATGGCACAAATGTTGAGGTTAAATGGGTTACAGTGGGGTATGAAGGGGTATACATCACGGGGTATGGACTTGAAGAAAACATTGAATCACCGGGGTTTGGTGGTACAAACAGCAAATTCGACATGGGTGGTAGTTCATCAGAATGAGTGGGCGAATGAGTACTGGTTCCAGAGGCAGTTTCGGACCACCTTTGGCTTTGACCATCCGCTTGAAGTTGCCTAAGTCGTAGCGCCAAACCGGCGTCTGCGTGAATGGTCATAAGAGCCCTCGACTGGGCGGGTCTGAGTGGGTATGCAGCAAATAAGTAATGAATGAGTAATTCAGTGGAGATTGACAATTTCGTTTCGGTGACCAGGTCGTAAGAAGGTTCAAATTTTCTGAATGATGAACCGATTAAACCCCATATTCGGTTTCATGCCTTGTTTAATACTCTTACAAGAACGTTGCTACAAGAACTTAAAAATAGAATGTCTATCTGCAAGACGCCTCGGGTGATGATTATCGTCTGCGGACTTCTGCCAGTACCCTACGGTTTACCTGCGGTATATGACTACTGTACTGCATGTGTGCTCCTTCAGACATGATATTGTAGTTTCCAAAATAACCCATTAATAAAAGTACAACCTCAGTATAAACACAGACCAGCCTCAGCAAGAACAAAAACATTGCATGGTCCTAATGCTGGACGTGTCATTTTCAAGTGAACGTGAGCCTTTTGGCGCACCCTTGATCGCGACATACACAGATCACGAAATCAGAAAAGATGAGTACATATAGCTGTATTTTATGATCAAAATGTACATGTTTTCTGGACAGATACAAGAACTTACTCGTAAACGCGGACGGCTTAGTACAGTGCATAAGACTTGCCATGCATGGTCATAGCGCATCTCGATGAACGAATAACCCTTGTCCGTCCTCAAGGACCACAAATACTTTGTGACCTCTGACCCATGGAGCGGGTTCTCTTTCAACTGGTCTTGTCGATTCGTATTTCGAATGGTTCCGTTTCTTCTTTTGTCTGTGCCTGAGTGACCAGGACTTAAACGTAGGCCGTGAAGAAGCAACAGCATGGTCCTTGTAATGGCGATTCTGCACCCTGCTCTGTGATCCACCCATGATACGAAGGGAGTGGCTAGCTGTTTAATAGTAGATGATGAGCATTGAATACCTCACATCCGAACTTGAACCTTACAGATTGTTTTGAAGGTATGTGCCAGAAGCAAGGAGACTTAACGGTGAGATCAACAAAAGAATGCCCCTGCACTCGGGGCCTTAAGACCTCAACAGATCCCCCCTCGGAATTGCAGTGTACTAGTGCCGACGTAAGATGCCTGATGCGCGGCAGTGCTTGGGAGGTTTGGCCAACATTGGATCAGTAGATGTAACATGAGAGTATGATAGATCCATCAGATCATGATGGGGGACAGGTCACAGCTCCAAAATAAATTTATCAAAGCTGTACGTGACAACGGGGCTTGAGCTTGTCGGCGAACGCAAACCCGTCATTTAGCGCCAACCAGCGAATCCTATTTGATGGTATCAGTAATTATACGCCTAGCTAAAAACCTCCTCACTGGTACAGGACGCGAGTCTAATTCTGCAGCCATCTTTGAATGCAAAGACTTTGAGCGGTCAGAACAGTTCAACAGTGAAGTTGAATGATATTTGAAATCCTTTCCATGAATTGCCTTTCTGGTCACTAATAACAAACATCCACGTGTCAATGGCTGCCGTTGTTGTACACTAAGTACTTACTGGTCTTTCGCGTAAAATCATCTAAATGGCAAGTACTGCTCTGAAGCATGTAAGTTCTCAAAGACCAATATTTTGTGTTGCTGATGCTGACAGGTCGGTGGCCCAGGCAACTACGCCAACAACATTGCAACAAGCACAAACGGCTGCATTGCTCGCGCTGCTTAACCTGAACGCTCCATCAGATCCATGTCCTATTCAACGACCAGGAACACCATCAGGAAAAACTTCAACTGGACTCAAGGTCCCAGCTACTGGGCCTCCCGTGTGGAAGGTCTTGGTGCTAGACCAACAAACGAAAGACGTGTTGGCAACCGTTCTTCGAGTACAAGACCTTCGTGATGTCGGCGTCACACTCCATGTGTAAGTACCAATCAGTTGTTATGATATCACTTGCATCTAAGTTCTGCATAGACAATTGCATTCTTTACGCCCTCCACTGCCAGACGTTCCAGCCGTTTATTTCGTTGCCCCTACGCTCGACAATGTGAGACGGATAGCTGAAGACCTCGACAAATGCTTGTATGAGTCCTTCCACCTCAACTTTGTAGAACCCCTCCCCCGTGCCTTGCTAGAAGAGCTTGCAGCCTCTGTTGCAAGCGCCGGAACAGGTGACCTGGTTGCGCAGGTGAGTATATTGTGCATGTCGGTCTGTTTTCAGTGTGTTGATGCACGTTTCCAGGTTCTCGATCAGTATTTGTCATTTATTGCACCCTCTCCCTCACTATTCTCGCTGTTGTCACCTCTTCCTTCTACGTCATCTAGTCAAGCAGGGCCATCCCAGGCGCCTGTGACATCTTATACACTCCTGAACTCCCCATCATCCACCGAACAACAGATAGAAGGTGAGATTGAACGCATATCCAATGGTCTCTTCAGTGCTGTTGTCACAATGGGTGAGTGTGGTATATTCATGGTATTGTCGATGGGTGACTTAAATATCGCATGGGTAAGGCCATGTTCCGATCATCCGCGCGCCCAAAGGCAATGCCGCGGAGATGATAGCAAAAAAGCTCGACATCAAAATACGAGATGCGATTCTTTCAGCCTCCCGAACTCATGGGGCTACATCATCATTATTCGCGCAAGATGCATCTGGCTTGTCGAATCTGCAACGACCACGTGTGTTTGTTCTATTCCTCGTGTTAAATTACTGAAACCGTTCCAGTGCTGCTGATCCTTGATAGAAATGTTGATCTCGTTTCGATGATCTGTCATGGATGGACGTATCAAGCTCTAGTGTCCGATTGTCTAGAGATCAAACTCAATCGTGTAGTTGTCACTCAACCACAGAAGCGTTCGTATGATCTCGATTCCAAGGACTTCTTCTGGGCAAAGAATGCACCAAACCCATTCCCTCAAGTTGCTGAAGAGATCGACACGGAACTGAACAAATACAAGCAAGATGCTGCCGAAATAACGCGATCTACGGGTGTCAGTGATGTTAATGATATTTCGCAAATGTACGTGCTCTTAAAGCTTTGGCATCATGTTTATTGACATAATTGTAGTGATGTATCTTCCAATGCTGTACACTTGAAGACTGCGATCACACAGCTTCCAGAACTGACTGCGCGGAAGGGTGTTCTCGACACTCATATGAACATCGCCACCGCATTGCTGGAGCAGATCAAGAAGCGTGCGCTTGATGAACTTTTCAGTACTGAAGAGGCCATCAACAAACAGGTGCGGCCCTCGTCCGGCTATCTCGATAATCCTCCGTGTTAATTGATATCTAGACTGTTGCTTCGATTCTAGAGATGCTCCGTTCTCATCGTTCAGGCGGCACTTTGACACCGGAGGATAAACTGCGCCTAGTTCTTGTCTTCTACTTATCTTCACCAGACAATGCGATCTCAAAAGATGACATTGTCGAGTTAGAAAAGGAGTTAAAGAATGCAGGAGCCAATACCGAATCATTCGAATATGTCAGACGCACAAGGGAAATCTCGCGGATGACGGTACCCACCGCTGTTGGAGGAGCTTCGACGCCCGTACTCGGTGCAGGTCAAGGAGAACTCTTCAGAGGCTTCACAGCATTCGGAAATAGAGTCAGTATCATCCTTGACTCTCCAGACAGACTGTGATGTTTTTATCATTTTAGCTCACTGACCGACTCAAAGAAGGAGGTCTAGACAATCTTATCTCGGGTGTCAAGAACTTTCTACCAGCGAACAAATTGCTCCCTGTTACCCGAATTACTGAGGCGATCATGGACTCGTCTGCAGCTTCGAACCAGTCGTTGCAAGAAACAGATGATTACATTTTCCTTGACCCCCGGGCTTCTCGACACACCGGCCTTAGTCTTTCAGGAGGTCCAGGAGGTCCAGGAGGCGGTGTGTCTGGAACAGGTAGAGCGAGGCGGATGGCATTTGCAGAGGGCATGATCTTTATTGTTGGAGGGGCAGGTTATGTTGAGTATGGAAACTTGGAGGAATGGGCTGCAAAGACTGGAAAACGCGTCACCTATGGTGGTACAGAGATTGTTGATCCAGGTGCATTCGTCAGTATTCTTCAAGATCTCGGGACATCCACTGCATGATACAAGATCGTACAACCCTAGCTAATAATACATTGGACTTTAAGATAGACCATGGACGCGATGATGCCAGGCATGAATGCTGAGTGGTGAACCATATCAATTGAGGACCTATTACCCGTCAGTTAGTCACTTTCGGTTATTTTGGCGCATAGCCAGGATCTGAGCAAGGCGGATACTAGGGGAAAATTCTTAGCCAGATGCCACGACTCAAAATTTGAAATCACTTACAAGATGTTGATCATATCAAGCTCAAGGGCAACAGATTCTTTTATGGGATCCCTGGGAACGACACCCATCTCCGCCATGCGTGCGTGCTGCAAAATTTTTTGGGTGCTGGAGGAAATAAGTTAATGACCGTATATGAAATGAATCAGAGCCATACTCGTAAAGTACAAGGCCGCCAAAGACGGCAAGACCTCCATAAAGGGAGAGGGTTTCTGCAACAGCGAGGCCACGCATACCCAACGGGAGAGCAAGTGGAGCGAGTGAACTTAAAGCAACGACTGTGACACCAGCCAACAGCGGCCCACCCATGTACAGATATTTGTCACTCCTAAGCGCTAGTTAAATTCAGTGACTCACAAGAAGTATGAAACTTACTTAGCTGTGGCGCCCACGAATGAAAGAGAGCCAACTACGCCACACGTGTAGAGGGCTGCCCGAGATAAAATGGCAGGGCTTAAGAAGAAGAGCGGGCTTAGGGTTGCAGCTTGACACGCATTAAATGCCTGCATCACAATGGCATCAGCTCAGATGCTAAAAGCCAGGGTGATCAAATATACCAGCCAAAAAGCGTGCTTCTGAAAGGTCTGCTCCGGTGGTGTGTAGAAGACACCCATCATCGATCCGATGCTGCCCGCAAGACTGACACCGAGTACCACCCCTGCAAATAGAGCTTCAGAATTGTTCCATGCTACTCTCATCCGAGTCTTCAAGCTCACAAGGGTTCGCGGACATGATTCTGAAGGCGACACCGGACCTGAACAAACTCCGAGCAGCAACTGCAGTCAATGTCAGGCCAGCCCCTGTGTACATGAAACTTTCATGTAAGTAGGATTGTTCAGCTGGGCTCAATCTATCGCGTGTGTCTCTATTCAAGAAACCTTCTGCTAGGATGACAGTGCCCGCGACAACAGCCTAATGAGCCAAAGCGTGTCAGTGGGAGGAACATCCAGGTCTCATGCCATATTACCGCTGTGATTCCGAAACGCTTCCAAGCATCTTGCGATGAAGCGGTTGTTATAGTTTGCGCATCCGTTGTGATAGGACGCGAGAAGCGGGAGAGCAGAGTGGGTGACAAGACGGTCGGGCGGTTTTGCAAGACACTTCGTATGTTCGCATTGTGTGATTGTGTGCGCGTCGAGAAGGGCTGCGCATGTGGCCGTATGATTACTTTACGGCGCAGAGAAGAGCGTAAAGTCGACGACAAACCAAGATATAACATTATAACGAAAGAGACGAGAAGAATGCTAAAGAAACCATGCAAACACTGACGCAGTATTATAACAGAACGTTTGCCGGCGGCATGTGACTACGTCATCGTGGTGGCACCAATCAGGAGCAGAGCAAACTGATTAGCAACAACGAACGGTACATAGCGCAATAATGATAATATAATACAGTCCAGGTAAGTAGGAAAGGCCATCGATGATTAAGAACTCTGAAGCGCCGGCACCTTGCCAGGATCAACAATAGCAACCATCTGACGTTCCAGAGCCAACGCAATCAAGCTGGTATTCCCCCAGCTCTGCCAATCAATCTCGAATATGCCAGACTTCTCGCCCGTATACCACGACCATTTCTTCTCCTTCGACTAAATGGCTCGGTTTCAGCAGATGAAATGAGAGAGAGAGAGAGACGACCCGCCTTGACTTCGTATACCATCAACGAACCATCACCTCCGCCAGTGACGAGGTGACGCCCGTCGGGGCTGAAGGTAACGGCGTAGACATGTTTGGTGTGGTCCACAAAGACCTTAGTACAATTTCCAGTGACAGCATCCCACAGTCGGGCGGTGGCATCAAACGAGGCTCTGGTATATATGTTATAAAAGCGAATATTCATCAAGGCTACAGTCGAAACGTACGTTGCAACCAGCTCATGCTCACCAGGTCCAGTGACAGGACACCACTCTATAGAGGTGAGACATTGTGAATGGCCATTGAGTATTACAGGCGCTGGTAGAGCTTTCTCGGAATGTACGTTTTCGATGTTCCATATACGTGCGGTGCCATCGTCCGCACATGATGCTAGCCGTGTTCGAGAAGGATTGCACTTGACAGAGTTGATCTCTCCTTCATGGCCCCTTAAAGAACATCAAGCTGTTCAACGCGTTTTGTCCACATAAAAACTTACTCAAGAGTATGCAATGGCCCGGCAGCTGTCAAGGATACGATGTGAATGACTTTGTCTGCGCCGCAACTTGCGAAAGTTGAATCATCCAGCCATTCCACATCCAAACAGCAAGCATCTTCCCCTCGAGTTCAACAAGACATCGATTGTGGTAGTTCAATGACATACCACCGTGATTACGATACTGTCGATGAATTCTCTTTTGCTTGACATCCCAGACACACGAAGTGCAATCTAAACTAGCTGTGGCGATCCATTGGCCAGAGGGTGAGAATTGCGCAGCGAATATTGGACCCTACCGAACATGTATAAGAAGAAAGAAGGATTGACGTGCTGCCATACCTTATGGTGACTATCCTTGAAATATGTTTCCCCATTCGGTGTGCAAATTCTGAGGATGGAATCATAGGAGCCGATAGCTACGAGTGAGCCATCATGATTCCAGTTTAATGCTGTCAAATCAGCCTGTGACTCCAGAGTAAAGTCTGATAGAGTTAGTGTGGGTTGTATGGGGGTTGTGTAATCATTATTTGGTCCACTGGGCACGGCCCAATAATTCACAACAGCATCACGCGACCTGTGTAGTAAGAGGTAAATTGCACAAACAGAAAATTGATACCATAGGAAGCACACCCAGAGACTAGCTGGCCTTTTGTCGCAGGATTCCACGCGACAACGAAAACCTAAGAGAAAATCGTGAACAGGGCGGCGAGAACAATATATTGATGCACACTTCGGTCTTGTGAGCCTGTAAGAACCGGACAGCACCAGGACGTGCTCCAACGACACTAGGTTTGTGCTTAAGCTTCTTAGCGGGAGGTTCTGGTAAGGCTTGCGGTGGGTCTGATTTGGCATCCTTTGGTTTTGGCTTTGGGGCGGGTGCACCTGTGATAATTGAAGACAGAGTGGAATAAACACCGGAATGAACACACCGTCGACGTTCATTTGCGCATCTTTCTCGTCCTGCTCCTTCCTTGCTCTCTTCTCAGCTCGGGCATCTTCAGAAGGAGTCGTTGCCTTCCTTTTACCAGCAGTATCACCATTCACCTTGGTAGCACTGGGTTCGCGACCATTATTTGTGGAAGAAAGAGGCTGGAGCGAACACGCGTGAGGGTCTAAGAGTGAAAACGGAACTGAACAATTTGTAGACAACTCGTCTCCCTTCCAATGAGCTTCGACCTCGGAGTAAAGGAGCGCTTTGCTGAGAAGTTCGATGAGTTCACCGCGTGGAATATGCTTCTTGATGTGAGGCGACTGGTCGAGACGACCTTCCATTCGTATGGCGAAAGCAGAGTGCTGGAAGCCTGGCCAACGAGTCAGATGTGACAAAGATGGGCAAGAACGATCATAGGAACTGCACCGGAATCCAAAAAATAAGCATGTATGAGGCAATTGACCTGATCCGCTGTGATGAGAAGGGGCGCCGGCATGGCTGCTGCTCTCAAGAGATATGTATGCGTCGAGTCAAGCTAGCTTAGCAAGGTCAAGTAATTATGTAGCGGAGTTGCAAATTGTAGGAGACAAAGTCGCTTCTAGTTTTCCATTCAAATTCAACGAAGTCTCAAACTTTCAAGCTTGTTTTTCGTGCACTCATGGTAAACTGAATATGCTTTCTCTGTAGTCCTCGTAAATGATATACGGTAGCCTGCTGGTTCTGATATTGCGTTCCGACGACTCCTCGCAGGGATGTAGTAGACACTTACTATGAAACCTCTCCACGGAAGCAAATACTTAATGCCTTGAGCTTAAGACCCCGTCGCGGTGCGTCCAGTCCGAGGCAATCATTTGAGCTGTCTCGATCTGTTGGAGAGGAATTCACGTGGCTTGAGCCCATACGGCAGAGATAACCCACACGGCAAAGTCTTACTAAGTTCCCGCCCAGGAGATCTTTCTCACTAACAGTACTAGTAACACCCGAGGCTTCATCATGTCTGAGTACGATCGAATCGATTTCGAGATGCTTGAAGAAAACGATGACGATTATGATGGCCCTGACGCATATGTCGACGAGGAAGATGATGCCGTCTTGGATTTAGAGGACTTACAAGACTCGATACAGGAGCGCACAGGAGTCGCACAGGAATCACCTATGTTGCGCCAAATCTTACTATGTGAGTTTCCTCGCTGCAGGGCATGTTCTACTCATCCGCCGCTGACCTGTAGCGTTATTTAACCCACAAAATACACACCAGACTGACACTAGTGATGGTGACGGTAATGGCAGTGAACCCCGACAGCTCAGGGCCATCAGTATCCAGGACTTGCAGCGTTTGCTGAATTCACATCCTGCGGAGTCTGATTATGAAGAAGAAGATGACGACGAAATCGAAAATGTAGGGGAGTGGCACCAGTCGTGGTTCCCCCCGCACAAGGAACCTCAACAGCCAGGGGTCGAGCTCCTCATGGGAGGAGAATTTGGTTCTGTGAGTTCGAATATCAGGAGCAGGAGAAACAAGAGGAGTATTTCGCAAATGATCTTCGATCAGTCCTCGCGACCCCGAGGAGCAATTTCTAGAGAGCATATGACTAGTGTGCGTCACTTTCTTGTATTTCATGCATATATTTGAATTCATTACAGGAGCTCATTCCGAACACGAACGGAATTGCTGTTGCATCCTATGCCGCAAATGTTTATAGTGGGCAATTCTCGAAAGGTGAACAACTACCGTTCCATTCTTGGTTCATCATTTGACGTCACTCGACAGATTCTTCGTTTTACTACACCTGCTGTCAAGGTGTGTGGTATGCTGCTCTCGCGGGACAATAATTCATACTCCTCTCGAGATTTTCGTCTTCATATCTATGACATGACTTCGCCTCCTTCGCCATACGTGAAACGGTCAAGGAACATATGGCGCAGTGCTACAGGTGTTTGGGATGATAATGACCGCGACCATGACACAACCCTCAAGATATTAAAGACTATACAGGGGTGTCCTGGTCGTTGGACTATTACAGATTCTCATTTGAGTCCTGACAACGAAAGGCAAGCGATTGCATCTTTCCTTCCAACCATGCTTACGGTGTCCTAGGATGATTTATTCGTCGATTGTAAGTGGAATGACTCGGTAATTTCCATCAACTTGAACAGATATTAGTCACCCACGGTGTACATGACAAGCACACTTGACTCATCAGTCACTCAGACTCCCATCAGCTTTCAGGAACCTAATCAACGTCAACGGGCTCGCCCACACTGGGGCTGGGATGATGAAGACTCGTTTGGCATCTGGAGCTGCAGGTTTTCCGCAGATGGAAATGAGGTCGTGGCTGGTGGCAGCGGTCAAATATTTGGTAGAGACTTTATTTTATTTTCGAGTTTCAATTTCTCATGGTCGCACCAACTCAGTATATGATCTCTTGGCTGACCGTAGGACAGTCAAGATTATTGCACATGAAGACGACGTGAACAGCTGCTGCTGGGCTGACACTGCATCGGGGAACGTGCTAATCAGTGCCTCTGACGACACTTTTTTGAAAGTCTGGTGAGTTCTACAAAGATCCATCGACCTTTATTCTACTAATATGAGAAAAGGGACCGGCGTTCATTAGGTGCATCACAGAAACCGTCAGGAGTCTTGGTGGGACATACAGAGGGTATCACCAACGTCTCAGCGAAAGGTGATGGTCGTTATATCATCTCGAATGGAAAGGATCAGGCACTACGATTGTGGGATTTGCGGAAGATGTGCAGCAGCGAGGACTTCGACAATGGTGCTAGCCGCGTCTATAGGACACATGGATTTGATTACCGGTGCGTTGACTCCTCCACTTGAGTGAGAATGAACCTCAACTGTCTTGCTAAGCTATGGTAATTACCCGAAACCAAAACGTGCTGCACACCCGCGTGATTGTAGCGTCATGACCTACAGAGGTCATGCTGTCTTACGCACACTTATCCGATGTCACTTTAGTCCGGCTGAGACGACAGGTGGACGATACATCTACTCTGGTTCAGCAGATGGGAAAATACACGTGAGGATCCAGTTACAATCAACTTCTCTCTGTCTAACACATGATACTGCTAGATATGGTCGCTCGACGGACGCATAGTTCAGGTTCTGGATCGCTCGAAAACATCAGCTATGACATCTGATCCCTCGGAGGTGTGCACACTCCCCAATAGCGCCCGCAGCACAGTTTGCGTGCGAGATGTCAGCTGGAATGGCAATGTCAGCTCATCTTTAGCCCTTTTTGGTCAATTTCACTGATGAGGGTTGTTACAGGAACCAATGATGATGAGCGCTGGTTGGGACGGGGGTCATTCATCGTCGAAGAGCGTTGTTGCGCGTCATGAATGGAGGGGTCTCTCTAATATGTCGTACGGTCTGGAGGATTGGATAGAAAAGCAGAACATAGAGCGTGACGAACGAGCTACGCGCACCAGACAAACACTACGAGTCCCTGGTGCATTTGATGTCGAAGAGGATGACTAGATGATGTCAAGACAGGTGTGACGCCTGTGATATTTATACCTTCACTTGGATATTTACATATTGTACAATTAGTTGTTGTGTGCATTCTGACGAATGGTGAAATCCTTGGTGGCGCGTTTATGTATGCCTCAGAGGGTCGAGGAATCCAGCGCCTACGTTATCTGGGGGATGAGAATGACATATACCAATGGCGTCACTGAACGTTGTTGAAACCGCGGGATGGGCGATATCGATAGCCGCAGAAGTCGACTAACTTTTCCTACAAAGTCTCGATGCAGGTGAATAGCCAACTTCAGTCAGGCCTCAGAGGAGCTTCCAACTTCATACGGTATGCAACAAGCAGCAAGATAGCCCTTTCTTCATCCGTATCTAGTAGTTGCCGGTGTAGAATTTTTGTTGTCCTTCGACAGAGTCACGTTCGCTAGTATGCCGTCTGGTGTGAGCACTGGCAGGATATCTGTCCCAGACTCGGACGATGGGATCCAGAATCAGAACTCCTTGATCATAATGCTGACTCGAGCGGTGAGTTGGAGCTCTCACCGAGATGTTGATCGATGGTTGAAAAATCTTCGTTATGCCAACGCCTGTTCATAAATAGAGTTCTTCTAAATATATCGACTGTACCCATCATGATTGTTCGTTAGACTCTCTATGAGTAGTGAGTATCTTCATCAACGGCATGTACTCGACGTTGAAAGTAGATGGCGAATTTACCCCAGTGGCCGAGAAACTTACTAGGAAGTTGCCCTGAAGGTCAAAGGAGACAGAAATTCTCCAAGACGTGATTGGCTGCGCAGTGACCACCGTACTCAGGTAAAGAATGCAGCTGCGAAGCAGCATAGAACGAAAAATCATTGCAATGGGGAACGATTGCAAGTGGTAGTACATCATTAGGTGAAACCAAGGGCTTTCCCTTTCTGGCACGCTTGGCAGAATTCCTGTGTGATCGCCCCGCACACCCTTGACCACCACCATGTCTGCCAATGCTCAGCTCTATGGATTCCCTCCAGGATACTTTGTGATTCGTAACCTTGGAAATGGTAGGCTATGGGACGTGTGTGGAGATGATGTAGAAGATAGCGCTGAGATTCTACTCTGGCCAGAGAAAGAGAAGTCTTTAGTTGAAAGTGAGTTTGCCTTCCGTGCACGCACAAGTGAACTCTAACAAGACATCAGCCTTGAGAAATCCGGATGCTAATAATCAGGTATGTATGTCACTTCTGTGCAAGTACGTGTCGACCAATGAATCAAACTTGCACCATCCAGGTATTCTTCATTGATACATCGGGCGCTCTTTGTTCGAGATCATCAGGACATGCAATCGATATCGAAGGTGCGACGTCAGCGTCATTTATCTGGTACAGAATCTTACAATTGATACAGGGGACCGTTTGGTACTTCGGCATCGCCGACCCATCTCCCAGCCATATCCAAATGAATACTCGCATCCTCTACCGCGTTTCTCCTACTCCTCAGAAACCCAGCAGATCACTGCATCTTTCCAGTGTGATCCTGCATACCCTCCGCCAGCCGCGCAAAACTCCATCGCGTGGATGCGAAAGACATACGTCCTGTCCTCAATTCCAATGCCCAAACCAAAGTCACTGTTAGACAACGCATCGGCTTTCCTAAGTTCTGCTGTCACAACACCAATTTCGTTTTTCTCTGGTGGCACAGCACAGCGGAAGGCAACTCCTGAGGATGTTTTCAGTGGGGATATAGACCTCACCGAAGACGAAACTCTAGAACAGGATCGAGGTGTAGAAGGCGACGCAGACGACTCCTCCGAGCTCCTCAGAAAACTCAGAGTTTTGACGATCAGTCAGCGGGATGCTCCTCCAGAGGGCGAGAGTGCTAGAAAACGTCGTCAATGGCAGATTTTGCCCTTGCGTACATCAGCTGCTCATCGGAGACTGTTGAAGTGAATTGATATCCGCATCAGTAGTTGTTTTTTCATTTGATTTGGGTTTATATACTTTGTAGTTTCTTTAATGGATATTGGTACTTTGTGAGCCATCTATCATATGTCATACCCCAGACGCGCAGTCACTGAATCACGTGCGTTTTGACTTTCATATCCGGGACCCGCATCCTCTAATTTTGTAGGTTGACCTCAAGCCTCATGTACATACTTCTTTGAGCAGCTGATAGATCATTTTACTTCTTCAAGAGTATGGCGTCTGGAGCTTTGTCCCTTATCGCAACACATGTCATTTGACTTCGCCTGTCGGACTCTGTCCCATTTTCCGGATAAGAACTCGCCAGCCTCTCCAGTCAACATAGGTCTTCTTCCCAAGGAACCAACGTTACCAGAATGACTTTCAAAAGACTCCTTCAATTTGCAATCAGCGCGGTTTCTGTTAAAGCCGTATTCGCGCATCAAGTCCCTTTAGGCGACGCCATCGAACAGCCTGAGACGTGGTTGTCAAAGTATGGTCCCCAGATTGACCAACCTTTCTCTGGACCATTATCATTTTCTCACATGACTTATTCCCGTTGCCTGGAAGATGAATCCGCCCAGTTTGATATAGCAGTTCTCGGTATACCTTTTGATACGGGCACATCCTATCGTCCTGGTGCTCGCTTCGGACCCTATGCGATTCGTTCAGGCAGCAGAAGACAGAGGGAGGCTCGCGGATATAGCTTGGCTTGGGGTAATAACCCGTACGAGCAAGGATCAAAAATAATTGATTGTGGCGACGTGCGCCCTTTTCAGTGACAAGTAATTGACATGAGCAACTGACGAGGGCAAAGGTTCCTGTCATTCCATTCGACAATGTTCTTGCCATGGACCAGATGGAAGTCGCGTATTCCACTTTGTTAAATCGTCCTATTGCCTCCAATCAGTCTGTTTGGGCGAATGGTGCTCAACTCGCGAAGGACGGACGTGAGCGCCCTAGGATCGTCAGGTTTGTTCAATTCAAACATCTATGAGCAAACACCTGATATCGTTTGAAGCCTTGGAGGTGATCACACAATCGTGCTCCCAATTCTTCGTGCTCTCAACAAGGTATATGGACCGGTTTCGGTTATTCACTTCGACGCGCACCTTGACACCTGGGATGGATATCCGGGAACGGTGTCTGACCAGTCTCGCGTCACCCACGGAACCTTCTTTTATGTAGCTAACGAGGAAGGCTTGGTTTCGAATTCGAGCATCCATGCTGGTATCCGATGCAAATTAGCGGTAAATGAGGCTTTGATCTTTATTCTTATTTGCAATGAACACCTGTGAATCCAGGGACTGGGAGACATTGAAAATGATGAATCTGTCGGATTCCACTTCATTACAAGCGATGACATCGACGATCACGGGGTTCCTGCGATCATCAAGCGCATACGGGAGCGTGTTGGTGACACACCTGTCTACTTGAGGTATGTCCGCTTTACATATGGCTCAGAATGTCGCTGAAGGGACAATAGTCTTGATATTGATGTTATTGGTATGTGATATGCGTGCTGGATTTGCCCACTATGTAACATATCAAATAGATCCTGGTCTTGCACCTGCTAGTACGTCCTACCACTAACATGGCTGAAATAAAGCTTGAATTTTTGAAATCTAGCGGGAACTCCCGAGGCGGGAGGCTGGACAAGTAGGGAGGTCAAACGAATCATCCGTGGCCTAGCCGGATTGAACTTTGTGTAGGTATCCCGACTATCATTGGCTCCCATAAATCTCATTTTTTGCAATACAGTGGCGCCGACGTAGTGGAAGTTGCTCCTGTATATGATCATGGCATGTTTGACAACAGCCGGCTGTTTGTGACTGGGACTGAGACATTTTTTACAGCCGAAATCACAGGCACGGCGGCGGCCGACCTTGTCCACGATTTTATATCGATGTTCATGTCTCAATCGCCTCCCACACCACACGCACTTCCGGGTTCTTGGCCTCGAGAAGAACTTTGACGGTCTTCTAACTTTCCAAACTATCTTTGTCTGTTCCCTATATCACCACGTGCTGATCAAGTGCCGAGCAGATAACACATAAATACTTTCGAAGTACGTAACAGTACATAACATGCAATACAAAATGAATGTTCTCGTCCCCAGAGATCTATCCTGCTTCCTGATTGCCCACTAGGTTGGCGTTGAAGTCGAAGAAAAATTACAGGTACTACTGACAATGAGATACCTTCCTCTCGCGCTACTTCCCGTTGTTTTTGCGCAGCAACATGCCTTCGAAACCACGCAGCAGGAACCATGGACAACAAAGTATGGCAGACAGACAGACCTCAGTTATACAGGTCCTCTGAGCTTCTCCCACCTACCCTACACACGTTGCCTGGATGACTTATCGACAAACTTTGACATCGCTGTTCTCGGCATGCCATTTGACACAGCAACTTCTTACAGACCAGGGGCACGTTTTGGACCATATGCAATTAGATCTGGTTCTAGACGCCAATCCTCTGCGGGGGGTTACTCGATGGAATGGATGACGAACCCATACACCCGCGCGGAAATGATTGATTGTGGAGACGTAAGTTTCGGCTCGTCATAGGTGTCTAAACATATTGACGGAACGCTTTAACAGGTCCCGATCAACCCCTATGACAACGCGTTAGCTATTGATCAAATGGAAACTGCGTATACCACGCTTTTAGCACGACCCGTGAATGGAAGCGCTAGTGCGCGCACCGCAAAGCTTGCACGTGATGGAGTGGAACACCCTCGTATATTGACATTAGGTGAGCCCAGGACCATGGTCTCGTTCGCTAATGTATGATTGATCCTGTACTGGTAGGCGGAGACCATACCATCGTGAGATAGCATGATTCCCTTGTATCCCCCAGATTTCACATGTCAAATGATCTCTAGGTGCTTCCGATTCTTCGATCTCTTTATCAGGTATATGGACCTATATCCGTCATTCACTTCGACGCACACATCGACACCTGGCCGAGCGGGGGTGGTTTTACCACGCAGTCCAGAGTCAATCACGGGACATTTTTCACATGGGCATTTGAGGAGGGACTCATGTCCAACACCAGTATTCATGCTGGGATCCGGACCAGAATGGAGGTCAGGGCGTTCCTTGCGTCTCAGTTTGGCTCGAGCTGACGCATTGTGAATGGACAGGGCCCTGAGTTGATCGAACACGATGAGAAAGTTGGCTTTGAGCTTATCATGACTGATGATATCGACGACATTGGAGCAAATGAAATCATTAAGCATATCCGACAACGCGTCGGCAACTCCCCTGTTTACCTGAGGTGTGTCTCGAGAATGCGTCGCTGATCACAATATTGACGTTCATGGCCTCCCGCCTCAGCTTTGACATTGACACCATAGGTTTGCAGATGTTCCAATTGATCACTAGCCATTGTGTACTAACTGCTCTGTGGTAGACCCTGGTCAGGCACCCGCAAGTGAGCGCAAATATCACTAGGTCAGTTTTGAAGTTATTGATGTCTAGGTAGCTGGTACACCAGAGCCTGCTGGATGGACCAGTCGAGAAACCAAGCGAATCCTTCGAGGTCTTGCTGGATTGAACTTTGTGTAAGATTCTTTTCGTCATTCACGGACTTGTACAGACAGTTGATAACTTATTTTAGTGGGGCTGACATTGTCGAGGTTGCTCCAGCATACGATAATGGTAAGATCCATTTCCCGAACTTAGGAACGAGGGGGCTCACCGTCCAACCCAGCTGGCGAGATCACTGGCATGCTTGCTGCTAACCTTGCAACTGACTTCCTTGCCCTGATGGTCACTGACGAGCCGCCTAAACGGCAAATAAAGCGAAGGCGAACACTCGCCGACGAGCTCTAGAACTCAGAAAGTGGTTTACTGCCAGCAGTCATGCTAGGTTATTGTTTCAAAGCAAGCCACTGTTTCGTAATGAAATACAGAGGGTATCTAAATATATAGTCCTACAGTCAAATCTGATACGGTCCTTTGATAAAAAATATGCAGTAGATATATCAACTCCATGAGATCCTCATGAAGATACTACAAATCGTATTTAGGTCTTCCATTGCACAGGCGTTCGCGATAGACCATCCTCATACATCGGTGGGCTGTCACTGTACATCTGAGATGGAGGGGACATCACCACAGGGGACGGCGGCCCCCTCGGGCCCCTTACACCACTCGTGTTAGAAGGTGCCGCATACGCACTGGTGTTAGCTGGTGGCGGAGAAGGTGCGTTAGTCGAACTATGATAATTGGAAGTATAGTATGGGTCCGACGGCTGTGCAACACTGGTAGTGCTGGCAGCATAGTTCTGCTCGGGCTGACGAGGAGTCTGGGCGTTGTATGCAGTAACATACGGAGCCGCAGCTATAGCACTCGAAGCATTGTATGAATCTGGGTTGAAGGAAGGCTGAGTTTGCTGCGGTTCCCAAGGGTTATACACCGCATGTTGCTGCGGGGGGGTGCGCGCTGCAATCATGTGAGAGATAAGCAAGTGCTGCTGAGCCATTACTCACAAGAGCCACCTTCCACATGACCATATGCCTGCGGGGAGTATGGATCACTATAGTAAGCACCGGAAGCGTTTTGCACTGGGGCGGTGATTGCAGCTCCGGGGACAGCATATGAATTGAGAGGCGACATTGAATGAGTCGTAGATGTTGGCGGATAAGTGCTGGAAGATGTAGTCTGGGTGAGGGTGCTACTCTTCCGGCGTGGTGGCGCCGCATATGGGGAAGCGTTGTTATATTCATCAATAGCGCGTGTGCCGCGAGGAGCCTGCATATAGCCTCCCCCGACGTAGCCATTCGCTGATGGACGACGACCATAGGACCCCATGCCGGCTCTTCCGGCGGTGGAGACGCTCTGGTCGTCTCGGAACGGTGTGGCATCCTCCTCGTCCAAAAACACGCCATCACCTGAGATTCTGGCCTTCAACGGCTGAGATGGGTCGTACTCCTGGAAAGGCGGTAAACCAATTTCGCCTCGCTGTTGTCTTGCTTTTCGATCTGCTTCTGCTTTGACAGCGTCAAGGCGCATTCGATCCGCGTATGCATTTCCACCCATCCGGTCGTCATCCTTTGGGCGCCTTCTTATGCAACACCTTCCAACGCCATAGAAACATCCACTAAGGAATAGTAGGATCCAGGCGACAAGCGTAAGCCATACAGCGTTACCGATGGAAGCAGAGCCGCCCGAAACACTATTCATCCTGGACTTGGCAACAAAAAAGATGGCGATGTCGAAAATAAAAGCAGTAAGGGCGACAGTAGCGGCAAATCCTGATATGCAGCTACTGAAGCAAGTCATAGCCATTTCACGGATGTGAGCGAGTAGACCAAAAATGGTGGCTACCCCTGCGAGACCAAAAGCCACGATATGCAGGACCAGGGTATACGTGAGCCACTTTACAACGACGGTTGGGATTTGGAGAGCCGTACTATCGCCTACCAAGGCATTGATGTCTGCACATGCCAGGGAAGGCAAATGTCAATATGAATCCTACAAGATTTGGAAGTTGACTTACTGAGCTCATACCCTACTGTTGCACTAGAACATGAAACATTCCCTGAGATATCTGAACAATAACCCAAGGTTCCAAAGGTGATGTAACCATTGGTGCTTTCAACGGCAAGGCTTGCCTTGAGAAAGTATATGGATTTTATGAGGGGTACAGAGAAGGATACGACAGCCAACAAAATGGTGGCTGTGAGGGTTATCAGGAAGCCAGGAGTAGCTGGCCGAATGAAGCTCATAAGGAAACAAGAAGAGCGTCAGAATATGATGATATCAAGTTTGATGCTGATCTTTGGAAGGAGAGCGCAAAATGTGGGTTGACAAGAAAGGCGGTCACATGGGAAACTTCCGTGTTATGTGGTGGTGGCTGTGGACCCCTATTTATTAAACAAATCGTGGCTGTACTATAAAAAATATTATTTGGAGCAGAGCCTCAGTACACACAGCATTCAGTTATACTTGCTTGAAAACGTCTCCCGTGCGACCCTCAGAGCCTCTTCAACCTGAGCGACGTTAACCCCAACACCTTGGGCACCATCCTCCTTCCCTCCAGCCTTTCCGCCGAGGATATCGCTTACTGTGGACGCCCATGTCCGAGCATCGAGGCCTCTTAACCGTGCAGACTCGGAAACATAGTTTGCATGTGCGACCTTGCCGCCCTCTGCGTCGACACTGAAAACGTAGACCGTCTTGCCAAGCTTCTTGCCTTGCATAACGACGTTTTGCAAGATCTGGACACCTTTCTTGAGTATAACCACCTTTTGTGGACAATTGTTACAACATACCTTTGCATTACCATCAACCTCAAGAATGGCAAAATAGACCTCTGAGTCAGGCGTCTCCTCGAAGAAGGTGACCAGAGCATTCACGGCCTGTAAATACATCAGTAAACATACAAGAACAATAGGCAAAGGCCCATACCGCCTTGTTTATTGCATTCTCCTTCTCTTTCATTTGCTTGTCAAGCGACTTTCGAAGAGTCGCCAGACGGTCTTTGAGCTCAGCTTTCAGAAGGACCGATATATCTGCCTGGCCAAGTTCCTGCAAAATCATCAGTCGACAGACAGTGCAAGACATCTTATGACTCACCACACTGAGAGCCTTGAGTCCGGTGTCTTTTTCTTTGCCTTCCATTAACTCGAGCTGCTCAAGGCGGTCCTTCAAAGAATTGGCAACACGAGACGCCTCATGCGCCTCTTGGCCAGTCACAGCAACTATTCTCCGGATTCCCTTCGCAATCCCTGATTCCTCAGTGATAACAAAGTCTTTGATATCGCCCGTCTTCACAACATGAGTGCCACCACAAAATTCAACACTTGTGCTCCGCCACTTTGGGTTGTCGATGTCCTTCGCAACCTCATCTACATCGTACCCGAGCACGACAACACGTACAGGATCCGGGTATGCCTCGCCGAAGACCGCGCGCAGCCCGGGTATCTTATGTGCAGTCGTGAGATCTAGGTCTTTGCCATATACCTTCACATTCTTCTTGATCCAGTCAATGCTCATCGACTCGACCTTCGCGAGCTCGGGGAGCGAAATCTGTGCCTTATGCGAAAAGTCGAAGCGGAGCTTTGTCGGTGCCACGAGCGAGCCCTTCTGGTCAATATGGTCGCCAAGCACTTCGCGAAGACAGAAATTGAGAATATGTGTTGCAGTGTGGTTGCTGCGCAATGGCCAGCGGCGGAGCTCATCGTAGGAGGAGATGACTTCATCACCGATAGAGAGTTGGCCGTATTTGAGAGAACCAGTGTGGAGAACATAGCCATTGTATGCCTGGACATTTGTCACCTCGAAATCCGTGGCGCCGTCGATGACGATGTTGCCAGTGTCATACTCCTGGCCACCAGCTTCTGCGTAGAAGCTTGTGCGGTCGAGGAGAACGCCAAAGTTTGCATCCGCCGGTATACCAGATGATGACGAGATGAATTCCTTGTGGTAGTAAATGCCCTTCACTGTAGCGGTGATATTGCCAAGTTCTGCAAAGGTTGTTGGTGAGAGCGAGTCGTGGATAGGAAGTCACGCACGGAATTTGAATGAGTCGTCTGTTTTGGGTATCGCGTCATTCTTCTCCAATGCAGCGAGATCGTGAACATCAAGCTTCACAAGATCTGCTTTGTCCTTTTTGAATGATCCCTTGCTTGCAATCTTTGAGTGTTCTTGAGCATCCTCGAATTCCTTCTCGTTGATTCCAAGCCTGAGCTCCGCTGCCATAAGCCGCGTGAGGTCGACTGGGAATCCGTACGTGTCGTACAGCCGCCATACGTCTGCACCATTGAGCTCCTTAGCACCCAGATCTATTGTACGTGTCGCGTATTGGTCAAAGAGCTTCTCGCCCCGATCAAGGGTACGTGAGAAAGACTCTTCCTCCTCGTCAAGGATCTCTTTGATGTCGCCTTGCTTCTTCGTAAGCTCTGGGAAGACATCACCCTGGTGTACGAGGTATAAATTAGGTTGAGCAAATGCGATAGATATACTTCACTGACCATAGTCTCCATGACCACGGGCATCAAAGAGGAGAAAAATGAGCCGATGGGTGCACCAAGCTTCTTCCTGACATAGCGTGAACCACGACGAAGGATCCGACGAAGGACGTAACCTCGGCCAACGTTGTTGGGCACACCACCATCACTCAGCGCAAAAGAAAGCGTTCGTACGTGATCAGCAACGACACGGTATGCAGTATCAATACCATCTACATCATCGTTGCCAAATTTCCCACTATACGGTCTTGCTCCAGTTAATTCCTGTATACGTGTGAAGATCGGGGAGAACACATCAGTGTCGTAGTTTGAAAGCTTGTTTTGGAGGACTGAGACAAGTCGTTCGAAACCCATGCCAGTGTCGACATGTTTGCTTGGGAGCGGCTTTAGTGAACCGTCATCGTCGCGGTTAAACTGTATGAAGACATTGTTCCATATCTCAAGGACGTTGGGGTCGTCACCATCAACAAGGTGTGCAGCATTACGTCCACCGATGCGGTCGAAGTGTATTTCACTGAGGAACATCAACGGAGGATACTAAGAAATAGGAAATACGTACCTACAAGGCCCGCAGGGTCCAGTCGCGCCCATTTCTGTAGACGCAAATGAGTCACATCGTTCATCGGATGATGAAACATGCCTTACCCCAGAAATTTCCTTTTGACGCGATAACGTGATCTGGTGAGATACCCTGGCTTAGCCAATGTTGTTTCGCTTCTTCGTCGCTAGGTATTCCATTTTGTGGGTCTCCAGCATAGTAGGTAACATATAATCGGTCTTTGGGCAGTCCATACACGTTAGTTAATAGATCCCATGAATATTCGATGGCTTCTTTCTGTAAAATAAATGTCAGCTAGACAGAGCCATCGGAAAACAAGCACTGAACCTTGAAGTAGTCACCAAATGACCAGTTTCCGAGCATCTCGAAGAATGTGTGGTGGTAGGAGTCTTTCCCAACGTCCTCCAGGTCTAGATTTGCAATGTTAAAGTGAACGCTGTCTTATAAATAGACCTGTACGTACCATTATGCTTGCCACCTGCACGGATGCACTTTTGGCTGTTGAAAGCACGCTTCAGCTTGCCTCGCTCGGAATTGGGATCGACAGTACCCAGGAATATGGATTTGTACTGATAGGATGTGAGTTCTGGTGCATAAGCCTAAGAAGTTGAATTGACCTGGTTCATTCCAGCATTTGCGAACAGGAGGGTGGGATCATCATAGGGTACGGTTGAAGAAGATGGAACAAAAGTGTGGTCTTTGGAGCGGAAGTAGTTGAAGAATTCTTGGCGAACTTTGCGTGCAGTCCACGGGCCATCATAAGAGGAGGACATTCTTAGAGGCAGAGGGAGAGCAATACGATGAGATGGACGTCTTGATCGAAGGAGAGATGAGTGCAGAAACGCAAGTCTCATCTAGATTTTGGTTTCCGCAATTAGAATTCATATCGTATCTTGACTCGACACTCGTCACGTGACAGAAATAATTCATGTATATATTTTCGTACATAAATTTGGTAATTTTCTCACAAACCTTTTGCAAGCAGTACTACTGCGGTATTGACTGTGGGGCGGTCGGGCTGACCGTGAGTCGCTGTATCAGATTCTGTGTGGACTGACACAACTTCCAGCTTCCTATTATACTGAATCTGGAATGGACAGGTCATATAGATCTACTCTGATATGGCGGTATACTAGTAGTCATAAGCACTGCAGCTGGTGGTAGTAGCTTGCCGAGTGTGCTGTTAATATCATGGTCACACCGCATGCAGTAACGTGACCTGCCCTGAAGTCCATCGATAAGCCAAAGACCAAAAACTTTACTTTTGAGATCAACGACGCTTCCGGTGTGCATCTGACTCACCATCCAACTCGTTCAAAAGGATCCCGTTTCTTTCTTTTTTTCTCATTGCGTCTTTGTAAAATCTAGACACGATGGTGTACGTATTCGCTTAGATCTACATTTTCGATGCACTAATCATCCTGTATGATCATAGTAACTTCACAGTAGGTGAGTACATAGATCGTGCAAGAAAACATGATCTCCTTCTTAATGATTCTTTGAACCATAGACCAGATTCGTGGGCTCATGGACAAGCCCACGAACATCCGTAACATGTCCGTCATTGCCCATGGTGAGCAAGATCCTGCTGATGATCGCATATCGATCTTATCTAAATTACTTACGCAGTCGATCACGGAAAGTCCACCCTCACCGATTCCCTCGTCTCAAAAGCCGGTATCATTGCTGCAGCAAAAGCTGGTGACATGCGGTTTACGGACACGCGAGAGGATGAAAAGGAGCGTGGTATCACGATTAAATCGACAGCCATCTCCATGTACTTCGAAATGGAGAAGGAAGATGTCGAAAACATTAAACAGAAGACCGACGGCAAGTCTTTAATCTCAATTTCACAAATTCTTGCTAACGAAATTCAACTTCAGGCAACGAGTTCTTGATCAACTTGATCGACTCGCCAGGTCACGTCGACTTCTCATCAGAAGTCACAGCTGCTCTCCGTGTCACCGATGGTGCTCTCGTTGTCGTCGACTGTATCGAAGGTGTCTGCGTGCAGACAGAGACAGTGCTTCGTCAAGCACTTACGGAACGTATTAAACCCGTCGTTATCATCAACAAGGTCGACCGCGCTTTACTTGAGCTCCAAGTTTCAAAAGAGGACTTGTACCAGTCGTTCCAGCGTACCATCGAGACGGTCAACGTCATCGTTTCGACTTACCATGATGCTGCCCTTGGTGACGTCCAGGTCTACCCAGACAAGGGCACCGTTGCTTTCGGTTCAGGTCTCCATGGATGGGCTTTCACCCTCCGCCAGTTCGCTAATCGCTACGCTAAAAAGTTTGGTGTGCCTAAAGAGAAGCTTTTGGCTAAGCTTTGGGGTGATAACTACTTCAACCCCGCCACTCGCAAGTGGGGTACGAAGAACTCTGATGCCGACGGCAAACCCCTTGAACGGTCATTCAACATGTTCGTCCTTGAGCCTATCTTCAAGATTTTCGACGCCGTCATGAACTTCAAGAAGGACCAAGTCGGTCCCATTTGCGAGAAGCTCGATGTCAAGCTGACGTCTGATGAACAAGATCTTGAGGGCAAGGCTCTCCTCAAGGTTGTCATGCGCAAATTCCTGCCCGCTGGGGACTCCCTCCTGGAGATGATAATCATCAACCTTCCTTCCCCCGCAACTGCTCAACGCTACCGTGTTGAGACTCTCTACGAAGGTCCCATGGATGACGAGTCCGCCATTGGTATCAGGGACTGTGACCCCAAGGCCCCCCTTGTGCTTTACGTCTCGAAGATGGTGCCCACTTCAGATAAGGGACGCTTCTACGCCTTCGGTCGTGTGTTCTCCGGAACCGTACGTTCTGGCCCCAAGATCCGTATCCAGGGCCCCAACTACGTGCCTGGAAAGAAGGATGACATGTTCATCAAGTCAGTTCAGCGCACGGTGCTCATGATGGGTCGTTATATCGAGCCAATTGAAGATTGTCCTGCCGGTAACATCGTTGGTCTCGTTGGTATTGACCAGTTCTTGCTCAAGAGCGGAACTCTTACCACCTCTGAGACTGCACACAACATGAGGGTCATGAAGTTCTCCGTGTCCCCTGTCGTGCGGGTCGCTGTTGAGGTCAAGAACGCTGCAGACTTGCCCAAGCTTGTGGAAGGTCTCAAGCGTCTCTCGAAGTCTGACCCATGTGTCCAGGCTTGGATCGATGAGACCGGTGAGCATATTGTCGCTGGTGCTGGTGAGCTGCACTTGGAGATTTGCTTGAAGGTAAATGACTATCTGTTTGTTGATTTTCGTTAGTCTCAACCTTATTATAGGATCTCCAAGAAGACCACGCTGGTGTTCCTCTCAAGATATCTGACCCTGTCGTGGGCTACCGTGAGACAGTCAAGGCTGAGTCCTCGATTGTGGCCCTGTCCAAGTCGCAGAATAAGCACAACCGTCTCTACGCCAAGGCGATGCCTCTCGATGAGGAGCTCACCAAAGCTATTGAGGCTGGTACTGTTAACTCCCGTGACGATTACAAAGCCCGTGCTCGTATCCTTGCTGATGACTTCTCTTGGGATGTCACTGATGCAAGGAAGATCTGGTGTTTCGGCCCCGATACCACTGGCCCTAACTTGCTCGTCGACGTTACCAAGGGTGTGCAGTACCTCAACGAAATCAAGGACTCTTGCGTCGCTGCGTTCCAGTGGGCAACAAAGGAGGGTGTCTGCGCTGAGGAGAACATGCGTGGTATCCGCTTCAACATTCTTGATGTCACTGTAAGTATACTTCATACCTATCTGTATTGCATCTTCTTATACGATCGTAATAGCTGCACGCTGATGCTATTCATCGTGGCGGTGGACAAATCATTCCTACGTGCCGTCGCGTCTGCTACGCTGCATGTCTGCTTGCTACCCCTGGTCTCCAGGAGCCGGTGTACCTCGGTACGTCCCTTTCGCATCGCATTTTTCGGGTACTGATATCATTTACAGTCGAGATCCAATGTCCTGAGAACGCCATCGGTGGTATCTACAGCGTGCTGAACAGGCGTCGTGGCCAGGTCTTCAGTGAAGAACAGAGACCAGGAACGCCCATGTTCACCGTCAAGGCGTACCTCCCCGTCATGGAGTCCTTCGGCTTCAACAGTGATCTCCGCTCACAAACAGCTGGCCAAGCTTTCCCCCAGAGTGTGTTCGATCACTGGGAAATCATGAACGGATGTGCGCAATTCCTTGTGCAATGTGTAAAGACTGACACTAATGAAATCTATCAGCTCCTCTCGACAAGGGTAGCAAGCTCGAAGAGCTCGTCAGGGGCATTCGTGTGCGCAAGGGTCTCAAGGTAATGGGTGACTGTATACGATTCTGCAATATGACTGACACACGATATTTAGCCCGACATTCCACCTGTCGACCACTACTACGACAAGCTGTAAAGTTATTGTACGAAAGTGCTTACGACCAAACTTCTGGAATCCGTTCCTTGTCATTCATATTTCACTAAATGCAACTGTTGTACTCTTGTATGCTTGATTATTCGGACGCCCACATTGGCAATTACTGAGAACATGGATGAGGCAACATGACATCCCTCGGATCCGCATCTTTTACTGGCAGCGAGCATCTTGAGTCAGACATCATTGGGCGCTTAACGTTGGTGCTTAAAAGGCAGGTTGCATGCAAAGAAAATCACCCAGAAACTTGAATAATCATCTACTCGGACATGGCAGACGTTGACCTCGCCACCATCGCTGGCGTACGAAGATACTTGGCTAATACTCGTTTCGCATCGCATACAATAAACGCGCTGACAGGAGGCTTCGCCAATTTCACGTACAGAATATACCTCAACGATTTATTTGAGGGCAAGGAAACACTAGTGCTGAAGCATGCAGCACCGTATGTCGCTGCATCCGGTGGTACGATGGCTCTCCCTACAGAGCGCCAGGTGAGGCTTCTCTTGAAGTAGCGTTACATAGTGACTGGAACGATAACAACCTGGCAGAGATTCGATGTAGAAGCCTTACGACTCGTCCGCAAGATGTACGCGGATGATGATGTCATCACTGTTCCCAAGGTCCATCTCTTCGACGAAGAAGCCCACGTCATGATCATTGACGATTGCGGGACGGACACTCGTACGCTGAAACAGCTGGTGATTGACGAGGCGCTGCCACAGACAGTCGCCGAAGAAATCGGTACTGCGATCGGTCGTTTCCTTGGGCGCGTCCATGCCTGGAACAAAGACACGTCTTTCGACATGGACATTTTCAGCAACAACGAAGTGGGCAAGACAATCTCGATTTTGGTTACATATGGTCGCCTCATATCTACGCTTAGCGGCAGAGATAACATCGCGGCTTTAGCTGACCCCGGCCTTGACATCCCTGAGGGAAAACTAGCCGTCATCTCGAAGCTAGCGGAGACCCGCAGTCGTGAAATGCTTAGCGCGACAGAGGTGTTGACACACGGAGACTTCTGGCCTGGGAATATCATGGTATCCCTTCGGAGAGAGCCAGAGGGGAGCACGCTTAGGTTAGAGAAGCTTTATGTGTTGGACTGGGAGTTGGCGAAGGCAGGTCTTCGGGGACTAGATATTGGTCAGTTCTGCGCAGAGATACTGCTGCTTCAGCGGTTCTATGCAAGCCGCTGGGAGGAGACGTCCACTATTATGAGATCCTTCCTCTTGGCTTATAGAGGAGGAAGTGGGTCTGATGAAGAGCTCGCGAGGGTTGCGATTGCACATGTTGGAGCACATCTGGTTGCTTGGACGCCGCGGGTGCATTGGGGAGACAAGGAAGACACTAGAAAGATGGTTGCTGAAGGAGTTGAGTTATTAATCGGAGGTGCTGAAGGAACATTAGCATGGCTAGAGGGTAGTCTCGTTGGAAACTTGGTGTAAAGCTTTGTCACAAATAAAGCCGTAAGAGGCCGTGAGTCACATTTAGCACATTCGATTAGCTCGCCGTGCCACTACACCGCTGCTATTCGACACAGCTTGTCCCTTTTACTTCACATCATCCAGACACTTCGACGCCTTTGTTATCATGCATTAACTGCACACTATATAAGTAGTTTTGGAACAGTTCGTTCGGCAGTTGAATCACTCGGCCGGTATCACATTCCTATACGACATATTAACTCTATTGAGACTATTATCCGTGTCCTCTGTCGTTCACTTTGACTCTGACAGTGCAGTGATGAGTCCCACGAAATTTCCGAGTCACACTCCGCGGCAGCCGTTGCCACTGACACTCAGTACTGGCATCGCTAGCTTACCTTCTCCAGCCTCTGTGATGACCCAATTGGATGGACTTCCTGCAGAGCTGTATAGTGCAATCATCAGACACCTACCAGCGGACTCGTTCCAGCAAGACGTCCTTGCCCTGACAAGAGCGATACCCAGATCGCCTGTGCCTACCCGTCCTTTATTCGAACGCATACACCTCAAGCATGCCCAGCAGATCGTACAATTGTATAGTCGCTTGCGCAATACCCATGACGAGAGAAACTGGGTCAAGGACTTTGGTATCGTGACCTGGACTGTCGATGCTGATGTCCTCGTCAATTTACTGGGGATCCTTCCTCGGATCTCTTCTTTCCTTCTCTTCGTGGGACCCAACTTTGCTCCAGAGCATCTTGAGGAGATATTTAATAAGCCAAGAGAAGACCTGCGCTTTCTCTCTTTACGTTTCCGTCCCTAGTGAGTATCAAATTTATTCCTTTCGTTTATCCTTCCTGACGTACATGTGTGATGAAGCGTCAAGAAAGCCACATATTATCAATTTCTGAAGGTAACACATCGCATGGATGTTATATCTATATCTTTCGCTTAACGTGTACTTAGGGAGCTTATTTCGATACTACACTGACTGCACTTTCCCAGTTGGCCTTCCTACAAGTTACCAACTCTATCTATCGTCCAGGATCCTCCTGAACCATTGTTATCAAATGCGAACCATTTTGCACAACCGCTCGTCTTCTTTCGACTAGACCTTAATATCCACCCTGTTGCGCTCAGAATATATCAGCTCATTGACGCACTTGCGTCTTCGTATTCCATCTCGTCAAGTGTCCCGATTTATCAGCAGCATCCCGTCCTCTGTACCTGCATTACGCCTTCTTGATCTGTCCACATGTAATATTCTCGCCTCAGATATGGAGGGGTTACTCATTCGATTTCATGATCTGCAACATCTGATTCTTGATGGATGCAGCGTTGCGCGGGACCAATCGCAGGGGACGGAATGGAACAACATCGGAAAGATATGTGCAACTGCAACGATCAAGCGAGCGAAAGCACGGGAAAAAGAGTTGAAAACTTGGCTACAGCACAATGCAGCTACTGCCATCACGCCAGTAGGCATGCCACAGCCTGCAGCAAGACGTATAAGACCAGGCCGTCGTGGTCTCGCCACGGCTACTATCTCGCTTAGGGAAGAACCTACCGCGTCGGAGCCGGATATTATCCACGTACCTGTTGGAATAGTTATTCCTAAGGTACGCGTCGTTCCATCGCCACCGGTGCTGCTCTCCCTGTGCACATCAGCATCCTTTATCACCAACGTTCAGCATCAGACCATTCGCGAGGAGTTCGAAAGAGGCTGGCATGAAGGCCTTGCGCAGCTTGCAGCCGTTAAATCCAGGCTTTACGGATCTTGGAAAAATGGCATACGGATGATGCGCATTACCGCGGATGCCAGCGGTAGCGGATTTGATGGTCTGGAAACTATAGAGGGCGATAATGCATTCTACTCCGAACAGGATAGCAACGCGAATCTGGCCACGCCTGCATTGTGCCTTGCAGGTTCAGGGATTTCAGGAAAGCACGTAGAGAATTGCGGTCATAATATTGCTTGGAATGTATGGAATGATACGATCTAGTTCAGGATAGACACACCTTCCTCTAGACGCTTGTATTTAATTCTATGTATTTGAACCTTCTAGGTTGTAGCAGCGTGGGCGCGTAGCATTACACTGCGTTGGTAATATGTCATTATTCTGGAAAGAAACCTCTTAGCCATGTCGCCTCCTGTTCCATATCTTCCAGCGTCCGCGGCAATCTGTCTTCATCTGCATCGACTTTGAGTGGATGATGTTGTACCGTAGTGCTAGACACTCTAAGATTTTGGAAGTCGCGAGGCAAGTCCGCTTCCGACCGCTCTAATGCAGGATATATATCATCCATTCTTTGCGAAAAGTAGTCTCCGTGGTATTTCCGAGGCATGATATGGAAGTGGACGTGAGGTATAGACTGTCCCGCAGCCTTTCCATCCTAGACCGTATAGGTCAATATCGAGTCCCATTATATTCGTCTGCCAGTGGTTATACCTGGCATGCCACGGTCAATGCGTCACCACCGTACGCTCGCTCTACCACTCGACCGACATTTTGGACAGACGCGATAAGTGATGTTAATTCTGCTGTAGTGAGATCTGTCAAGCGCGATACGGGTCGATTGGGGATTACGAGCACGTCTGAAAGGGCCAGAAAGGCCGGCTTATAAGCGTAATTGAGATATCGTACGAAAGGCTAGGCTCACGTCCTGGCACGATTGGCTTGAGATTGACAATGGCGTACGATAGCGCTGTCCTATAGAACGCTTGTCTTGTGACTTCAATTGTGGAGAATAAGAGCGGAGACGACATCTTTGGACCAAGTGTCGCTGGCAGTACTAACTTACTTGCAGTAAGTTACATATTTGGCTACGGAAGGGTCAAAATTACTCGATACGGGTTCAACAAAGCCTAAGTCGCCCAGTCTCGTGCATCACCGAAGTCATCGCTCAAGTCTACACTCGACATCAACTCTACACCGGGCTCTCTGATAGCCAAATGTCGAGTCCGACAGATATATTCTTGCCACTGACGCTACCGTATCCTATAAAAATCACATCTCTCGATGTCCAGCTAGGTGCTACTGTGCAGCGCGGGACCCGGCTATTGACGTACTCCTTCCTGTATTCATCTCCTGCAACAGGCTCAAAGCCAGAAACTCGGTTCGGCACATGGGACTGTTCAATTGAAGGAACTGTTGAATCCTGGAAGGTCAAGTCTGGCGACTCCATCTCTGCCCAGAAAGCGAAACAGAGGTCTATCATATGCGTCACGGAGCCATGCAAGCATGGAGTTCAGATTGGGGGACTGTGTGGGTTGTGTGGAAAGGATATGACAGAGTGCGTGCATACTAGGTCGCATGAATTCCATTGACATATGTTCAGATTTGATTATACGGGATTCTCTGATGCGTCGCGCGCATCTATCCAAATGACGCATTCTGCCTTCGGGCCAACGGTTTCTTTGGAGGAAGCCCGGAGATTAGAGAAGGAAACAGCAGACCACTTGCTCAAGTCGAGGAAACTTTCTCTCATCGTCGATCTTGACCAAACCATAGTGCATGCGACGGTCGACCCGACTGTAGGTGAGTGGATCGCAGAAGGCGAGGCATGGGAGGCCAGACAAACCAAGAAGAGATCGACTACTCCAAACGACGGACCTTCTGACTCAGAGTCTGACGGGACAGCGTCCGATGCGGAAGACGAATGCAATCCAAACTGGGAAGCTTTGCAAGATGTACGAAAGTTTCGTTTGGGTCCAGAATCATTTGGAATGCTTTCAGTTCCAAGAGGCGGGCACAAAGGAAAGGGAAAGCAGAAACTAATCGAGAATGAAGGATGCATGTATTACATCAAACCTCGGTGCGTATGGCTTTTACCTCGCCGTCAGAGTGGCTAGCTCATTTATACAAGACCTGGAACCAATGAATTCTTTCGGAATATATCAGCAAAGTATGAGATGCATGTGTACACCATGGGTACCCGAGCCTATGCAGAAGAGGTTTGTGCTGCCATTGATCCTGATGGTAAAATATTTGGAGGAAGGATCCTCAGTAGAGATGAAAGCGGGAGTAAGTGACTTTATCTGACAGTGATCCTGCAGCTCAACATTATTCAAGGTCTCACGCAGAAAAGTCTACAACGTCTATTTCCCTGTGATACATCCATGGTAGTTATCATCGATGATCGTGCAGACGTTTGGGAGTGGAGTCCGAACCTTATCAAAGTCATCCCGTGTTTGTGCCATGTTGTCATATCGTGCCTCAAGACTCCACACTGATGTCCTTTCTCAAGATGATTTTTTCGTTGGCATAGGAGACATCAATTCTGCCTTCCTGCCTAAAATCGAACCTCTTGCGCCCACAGTCCCATCACCATCTCTTGGCGAGTCTTTTTTTAGAATGTATCTTCATGAATTCATGCTGACCGGACCGACTAGCCAAGCCGCCCCCACCTCCTGTTTCTGAATCCGAAACCCCGTCACTATCAACATCAACACCTGAAGAACGCGAAAAAGCAGAGATAGAATCGAAGGCGATGCTAACGCGAAATTCTATGGCGCTCGAAGCCCAAGTCGAAGAACGCCCGTTAGCCAAGAAGCAAGAAGCTCTGCTGGAGTCTGACGCCACTGGATCGGCTACACCTGGAGATCCATCACCACATCATCCCAAGAGCGATATGAAGGCACCGACAAGCCCCAAAGCAGAGAAAGTTCCACGTAAGGCATTATTGAAAAACGACGATACCGAGCTTCAACGGGTTGGCTATGTGCGTATCTCCCACATTCCAGAATGTAGCATCAACTAAATTTATTACAGCTACTTGGGGAAGTCCATCGTCGCTTCTTTACCTCATATGACAACAGATCGCCAGAAGACCGAGGTAAGAAACGACGACCCACCCTGACACGGTCTAAAGCCCATGACGTGACAGTAAGTGGTTTATATTTCTCGTGTAACGTCAATCAATTGCGTCTCAGAAAATTATCCCACAAATGCGCATGGATACTCTGCAAGGGGTACATATATTATTTTCCAGTGTGATACCTCTTGATACAAAGCCCGAAACAACTGAGATCTGGAAAATAGCTCACATGTTTGGAGCACAGTGCTATACTGAGCTATCCAGTCGAATTACCCACGTGGTCGCTGCAAAGGTCGCTCGTTGTCTATCTTTCATACGACCCTAGCTCAACGTCTTCTATTATATAGCATGGCACAGTCAAGGTAGATGCCGCACGGAAGCGAGGGGGAATCAAGATTGTGTGGTTATCTTGGTTCACGGACTCGATAGCACTGTGGCGTCGACAAGATGAGATTCCATATTTATTGGATGACCCGTCAGCTGCCGCTCCCAGTTCTAGTCCGATCCTCGACCCACACCAGATTTCTTCAGATCCGGAGCCCGATGCAGACGACTGGGACGTGGAGCCTGCCCCAGCCGGGAGTGCGTCCCTGGAGCTTCACGACATCGATTGGAACGACATCAATGATGAAGTCGAAGCTGCTATGAACGAGAGCGATGACGAAGATGATGCCATGAGTGAAAGGAGTAGTGCGAGAAGTGTGTTCTCTGATAATGATGATGCCATGCTTGATGAAACTCGAAGTCAACTAAGGTTCGAATCCCTCCTTCAAATTGCCAGTTTAATTCCATTCTTTCTACAGTAGTCCAGATACCACCCCTCGACTGAAACGCAAAAGGCTACGAAGCGTCACACCTTCGGACAGTGGGACTAATGGGGTTGGTGACCGGCTGGGCGATGCCCTTCGTTCTCCCCTTGCCAAGCGCAAGAAACTAGCCGCAAGTCGAAGTGGAGCATCCAAACTGAAAGAGGCTGTTACTGCTGATGAATTGGTAGATACCGAGTCGCTCTCGGATCACAGCTGTAAACCATCACCGCTATCCGAGCCTCTCAAGAGTTTTGAGGAAGGTGCTGAGGATGATGATTATGCTGACGATGGAGACGATGAAGATGATGACTGGCTAGCTCACGAATTGGAAGTTGACTGGGGATAATTTACGTTCATTTTTGTTTTACTCAATTGTTTTGTTTTCGCGTTTTAGTGTATCTCCTTGTAGCTTCCACGGAAGTAATATTGCATGCTGCGGTAGAATATCAAGATCCTGGGTTCCTATCTCACCACTGTCCCTTCGTTCCAGCTGTTCACAATTCTCTTGCATCATTATGGTTCTAGTCTAGATTTTAGATGACGGATTCATTAATTGTCGGGCCATTACAGCGCTTCTCAGCCATGATTGCGTCTCCCATCCGGTCCATTGTGGCGTCGCATCTCCAATCAGTTTTGGCCCCTGAGACCTGGGCTGGTACGGGTCTCATGAAATCACCGGTAGTTCTTTGGAAGGTTGAATGTAAGGTGACCGTTGCATATTCGTAGAAACAGACATACAATTATGCGTGAACTAGCTCGCGTACTTCATTTTCATGCTTTTGAAGTTGATCTCTCTTACGTACACGGCGTGTGCCGGAAATATATGTACGCGAGGTCACCGTGATCTGGAACTGCTGTCAGTATAATGGTCTTCTCTATGCTTGCGTCTACTAGCTTACCTATTAATCATGGTTTGTCCAGAAACACGCGACCGACTCGTCACATATGAGTAGTGCGTACGATTCAGACAAGGAGGAGCCTCTCGTGCGCACTGCTCATATTTGTTAGGACAACGAGAAACGGGAACGGAAACGGAGAGGATGTGACTTTGGTGGAAGTGACTCGATCAATGACGTATATTCCGAAACGCGGACTCGGACATGCGATGGACACCCGAAAAACGACGGGTCAATATTGGGTCAAAAACACATGCCACTCACTAGCGCGGTGCGTCGGAGTCCCGAAGATCTAGTACTACTTAATACGCACGCCACTACTATCGCTCACTCCCTATTCATTCCCCAATCATGGTTGCAGGTGTCCAGATCCACACAAAAGTTGCTCAGGATGCACAGTCTGAAATCCTTACCGATGGTGCACTTGCATTTCTAGCTGCACTTCATAGAACCTTCGAGTCTACAAGACAGAGCCTTCTTACCGCGCGTGATGATGCACAGCGCAGGTTTGACTCAGGAGTACCTCTTGACTTTCCTCATGAAACAGCTCACATTCGTGCTGAACCTTCATGGCACTGCGCACCCCCTGGACCTGGTCTCGAAGACAGACGCGTTGAGATCACTGGTCCTACTGACCGGAAGATGGTCATCAATGCTCTGAACAGTGGTGCAAAGACCTTCATGGCAGACTTTGAAGGTCCGTAGAACATTCACCATTCTAATAATTGCGTTAATATGATGTTTCCAGACTCTAGTGCTCCTACATTCGCAAACATGATTGTTGGTCAAGTCAATTTGCGGGATGCAATTAACCGACAGATCGACTTCTCATCCAACGGCAAACAATATAAGCTATCCGAGAACCCAGCTGTGCTTCTTGTCCGGTACGTTTGATGTCTTTTATTTGCTGGCTCATTAAGTTATTTATATTTTGTGTAGACCTAGGGGTTGGCACTTGGATGAGACGCGTGTTACGGTCGACAACGCCCCTATCTCAGGGTCTCTCTTCGACTTCGGGCTCTACTTCTACACCAATGCTCATGAGCTCATAAAGCGTGGCTCAGGCCCCTACTTCTATCTTCCCAAGATGGAGCACTATCTCGAGGCCCGTCTGTGGAACGACGTCTTTCTCTTTTCCCAATCCTATATTGGAATGCCTCACAACACAATCAGGGCGACCGTCCTCATCGAGACGCTTCCTGCGGCGTTCCAGATGGAAGAAATTCTATTTGAGCTCAGAAATCACTCTGCCGGACTCAATTGTGGAAGGTGAGCAAATATAAATAGTCTGTTGTGAACGGTCAGTTTGCTCACCCACGTGTGTATTGTCAGATGGGATTACATATTTAGTGCAATCAAGAAGCGCAGGGCTGATAGAAGTGCCGTATTACCAGACAGGAAGGACGTTACTATGACTGTTCCTTTCATGGATGCGTATGTGCGTCTTCTGATTCAAACTTGCCATAAGTAAGGCTATTTCTGCGTGTTATCATAGTGCTTACACGTGTCCTTAGGAGGAAGGTTGCTGCTATGGGCGGCATGTCTGCACAAATTCCTATCAAAGATGACCCTAAAGCCAACGAGGTAGCAATGGAGAAGGTCCGAACAGACAAGCTTCGCGAGGTCACGGCTGGCCATGATGGAACTTGGATTGCCCACCCCTTGATCAACCAGATTGCTCGTAAGGTGTTTGATGAAAACATGCTGGGTCCTAATCAGGTTCGCATCTACGATATTTTTGTATACATGATAATGCTGATCATCGATGCGTTGTAGTATCACGTCCGACGTGAGGATGTAAAAGTCGCTGCGGCGGACTTGCTGAGCTCCAATGTCCCCGGAAAGATCACCGAGGACGGCATTCGCTCTAATGTCTCTGTGGCTCTCGCCTATTGCGGGGCTTGGATAGGCGGCAATGGCTGCATCCCTGTCAACTACTTGATGGAGGATGCTGCTACTGCTGAGATCGCACGTGTGCAGCTCTGGCAGTGGGTGAAGTACAGTTCGCGTCTTGACACTGGCGAGCAGATTACCGCGCCGTATGTCGACCGCATCATCGCAGAGCAAGCACCCGGCGTTCAGAAGATCGCCCGAAGTGTCAAGGACGACCACTTGAAAATTGCTACCAAGTATCTCATGGATCAAGTCAGGCAACAGTGGCCAAGCGAGTTTTTGACGAGTGACTTGATGCCGTACTTGACGATGGCTGATGGCGTTGAGGACAAGTGGCATAGGAGTGTTCTGTAAAAGAGTTCTGAATACGTTTGTTCCATTGGTTTTGTCAATGCCTTCGGTCGATGCGCTCAGAAGCCTGAGATATTCTTCCCAGTGTATTTGTAGTATCGTACATTCGTACTTGTTAGTGTGCCAACCAATGATGTATGTTAAGTAGCCAAACGCGTACGAGAAATACAGCACATGCAATTTTTGAAGACAGCCCTTGAAGCCTAGACTAGTGACCAGCCCGTCTATGAGGCATGACTTGCACCATAGACAGGCTGGTCACCAGTCTACTTGAGGCCTGAGATGTATGTGCGAAATACAATAGCGCCACAAAGTGAGTAAACCTGGTTGACGGAAGGAGCGCCGCCGTCCGTCGGCAGATCACAAATACCCGGGGCCACATGTGAGTAGAATGCATCTCATGACCGACTTTGAGCTTAATAAATTTAGGATTAACCCGAACCTATTTTGTTCCTCCGGCTCTCCGAAATGCACGTTTGTGTGGACGGCATCCCTCACGGCGTCCTGCTTTCAGGAGGCCAAAACGGAACACACTAGGTACATGACGTGTATTCCAGGTCAACACTGAAGATAACGTGATGCCGCATGATACGTGCCCGCCTAAACACACAGCCCAAGGCGAATAATTGTTGAGAGTTCTGTCCGTGACGTCGCCATTCAATATTTAGCCGAAGCGGTTGCAAAATGGAAAGGCCAATGGTGCCAAACAATGTATGTCGGTCAGATAATATCCCGAAGAAAATATTGTCCCACTTGAGAAAATTAATGCACCACTTGTAGACGCTGGTTAGCATCAAGGCGGATCTCGGAACACGCACGCTTTGACGCCGCTAGTATCATACTTCGAAACCATGGGCTTTTGAAAGGCAATTTTGTGTTGAATTTATGTCGACCTGCAGGTGGGAAGCAAATGAGACAGCAAGACAGATAATCGTAGCCTTGCAATTCAATATGCAATTCCTAAAGAAAGAGAAACTGGGTATATTCATGTGCCAGTACATCCAAAAGCATGATAAGAATTATGGAAAAATACAATACAATTCACGTCGAAAATTCGACCAAGTATACAATATGGATAGCCGCGGCTTCAGGGGGAAAAATGCGAATTTGCGGACATGCTTTACAAGAAGACGCTATTGTTCCGTAGCCCTAAACTGGCAGTGGATAAGGGGTGCATTCCCCATGTTCTAGAAGACTCATGAGATCCGGACACATAAAGACCGAACGACTCACTACGGTTTTGGACAATTGTCTTAATGAAGCTGATGCCGTTACTACGGAGACGGATAGACGATGCCTGCGGCTGCTTCAAGACGAAGTACTTCATCCATCAGAACATCCCTCCCTTCCTCAAGCCACCGGCAATACTCGACTGCTCGAAAGAGCACCCCGCTCTTGCCTTTGCTGTGACCCTTCCCCCTGCTCCCACTGCCCTTTGGTCTGCCCCTAGTAGGCATATCAATAGCCTGTGCACCAGCTGGAGCGAGAAGGGATATCAACTGGGCGTATCCCTCACGAATGGCGTTACGACGCTTTTGCTCTGACATGATATGATTGAGCCTCTTTTGAGGGGTTGATAGGAGAACTTTTGCTCTCCCCGTCTGGCACGAGGCTGTAGAAGCTCTCTTGCGCTTTGTGCCCGCGGAGTCTTGTTTCGAGGGAGATGACGAAGTTGCGGATGATGAAGATGAAGGTCTGGCATTGGATATATCCGATGGTATCTCAGATTGCTCTGGAAGTATCGGCGACATAATTTCTCCCGGAGTGTCTAGATCACGCGCGCTTTGCGGTATAGGATAGGGCGCGGTGAGTGCGGGATCTGATTCGAAATCCCAATTAAAGTTGTCCAAGAATCCTAACAGATCGGTTGTTTCAGACGGGGAAAAGAGGTCTGCAGATGATGGGATAGGAAGAAGAGGAGGTGATAAACTCGCGAGAGCAGGATCAAATACATACTCGAAATCGGAGAAGGGAGGCGGCTGAGACGGAGACATGGTGGTGCAGGCAAGAACTCTTACCGACCCGGAATGAAACAATTACCGGTAGTGACGGCAGAGAGCCATGCCCTGGCCGGTGTGGCGGCAGCTACCGGATGTACAAATACACATAAATGGAAATAAATATTGATTAAATAGGTATATCCGCTCCGATGAATTACTTATATTCCCGCTTTACCGAACAGCGTCGGAACCTCACCGCTCCGCTACACCCATGTCGGCTCTTAGTGAGGCATCTACACCGGCGCATGACGCGGCGTCGGCCATGGACGCACAACAACTCCATCAACTCCATCAACATGCTGCCGACGCGCAACAGCAGCAACAACAACATACCTCCAATGGCCCATCGCCAGTCAACGATTCAACAGCAACTCGTAAAGGTGAGCTTTTGCGCCATAGTCATCAACGAATTGTCATATATATGTATATAATGCCCAGCAAAAGCCCCTTCAGTGAGGCGAGCATGTACTGCATGTCATACTGGTAAAACTCGTTGTAGCGAGGTATTACCGTGCCAGGTTGGTGCAGATCTTGAACAAAGAGATTCGTCCTCTGATATATTGACTGCGTACCTCCCATTAGAGCTGCTTAAAACGAGGTATCGGCGCAACATGCGCATATCCAGATCCTGAAAGCGACCAAAATCAGTCGCATCAAAGTAATTATCTGACTTCGCTGAAACGTAGTCTACTTATTCACGATCTTGTAATCTCTCAGCTCCTGGTGTGTCTACATTTGCTCAGGCACCCCTGGGATATGTCCATGGTGCACCTACTCTCAGCCAGCATCAATATTATGATTACAATGGCGCATTTACTGGCGCATCTTCATCTACCTTTCGGCCTAACAAGCGGCCTCGTAATCTCACAGAGGAAGAAGCAGCCGCCATTACTAGGAATTTCAGTCGTGGAGACTTTTTCGTTGGCTCGAGCGCTCCTGTGCGCATTGATCCCCGCTTGCCAGTCAGGCTTACCCTAGGCGAGGGGGACCATGTGCATTTCAGTATCACAGAAACTTTGACTTGATTTGATTGAGCGATCTATTACTGGAAAATTAATCGGCTACTTCTTGCATTCGTTTCTGGATCGCATTGTGTATCATCCCGATCGCCACAACCACCTTCTGAGGATTGTTTTAGCAGTGCCTCTTGCAAAACTCATGTACATAGCATAATATTGTCAAAAAATTATCGCACTTCAAGTGTGCAGCAAAAGTATTGATGAGAGTGGGATTCGAACCCACGCCCCGGAGGACCAGATAACTTGCTCATCTAATGAGCTGATCCTTAGTCTGGCGCCTTAGACCGCTCGGCCATCTCACCATGTGAGACATGCTTTATTTATTTTATTTCATGGCAAGTGGCGTGGTATTTCATTAGAACCGCCGGGCTATGCAGCTTTGAAACCAGTCCCCTTGAGTTTTTTTTTCTTGTCTCTCTCACTCACTTCAAACGTCGGATCATGCTGTCGTTTTCTTGCCCCAGGGCGCAGGTCGCTCTGACAACTTTTACAATGATATCATTCATTTTTAACTTTGTTTATGCTTCGCCCACTGAATCGCCGCTTCGCCGTGCCACGATTTGCAATGGAAGTCCTGATCTGTGTACCCGTAGTTTCGGAAACGTCACTTTCGTTGGTGCTCATGATTCTTATGCTGTTGGTACCAACAACAGTGAGTTCCAATGTCCTTGTACACGCACATACTCACTCAATTACTCGCCTAAAGTTTTCGTGACCCAGGACTACAACAGTGAGCCCAAACTTCTTTCAGACTCGGAGCCCCGCACTGACCCCTGTTAGTTACACAACAACTGAATGACGGGATTCGAATGTTGCAGATGCAGGCCCATAACTCGAGTGGAGTCATTCACCTTTGCCACACAAGCTGTGTACGTAACGTACATTGTCGTGTCCATCATGCCGTACTCATTGTGTTGCAGTCGCTCTTTGATGGCGGAACTCTTCAGGCTTACCTTACAACTGGTGAGAATCCAAATTCGCCTCTAGGTTACTTTCCTTATCTCTTGGCATATAGTTAAAGCCTGGCTAGACGCCAATCCAAATGAAGGTCGGTAGGGTTCATGATAGAAGCCAGAACTATGGCATTTCTCAAGATATCTTTCCAGTGCTTTCATTGCTCATCGTCAACTCTGATACTCTTCCACCGAGTAGTTATGACACTGTCTTCAAAGCGGTTGGGCTTGACACGATGTCTTACTCTCCGCCCTCCTCTTCGTTGGTTGAGAGTGGTTGGCCGACCCTTGGCAGCCTCATTGATTCGGGAACGCGATTGATAACTTTCATGGACTCCAACGCTAACTTCAACTCCGTTCCTTATATTATTGACGGTGTGTTGCACGGTTGAGCCTGCGGAGACTCTGCTTGATACTCTTACCTTCAGAATTCACCAACATCTGGGAAACTGCGTATGACGTCACCACGTCGTTTGATTGCAATGTGAACCGGTCAAACGCCAACACCCCTACTGCTACATCTATGTACCTTATTAATCACTTCTTGGATACATTGGTCCTTGGTCAACCTGCTCCGGACCCAAGTCAAGCTAATCAAACCAATGCTGTCACCGGTTCAAATTCCCTTGCTGAGCAGTTCGATCTCTGCGTCGGCCAACAGGGCAGAAACCCGAACTTCATGCTCGTTGACGTACGTACATTTTAACCAACTTGTGATTTTGTTTTGATGATTCCAAGTTCTATGAGTACGGTGGTGGATCTGTGTTCGAAGTTGCTGCCACCGCTAATGGCGTCACTTATTCACCCGCCACGCCCATTGCGACTCCGGGAGGTTCAGCCTCACCGAGCACGACATCAAACTCTAGTCCACCTAGCTTCAGTCGGTGGAGCCCAGTTTGGGTGGTCATAGGCAGCGTAGCGTTTGGTGCCTTCTACATTTATTAATCTGTTCGACGTCGGTCATGCATATCCACTACTCGGATCTGGGACTGAATTTGTATAATATACACACGCACTATACTCGTCGGACTACACAACGGATTATCATGGACTTCGATAATACTATCGTTTTCTTTCTATACGCCATTTATATACCCGAGGTTTGTAAGTCTTCTCATTCACCTTGCTCGCCTTGGAGGCTGCCAGGTCGTCCATTCTGTCTTCATCTTCATCGTCGTTCTCAGCCCCTACTTCTTCGACGCCACGAAGCTTTCGCCGACCTCCTTTACCTGCCAAAAGTCTTTGCATCTCTAGTTCACGTTGTGTATACCGTAATTGAGTGTCACGTTTTAGTCGCGCAGCGAGTTCTTTCAGGAGTCGCTTGCGGTTTTGCTGAGTAAAATTTCTCAGGAAGCGGATAATAACAAAAAAATATGGGCATACCACATTAAGTTGCTGTGTTTCATGGGAATCCTCAACAATATCTGTTGATACACCGGCTGAGGATTTATTTTTCCGTCTCCGCCGAGACGATACACTTTCCACGGTCTTCCAGCCGAGGTCGACTTCAGCCCGTTCGACTTCAATCGTAGTTTTGACTTCGTTTGAAGATCGCTGCTGAGACAATTGTTTTGCTGCAGTATATGTCATCATGCTATAGGCGATACGGTGTCACAAAATACACTCGCCTTCTGTCTCATTCTCAGCAAAGATAATATGACGTGGGGGTGGACGCCGTTTTGTTCCTGGGGGTATGACACTTGCTTCTCGAAGTGTTTCCAGGTCAGTTTCGTCCAATGCATCCTCGCCGTCATCCTCTCTGTCATCATCCGGTGGGGCAATGAGGTTAGCCAAGGCAGTAAGTTGGTTTTTGATCCTCTCAATTTTCTGTCAAGGAATGAGTTGAATAAACGATACAGGCAGCCATAAAATGCATGCCTTGATTCCATTGGCTCTCATTGTCCGAACATAGCCCTCATCTTGTGTCTTGAGGAGCTTAACCATATCCATAGGCATTGAAACATTTCCTCTATCCTTGACATGCACCCCCTGCACCGTCCTCTCCTTATTCATCCCAAAGTAGAACTCATCCTTATTCCTATCCGCCGCCTTCTGCCTAAGGCGCGTTAGACGATCCTGCTTGGAGTGATAATCCCGTGCACGTTGGACATAGTCCTTATGCTTTTCTAAAATTCCAAATTTCGCGCGATGAGAGAGCTGCGAGCGCTCTTTATGATTTCGCCTATGCAACGAATTTCTGAGGGAGGAGGTCATTAATGCTGAAAAAAGGAAAGCGTGTGACAAAAATGTTACGTGACATTGTATAAAGTTGTCACACGCGGGACCAGTTTTCCACCTTTTTGCTTTCATCCCAACCATTTTTTGTTCGGAATCCTTGTCAAAAATGAGTTTCCAGCATTTCAGGCTCGGACAACTGGCTCTGTCCCAGCCTTTGCCTCCACATTTGCAACAGAATCAGCAGCAAACTTATTCACAAAATCCCCCATCGTCCACATCGACGCCCGCAGCGCCCTCTAGCCTTGCTATACCAGCGCCTCCAAAGTCGACAACTGCAAGGTCGCCTTACGGTTGTGGCGACAGTGACGATGGATATACTCTTATATTTCCAAATCTCGCTGCATTTCAAGAATGGAGGGTTCATGAGGAAGAAACACAGATGGTTGAATTTGTGAAGGGCGACACTCACGGCAGCAAGGCAGTTCCTCCTCGTTTCAAGGATCATACTAAATTAGTTTGTGCCCGGCATTCAAGGAGTGGTCGTAAGAAGTATGTAAAGAAACACCCAGAGCGCGTTCGCAAGGTACCAAGTAGAAAGGTTCGTAGCAGTAGCACGCTCCACAGTATGGCCTGTTCACGCATTCCCTCAGCTCGATGGGCAGGGGTGTCTGGCGTCCATCAGCTACAAGACTTATTATGACACTGATGAGGTTCGAGTTTGTTGTGAGTCTTCATAGAAGTGCGAGGGATATCGCCTTGCCTGAACGATCTCATAGATATTGCTGAGCATTCGCATCCTATTGGGTTGGCAAACCTTCCTTTTACCCGTCGCGGTAGGCGGCAAACAGTACTAGCCGAGAAGGAGGAGTCGAAGCGCGTCATACAAGCAACTTCTGCAGCCCCCACTCCCACGCAGCAGGAGAGCTCATCTACTTCATCTCAAACACAGGTCCAAAGCTACCCTCCAAACCCTCCACTCGCCCATCTACCCCATCCGTTCTCTGCTTTCCCTGGACCCCCGGCGATCGGTTATCCTCACATCGGTCCTCCTCAGGGTTCACCATCTCAGCAAGAATTATGGGATCGCATGAGCATTCTGTTTAACTCCATTCGTGAACATGCTCGAGCGTTTGATTATCCTGGGCCTACTGTCGTTGCTCTTGAAAGTGTTCTCATCCGACTATATTTGGAAAGCCCGATGGGCGTTGTAGGGGGCCCAGGCTTTGGAGTTCTTGGCCCGAATATGCACGGAGGCGCGATGGCCCCTCATCAGCCTCAACAGTCCCATCAAGATGTTCGCCAACACCAACAACAAATGAATGGCGCATCTCCTCAAAACGGTGAACAAGTGGTGAACAATGAAATGGATAGCGGCATAGAAAGTGGTTGACCACCCAGATCGTTGTTTTTTCATCGCTGTCATTTTTGGGCTTCATCCTTGCAAGCTGTACTGTAAGATAGGTTGATGTCAGTGGATTTTGCATGCGTTTGTTCCTCGGACTTCGGCAGGAGTACCGCACATGTACCAAACACTTCATCTAATTCATCCTAGTATCATATAATTCCAGCAAGAGCCTGTTATTACAAGAAATGTTGAAAGACCGACTACATGTGCATAAGATATACTGCCTACCCCAAGGTCAATCCTGTGGGTATATCAATCCGCAAACGGATCGGCAAATGGGTCCTCATCATCCACGATTCTTTCTGACTGCTGCAAGCTTGAAGATCCCGCAGGTTGGTGTGCAACGTTTCTCGGTTGTTCCTCTTCGCTCTCATAGTCGCTGAAGTCAGAGAGACTTCCCCTACCCTGATCCCACTCCGAATCTGGTGAAATGTTACGATGTGCAGTTGGTCTCATGGGTGGGGGCAATTTCCCCTCTTCATTACCCAGAGAACCAAACGATAGATCTCGAAGATCTTCGTGAATATGATTCCCGCTTCGTTCTTCCTCCTCATAATCGTGTAGCTGCTGCTTATATTGCTCCACAGCTGCTCGTTGTTGAGCCGACAGCTCGCCTGTACTATTTGGGCTGAGGTGCGTCGCCGCCATTGCGGCTTGTATATTCGTTGTGGGATCCAACGATGTCGTCTGATCGGGAGCTGAAAGCTGAATGTAGATCACTGAGTAGCGAATTTACGCAGGAAAGTGGCCACCTACATTGACATACATTTGCAGGGCGGTAATAATGCGTTCGTTCGTCTCGATTAACGCTCCGATCATTTCCTCGTTCTCGACGAGCTGGTTTAAGTCATGAGCAACTAACTCAACAACCGAAAAAATACAGACCTGGATATATCGCACTATAGGCTTGCGGATGGTACGTGCCTTCCCGAGACACTCCTGCACACGTTCATTCGAGACCACATTGTCTTTATCGCCATTCACCAGCATTATGGCATTCACCAGGTTACTAGACGCTTGACTTGCATTAGCGATGGTTGTAAGTATCTGTGGCTTCTCCTGTTATCGTGTCAGTCTGTTGGCAGATCGCGGGCCTGACAATGGGGGTCACGTACAGCTTCAAAGTCAAAGGGGGCTCGGCGGGACCGGGCCTTCTTCTTCCTCGCGTCTTCCTCTGCTTTACGTGCCCTTTGCTTCGCTTCTTGCTTCTCCGATTTAGCTCGTTGTTTCGCCAGCTCCTTCTCATCCCTCTCTTTCATTTTCCTTTCGTAGTCAGATGATGGCCCGTGACTGAGTGGATCTGCATTATTTGAGTATCCTTGGCTGCGACGATCTGCGGGACGACATTGTCTGAATAGACCTGCAACAACGGACATAGATGGATCATCTTTGAACTGGGAATGCCATGATGCAAGAACGACCATGAGCTTTTTCTTAACTTTCTGATCCGTCGTTACATCAGCTGCGAGATGCTTTATGGCGTCAACCAGGTGGCTGTCAGCAAACGTGGCTGTTACTATAAGTCAAAGCTAGTAGTATATTTGTATATAGACTCACTCTGAAATTTCTGAGGACCGTTGTCGACAAGCGCTTTCAGGATCTAGTCCTATCGGTCAATCTGCCTCCGGCGGATAAGGAATTTGAACGTACGACGAGTGCACGGTACTGATGGTGTGCATCTCCATGTTTGAGCTTCTTCCGTATTGCTCGGGATGCTTCGGGAGTTCTAGTGTAAGGGGTGGACGCCCAAGGCATCAACGGTCACCATTAAATAATGACGGGTCCGGATTTCAAGCGCACCCTGTTGGTTGCAGCGCAATTGAATCTAATAGTTCCGGGATTCTTAGAACCGCTGAATGAGCATTGCATCCATTTAAAGATAATATCATCCCTACCCATCATACGCTTCGTCACTATATGAAGATGAGGTGAGAATGTCTACCCAATCGGTGATAGATGACTGTAGCGGATCTTAATTGTCTAAGCAAGGAAGAATGAATCCTGAACGTACATGAGGTTTCTCGCGGTTGAGTGCAGAAACTGCAAACTTGAGAGCAGACATGAAGAGCTGCTTATGCTTGGGACCACAGGAAAGGCCAAACTTATAGCCGATGCCCAAGGGGTGCGTGACATCACGTCCTTGTCACGTATATCATAGATGCGCTGTCGCGGAACAGGGTGAAACAGATGGCTCGATAGGCTTTGTAGCGGGTATCCGAGCAGTGCATGCCCGCCCCATATTAATGGGGATATGATAATTGTAGTAGAGGTCCAAGCAGCACGGTCAGAGCGGCCTATACAGTGACTATGACGTCAACCGGGCTGATCTAATGTAATTCTCATCGCCGTTTCGCTCACACTATCACAAAATGCCAGTGGAGACACGCAGTGCTACACATGCCCATAATATGAGTTTCAATGGAACTCCTTCTCGTCCCCGAAGACAAAGGCGAACAAATAAAAGCGAAAATGAGGACACCACTGCACAAAAGACAGAAGTGAAGATGGAACCTGTGGTCGGTGAGAAGCGCGAAGTTCTTAAGCTTGAAACAGTGGAAGAGACGGAGGGGAAGAGGCCGAAGACAGAAGAGGCTGATACACACGAATATACATTCGCCCCAGGTTAGCGTATTTTTCCGAGCGCTTCAGCGTTAAGCCTATCTTATTCAGGGGTAATCGAGCGTGGACACATATACTTCTTCTACCGCCCAAAAGTCCAGCGTGAAGAAGTTCATTCTGTGGACGATGTCAGCAAGCTCCATTTGCTCCTTGTCCCTAGTCCCTCTGAGCCCTTCAGCATGCAAGGTGAAAGTGAGCAGAATAAAGATGTCTCTGGTGCAGATGCGGATGAGATGAACCTTGTGGCGCAAGGCGCAGATGCTGTACCTGCACCTGAATCAACGACAAAGGACAAAAAACATTTCCGCTTAATCATCGTCGGGAAGAAGAGGCTCCCTGACCCTGAACACGAAAAGCACGTCCCAATCTGGGCGACAGTAGTATTCCTCGGCGATAATTTACATGACCTGGAGAAGAAGTTGGGGGAAAAGACTTATGAAACAAAAACCCGGGGTATGGTTTTACCCCGAGTGACGATTGCATTTTGAAACCGTTGTTAGGTACACGTCACACACCACCTGTTCGCCTCGCAGGCCGTGGTGTATATGCGATTGTCAATTCTCAAGGGAATGTTCCATCTAGAAATGCCACTCATCTTGGATACCACCTTTCACACCCGACCGAGTTGGGAGATGTCCAGAAAGCACTTGGTATCCATGTTGCATCGTCTTTCGTAATCCAAGTCAAGAATCCCAATGCAGAAGCTGAGGCTGGTCAACGTATAGGATTGCCCAAGAGTCGACGTGCAAGGTATTCAGAAGACATCATGAAATACGTATTTGGAAGAGGTGAAAAAGGGCGTTCGTCGATTGGACTCCGATTCACCAATTGTAACCGTGTTGAACTTCTGGAGCATGAAGGTGCTGAATTGCTTTTCATTCCCGCCCATACGGGAACGAAGGGAAACGACCAGAGCCTTGGAAATGGGCGGAGAGAAGGTAATGTCGGGTCATATCATATCGAATCCAAATATTTATTGGAGCTTAGCTTTGGAAGAAGTCAGCCGCCGTGAATCGGAGGAGCGAGTAGAACAAATTTTCAAGGAACTGGCCTTTCACAAGGACCGCTTCCCAGCAGAGCCTCTCAAAGGAGAGTGGGCCTAACGGGGTCAATATGAACAGGCTACGTGGCCTTCAACTTCATATCACGAGGATCTAGGGATGCAGTTGCTGTAGTAATAGTATGCAAGTCAATGGGTAAAGTATACAAATGTTCGCACAAATTATTTTGCCTTCTCTTGTCTTGTCCATGTCATGTCATGTCAGGTCCTTCGTCATCACCATCATCATTCACTCGTATCACTTTAATCCATTCTCGGTAATTGAAATTCCCTTGACGATCAGTGAATGAACTCTTAAGGAACTTGTCAATCTGGGCACGAAATTAGCCACTCGAACGATGAGAGCAAATGCTAAACGAACTTCCTGCTGATCCATTCTTTCACCTACTTCTCCCATCCATTTCTGCATCTCATCAGATTTAACTGTACCCGTGTCGCCTTCGTCGAAACATTCAAAAGCCTCCCTCAACTCAGCTTCTGGATCGAAGTCGAAAAGTCGCTCGCTCATCATGGTGAGGAACATGGTAAAATTGATACCTCTGTCTGACGAGTCGCGTGAAGGGGTCGCAGGAGGTGATTTGCTGTGCCCAGGGCCACCAGGGCGCGCGCTGAGCAGGCCATCTAGCATACTTTTCGATGGTGAAATACCTGAAACCTGATTGAGCGCTCCATCCACGAAATAACAAGTGCAACCTCACCAAGGCTCGAGAATATTTCTCGCAGATCAGATTCCGTTACCCAGCCATCCTTGTCGTGGTCGATAAGTTGAAATGCCTCCTTGAACAGTTGAATCTGAGGTGCCTGAAACAAAGAGAAAACGCCAGATGGTTCGCGTCTTGTTCTTGACTTCTGCGCGTTGGACGGTTTAGAAGGGGTTGCGTTCGGTGAAAGATAGTCTGGGTATCGCGACATTGGTATTTGAGTAAACTATACTCGAAAGCAACTTAATGGACCAGTTGGCACGTGACAACGCATTTATTCATGTCGAAGTTGCACGCAAAAGGAACTTGTATACTGAACTTTCAAGTCGAGTCCAAGGATAGCCATCTGACTTATGATTCATTTGCAGACCAGTGGCGGCTTGAAACGAGAGATCATAGTATCCCCATGGCCACTTTGTGTACTCAGCTCAATTCTTCATATTTGGTGCCAAATATGCTGTGATGATCAAACCTTCTGTGCAACTTAACTTCAACGGTCTCTTGGCTCCCACCGGGATAGCGCCCCACACGACCGTACCAACGACACCAACATAGCACCCCGAGAGACCCGATCAATGGGATGTCTTGCGTGGGTTGAAACCTCTCCATTATTAACCCATGATCATGGCGGCGCAGTGATGGTGTGAACAGTTTATAGGTACGTCGCTCCAGATGACTCTTCATAGGTTTTGATTTCCTCTCAGCGGACTCTCGCTTACACAGTATCCGACTCGGGCGTTCTCGGGTACGGGCGTAGACGCTGTCGTCGTCGTGAGCAGCCGCTTGGTATCCATATGGCTATCTGTTTTGGTTCCGTCGTACCTGTTAACTTTATTGTGCAGCTTTGTACCCACATACAATCTGGCGGTAACCAATAGGATGCGGAACTGACTGGTTTTGACTATGGATGTCACATTTCCACCGAGTCACATAAATTAATTGGGTCTCTTTTAGATGCACCTCGGTAAGTACATTCAATGTACTCCCCAGTAGCCGACCTAATACCTCCTTATACACGCATATGACAGTGAATAAATTGGCATGTCCAAATACACGATAAGTGATAATGGCTAATTCGTGCTAGTCTATCATGCCGTGAATGAACTTACGGTTCCCACCTCGTGCCAAACGTGATGTCACGGGTTATATTGTGTTGTAGGTCTTCTTCCAGATAGCCCCACCTCTTAGAGTTATATCCACTGAAACGATTGCTTCTCATTAGGTACAAGGGTTTAGGGCGTACTCGGCAATATCCTTGGACAATGGTACCCAAAAATATTTGTGCGTACGTACCAATATTCTTTGGTAGTCGTTGGGTGGAGTAATATATTGTTTGTTGTTGGCAGGTGCTGGCAGCGTGGATCGCAATGAAAATCATCGCTGACATGTGTACCTATCCGGGATGCAGGGTGACAGTTATTCACGAGTCTTTACTATGTCATGAGTTTGTGGAGGTTTGTTCACGTTCTTGGCATATATTTCTAGCCAAGTCCTGGGCTCGCCTACTCGAAAGGGCCGTACCGGTGACATTTATGCGAGCGGGGTGTTCATTCCATTTCTGCAAAGAGCAACTTCGATGCAAGAGCGGCTTCAACGATATTTAAATAAGCAAGAATTCGAGGTTCAATATTCAGTAAGGGCGATTTATCTATTGGGTGCTGGTACCCTTCCGAGGAGATTATCCATGACTGATTCATTGCCCTGATTCAGATCATGGAGTAACACCGTGCAATCTCACGAAGCCCCGGTGGCCTATAGCCGCTCAGCATACGGTCAACGTCATTCTTCAAAAGGATGTTAGGGTTTGGAGCATAAGGTGCCAAAGTTTCTTATTCAATTATTAGAATTCCTCATTACAGTCCACCTTGTAGCCCACGTTAATGAATGCGATTTGCTCCTCGTGTCGTTACTTGAAGATGGGCTCGAAGTTGCATATCCGATGCTTGTTGCGCCATGAAACGAATTTACCGTGGGTATGGTGAATGCAGAAGACTTCCTTTCCAGTTAACTGTCGCGGGCAGCGCTGTTCTAGGCCATTGGATCAGCGTGATTCTTGGAGTCATACTATGGGAAGGTGCCGGCTATTGTAGAAAGGCCGTTTACCAGTTAAATTTGCTGAGTTGATTCTCACTAGTGCCAGTCATCCTTCGGACCCGTCACGGTCGGCTCGACAGTCAGAGTCGATAATCAAACGCCGCTTAAAAGACGAAGCGGATATCATTGCGCAGTAGAAGACTTTGCCGCCCCCTGCTTCAGATGCAAAAGGCGGTCTTGTAGGGACAGCCTTGAGTTGTCAGCAGTGCTTCCGGAGCAATTTCTTGGCACCACATGTTCTTGGCGTCCGCTAGATCTACTTGGCAGATGCAAGTCAGAGTCGAAATGAAATTCATTCACAATTAGCAATCGTGTCCTTGGCATGTTAGCAGCGTGTGGATTTCTCAGGTCGAGTAGTACGACGTTTAGCGTTTTGAATGACCCCCATGAAGCAGCCTGATTCACATGTATGCCACGATCCCTGAAGAACGCTGGCAAAGTCGGAACATGTATGAGAAAGTCTAGATACGGCAGCATCCGGGATTCTAGTGCTCCGGATTTTTGTAAAGTCCGTAGTCACCACTCTCCATGTCTTTTATCCCGTTCTATTCCGACTCCACAGTTTGTTTTTTTAACGTTGTATTCCGAATTCAACCGGAGGTAACCCAAATCGAACACGGAGATCTCCGATTGCAGTGATCGGTCTTGGTGCCAAGGAAGCAATTTCTTGGCACGCTGGTTCTTACGCCAAGAAGTCAGTCTTGTCTTGGCATACAAAGGAGACCAAGCTTCTTATAAAATCAAAATGAGCTCCTCACACTCCGCGACCGTTCTTGTCCTCCCCCTTGACCGTTTATTAGAACAAGACTCTCTTGGCTACTACAATAAACTCATGCAACCTCCTTCAGATTCTCCTTCTCCACCCTCTCCTCATAACAATAATTCATCCTTGAAAGCTCACTCCCAATCACCACCACCAGTCTCATCAAACTCAGAGTCCTACAACTGTCAATGGATCGATTGCTCTGCCAGTTTCACAGATCCAGAGATCCTCTACAATCATCTCTGCAACGACCATATCGGCAGAAAGAGTACAAATAATCTTTGTCTCACTTGTAAATGGAAGGATTGCGGCACATCCTGTGCCAAGCGTGATCATATCACAAGTCATCTTCGAGGTATTCCGTCCCTATCCCTTATTGTGAATAATTATTAATCTATAATACCTCCTAGTCCACACTCCGTTGAAGCCGCATGTCTGTGAGGTTCGATATAATATTTTTCACCGTCCACTCTTTCCTCACTCTTTCTCAGATATGCAAGAAGTCATTTAAGCGACCCCAGGATCTCAAAAAGCACGAGAAAATCCATACAGAGGAGCACCACGCGCAGCACAAGCACTCCAAGGCAATTACCGTAAATGATCCTGCTTACGCCTCCCGTATTCGCGGAGATGCTTTCCCAACAAAAGGTGCCCTCAATAGGTCGCTTTCTGGTAAACTTCATGGCGCAGCGCCGGGCGCGTTGCCTCCCAAAGTCCCTTTTGCTCGTGCACGCCCTCGTTCTGGTATAGGAGCAGACGGTCAGTCGCACAATCTCCAGCGTTACATCCGCTAACCTCGGACCTTAGGTGGGCATTACAGTGCCTTGCCCACTCCCTCTCCGGAGCTTGAAAATCATCCCTCTCGTCATGTGCCTAATCCGCCATACGAGCTCTTTCTCCATAATCAGGTACCTTCATGGGACAGCGCTAAATCCGATGCACGCGCATCAAATCGCAACAAACGGTCGCTTGAATATACTGTCGACGATTTCTTCACTGATATGAAGAAGAGGAAGGTCAATCCTGCTTACGACAACCGTGTGTATACTCATTTAACTCGCAAAAAGTAAAGTATCTAATAGAACACATTAATAGACATGGTGGAGCGTCTCAACAATCTTGCATATGCACAAGACGATGCACAGTATGACGAGTTTAACCCTCGCTCAGTGTCTTTTGACGTCCGCACACCAGAGGAGCTTGCTGCCGTGAACGAATTTCTTGTGGCCCTTGGTCGGGATGTAACTGCAAACAATCGTGCATCCCAGGACTTATCAGGACGGTTCTCACCAACGACGTATTTTGATGCTGACAGTCTCAGTCAACTTGGGCTCGCCGGAATGCCTGGACTGCTGGGTCCAGGGACAGCATATAATCACGATGCTGCGTACGTGCAGACTGCGCACCAATATGCCACTGCTGCCTACCCTTCTCCACCCTCACTCGGGAGATCTTCGCATCCATCCGTGCAGCACACTCAATATAGTCCTGTTTATCCACCTATGCATGCTTCCACCTCTGGTGGTTATTCAGATCAGTACACCCCTTCCCATCAGAGCCGTGCTTCGGCATCCGCCTCCCATGACTATGGTCTCAATACGCCATCTTCAACATATGCTTATCAAACGTCTACTCCGCAAGGGCACTTCCACCCTACACCGCCGCTCGACCCGACATCTCCGCATTCTTCTAGCTCCACCCCTTCCAATGCTACGCCACCTCATCACTCGTCGATACAAGAGTCTTTTGCTGAGTTCAGCTCGCTTCGTAGGCCTCGTGGTGCCCCTCCACCTGTGCAAATGGCGGCACCAGAGTACCATCACAAAGCTATGCGAAACATGATCCCATTGAAAACAGCACCTGCTAATGCACCCGAGCCGGTGCCGGTGACACCTGCCCTCCCTCCAACCACACACCGCGGATCAATCAATGCACTGCTGTCACCGCCCTCATCATCTGTGCCTTCTTCCAACAAATTGTACCCCTTGCTGCTTCCCGAAGACTCTCATTTGAAGTTACCGTCACTCAAGCCTGATGCAGGTCCGTTCAGGCTCCCACCCATCAAGGATATGTACCGCCCGCCGTCACCTCAGACGTCTGCATCACGGTCTCCAGACACATCTCGTGGAACGACCCCTAGCTCGACACGTTCGTCACCTGTGTCTACTCATACAACCATCCCTGGTCTGCGCTCAATCACTGAGACGTCAGAGAGTGACGAACTAGTCAGAAAGGTTGACAAAATCCAGCTAGATCACCTGATGAAGGAAGTCACACCGGAAAACCGGCAGAAGCATGCAGAGCTGATACGTAATCTCCTTGTGAAGATTAACGAGGATTATCGGAAACGCTTCGGCACTCCCCAGATGGAGTCTTCAAGGGTTTCGCGAACCCGGCTGCCTTTGGTAGACGTGGAGATGGCCGTCGCATAGGCGATAGACATTAATTAGTTATTACAAACTCATCATACTGTTTCTGCTTTTTGCACTCTTTACTTGTACACGAGTTTTATTGCGAGACATACGTTACACATATTAGGATTGAATGCATACAAATAAAATAGACAAAGAAGGCGGCAGGACGCGAGAACGTTACGATCTCTTTAGCGTTAATTTTATTTTTGGGGCGGAACTTGAAGGTGTACCAGGTACTGCCAGATCTACATCCTCCATTGCAGATACTGGGGGACTAGTCGCCAACGGGGAAGGAACCGGTGCACCAAAACCAAGGGCCCCGCTAGCTCTGTTAAAGCCACTTAAGCCGGGAATACCGGCGGAGTTGGGTGGCGGGCTTGTTACGGATGTAGGAGTGGCAGGTGCAGGTGCTGTTCCACTATTGAACTCTGCCCAACGAGGACATTTACGGTTAGTTTCTATCAGAAAATGAGTCACCAAATACACTCGTGAATTAATGGGAATGACGTACTCATGTGGCCCATCTGACCACAATGACCGCAGCGTCTCTAAAATGAACGTAAGTTCTAGACCTCATGCTGTCTATTGTACCCAGAACTCACGGTCGTATCTGGTTTGAGCGGCCGGCTGAGTTGCATCGGGGTACCACCTTCCTTGACAATCTTAGCGTTCTTACGATGCAGACGCCGCTCTTGGTTCTTCTTCATTCGCGCTATCTGTTCTTCCAACCTACGAGGAGATCGGGTTTCAGTTTCACGTTACTCAGTTGGCTATGTGTGGGTGACTACGTACCGTTTCTTGTACCTCTTGTCCTTGTCTGCGTCACCCGTAGGTGCGAGATTATCGGCAAGCGTAGCCTCTTCCTCTAATAATTGCCTGGCACGCACATAAGCACGTATGACGGCAGGATCGCGGATAATTTCTGTCTGCCATTCATCATCGACCTGAATTTGGGAATGAATAAAGTTCCGAGCTTGAAAGATGTAGACAACAAACTAGTCGCTTAATCCGGAGAACTTTACGACTGTCATTCGGTCCCAAACTCATTTCCCGGTCCCGTTCCAGTGAAGAGCCGCGGCTGAAAGCGGGTGATGCAGGGCCAGGACCAATCGGTGTTGGTGACATTGCAGGAGAGAAGGGTGTCTCATTCCTGTGTGAAGCTTGCCGTTGAAGTTTCTTGACTTCAGCAGGAGCAGGGACTTCATCTTCTTCTGATAATTGTGGTTCGTCCTTCCTGCTCAACGAATCAAACTGAGCTTTCCATATCCGCTCGATCTCGGATTTATAGATCTGTTGCTGTTCGGCAACGTTGTAACGATGCGCGGACTTTGGTCTGTTATCTGCCTCAGCTGACCAAAAAAATATGATTAGTTGACTTTATGGTACCAAAAAAAATAGTTTACCAAGCTTCTGTTCATAATCTTCGCCCGCTTTCACAAAAATATCCTTCATGGAAATGCGGATGAAACTGAAGGCTTCTCCGCGCCCAGTAGGGTCACCTTCACCATGCAACCGAAGCATGGCTTTAGCCTGGGTGGCGAATAGAAAATTTTTCGTCGTGATCCAAGGCGCCAGTTGCTGTTCAACGGAAAGCTTCGTCTCGCCTTCATCATCCTCCGCGGTTTCAGCGGTTTGAGTATAGCCAGAGTCTTGGAGATGGCGTTGCCCGACTTGCATACTCTCCATCAACACGACTTGCTCTGGGCCCACCATCTTCAGCATATCTACATCACTGGGGATGGTTACAGTAGATTTGAGACGCCAAAAACCTTGATGAGGACCGCGCCTGTGATACTCCATAAACTCCTTTAGCCTTTGCCGCATCTGGAGTTCATTTTGATCGGGAAAGTACTTCATCAATCTTGATATTTTTAACCGTTCCTCACTGCTCTTTTTTAGGAGTTTGAAGGCAATTATTTGTAGGCGATACTTGATGGTGTTAGTGATCTTCCGAGAGTGTGGCCCTGGAACCTCGGTAACAGGGTACGTCTGCCCGATGACGAACAGGTTCTTGATCTCACGCAAGTAGTATCGTGTCTCGCCTTTCGTGGTGCTCCTAATGTGAAATTAATAAATTCACCTGGTCGGTGAAATTGGAGAACCGTACCTAACGGCCAAGAAGTCTGTGGGATAGGATTTGTGGCGGAAAAGTGGCGCGCGCACGAGATTGTTATACAGTGCCGGGAATGTTTGGCCGGGATAGACATAGCCAAATTTCATGAAAGGCGACTCATCTTGCGGCTCGAGGACAAACGGTACCCCAAGGTCAAGCTTAATGTGTCAATTGAATCAAGTGCCCTGACTCATCGTCTGATGCATACCTTCGGCATATAGTCGTCCTTCTCGTCTTTCTTACGATAGTAGTTCACCAGCGCGCTACCCATACCGAAATTCGGTACAATTGGCGGATGTTCTTCCTAAAGGATACCTCGCTATATCCGATCCGATCAGGCAAGAGACAAATAAGACTCACGGAATACTCCCATAGGACAAAATTACTGGTGTCCTTGAGGCTCAAGTCGGACGTACGATGTAACCCCTCACCGATATTGCCACCCTTACCAACCTTGCGGCCCGCTTTGTCTTTTTTCTTCTTCGCCGTGCGCACCTTGCTAAAGCGAATATCAATATTGGTTGGAAACTGCAAGGCGGGCCGGTGGAAGGAGCGTGCTTCCTGCTTTGAAAGTCTTGTCTTGTACTGATCGAGAAGATAGATAAGAAGATGATTACAGTCAATGCTGAAATCAATTTACGCACAAATGGAAGTTGGAGCTTCTGAGCAGGATAGGCATGCTCGACGACAAGTTGTCCAAACGTCTGACGCACGCGGTGACGACCACCTTCTTTCGATACCTCGTAAAAGTGATCGTTAGACAGGTTGAATTTATCGCGGATTTGAGCATCATGCGCTCTTATACGCTTTTTTGGTCTGACAGTCTCTGCAATTAAACGCCACGGCATATCAGCAAAAGTAACCTTGACCACTGAGACAGAAGAACTACCTTGAGGATGGTCTTCTGCGATATCTTCTTCGTTAAGTTCTAGTTGAATGAAATCACGGAACGGGGCTTCTCGGCTCCAGATAATGCTCTGTGTCCAAGCACCTGACTCCAGAGCTTTGTTGACCGGAGTGGTGAGATTATTGTGTTCCAGAGCGGATGGCGTAGCGGTGTGGGTCGACTCATACACGATCTCGTCCTCCCAATTAGATAGCAGCACCAAATCAAAACTTCTGTCGTGCAAAGGAAGAGTCACGGGCACATCTGATCTTTCCCGCTCCTGCACATGATAAGTAAAGTAAAAGGAGCACCTACAATTGGCACTCACCTCAAGAGCACGCAGCAAGTCATGTTCAATGCTGCCCGCGGACATGACTTCCTCCACACGTTTGTTCTCGACCTGCCGCTTGGTATCACCGACTACGGTGTCGAGGAAACCTTTTGGAATATCGCGTTTCCGTGGGTAGATACTCTCAGCTATACAACGGTTAATATCCTTGAATATTCACTGGAACAGTTCATACCCTGTAAAGGCCTCTTTGTTATCCTCGATTTCTTGACCGTGTATCCTTTGAATAACTCTGAGAAGTCAAGGACCTTGTCCTTCTCAAATGCTGGAAAACGTTCATAAACAGTCTTTGGCCTCTCCACTAGCCGCTTCACTACCCTAACGCGCTTCTCCGCAGAACGCATGCCAACAGGAGATTGAACCTCCATCTTTATAAAGTCTTGCGGCATTTCGTTTTCAAACTCTTTGTCCACTTCATCCTCGAAGTCTTCTCCCTGATCTGCACCGACGGCGTCGTCGTCCCACTTGTCATTGTAAATCTGTTTAGCGTCCAAGGAACACAATCCCGAAATACCAAGGCTGTTGGGAAGATCGCCTGTGGAAAGGGATAGACCTGACAGAACACTATTCAAAGAAAATCCTGTCAGTGTTGAAATCACTGAATCTTCATCCTGTTGTGTTGTGAAAAGCTACTTGCTAAGGCATAGACTCGAGACTCACTTGGTTTGCCATGTCTTTCGATGACTGCTTGTGCGGATACTACTATATAGGGTATCTCAACAATTTCCCAACTTTACGGGTAAATGAACGAACCCCGTGAATATTTTGACAGATGCAACGCACTTGGGGCGTTGTACGAAGTCCGGTGAATGCGAGAGTAAGTACCAATACTTGAGTGGTCGGGTGTGATTAACTTAAAGCTGCTTACAAATATTGGCTCCCTAACATGAAAAGCAATTCTGTGTCAGCGATCGGCATAATTCTGACCACCATGTCCATGAGTAAAGAGGTCGCCAAAAGCATTGAGGTAAGCACAACCAGCTGCAACTGTGAAGTGTGTTAAATGAAGAACGTTGCTCAGGGCTTCCGTGCAAAGGTCACGGAGACTGCAGAAGGTATCGTCTTCTGTGTGTTCCCAAACAAGGTGAGCTACTAGTTGTGTCTCTGGTCTCTTGCTCATGTTCATTGTAGATAATGCATGTTATTTTTCTTTCGCTTTCCCCCTTTGCTCACCTATATACAGCGAACTTACGAGCTTGATCGAGTCCACGAATGCCGAAGATTCACCCTACCAAATATCTCAAGCGGCTGCATCCACAGACACTACGGTCTACCCTCCACCGTCATCAACAGAGATTAACGGCCCAACATCTAACAAGCGTAAACGCAATGAAGATGGAAGTGCTGCGCCCTCCCATCTGAACGAGACCGTCAACGCAAGATATCCAGAACTTGTGCATGCCAACAAACTTATTTCAAAACTGCATGAGACGATCAAAGTAGAGTGTGCACAGCTGTCCGACTCTTGTGTATGTATTTGGTCAATTATCTTGGTATCTCCTGACCATCCATAATCAAATAGGACAAAGTCAAATTATGGGTGAACCTGACCATGCCCAAGTACGTGCCATTCGACATCTCTTGTTATCTGTATTGACATAAAACTTCAGAATTGAAGAGTAAGCTCGTTTCCCTTCCAGTGGGTCGCTTTTTGATGTCTTCCCTTGAACAGTGGTGACAACTTTGGTGAGTTAGCTATCAGGTCTTATTCGTGGCGGCTGAACTGAACATGTCTGACATCTAAGGTGTTCAAATCCAAGAGGGTAAGTAATCATGGATTGGCGCTAGCACTATGGCCTGATACTCTTTCAGAGGTTCTTAGCGAACTTCTTCGTTCGCAGGAAAGCGCGTATAACATACGCGATGCTGCTCGCCAACATCATCTGGCAAGAGCAAAGATTTGCTCCAAACTCATCAAATACCCCCACATAGAAGATTACACAGTACGTGACTCTTGTGTCATGTGTTCTTAGACCGCTGATGGGCCTGTTATTCAGCTGGGTTTGAAAGAACATGATGAGAAGCAGTTCTTCTTTACTCGCCAGAACCTCATAGACATTCGCAATGTCTACGCTGTTCTCACTGATATCCTGCATAAAAATATTGCCAAGGCAGGTTTTCTGCATCACTCCGTCGTTCTCGCCGCTCATGTTGTCTGTAGATTCGGGCACCGAAGGGAAACAACGGTGTAGGGCTATACTAATGCATAGATATTCTGGGTCCAGTACTCTTACCGTATCCATACTGATAATTACAAGGACTCGACATTTCGGCTAGTTCCCCCTTGTTAATCAGTGACATCTATTATGTGAATTCCAGGTATGTAACTTTTCAGGGTTCTACTTTTCCTTCAGCTTGATGGTAACAATGGCTTGTGTGGCCTCCATAACTACACTGATATCGTTTTGAAGATATTGAATCCATCAAGTGCAGTGCTCAAAACTGCACCTGGAATTTGTGGGTGCCAGTGCACTTCCTTAACATCCTTTTGACCTTGATGGACAAAGAGGAGTTGTGGTGGGACGTCTCGTGCGCCATCAGGTGCGTCATTCATCGGTGTGCCTACTTCGTCATCGTCTGGTTCGACCCCAAGATCCCAAAGGGTCACCTGGTCGTCTGCGCCAGATGCAGCAAATATCGAGTCTTCGGTTGGGTGCCACTCGATAGAGGTTATGGGGGCGGTGTGCCATTTAAAAGAGGCAACGGGGCTAGGCACTATTGTTGTCCTTGATGATCTGTAAGCATGGGCGTAACATACAGTTTGACCTGGACATACCCTTTCTTTTGGACATTGCGTAAGTCCCAAACTTTGATTCCTCCTTCATCACCACCACTTAGAAGGAGGTAGCTAGTACTTCGATTCCAGCTAATGACATTCACGTCACTCTCGTGCGCTGGCTCGATTCCAGCCACACTTCGCCGTCCTTTACTCCGCACGTCCCAAATCTGAACGCTGCAGTCCGCAGAGCATGATGCAAATACGGTGGGTTCGGATGGGCTCCACTGCAGATCTTCAACACTGGAAGTATGTGACGTAAACGGCTGAGAAAGAGCGTTAAATCCCGATGGCGTGGTCGTCGTCAGGTATATCTTCGAGTGCACGTCTCCAGTGAGAAGACGTAGCGATGAGGGATTTGCATTTCCTGATGAAGCCCAGTCCATTGCAAATCCTTCGGCGCGACCATGCGAGTTAATAGTGAAAGCTGGCTTATTAGTTCTCGACTTGTCCCAAGAGTATCCCGGAACGTCAAGAGACTCAATCAGTGGTCTGATGTCCCATATATGAACTTTGCCATTATCGGCCCACGTTGCTGTAAAGTAGGGCTGTGATGCCGGAGGTAGAGGTGATGCTGGAGGTAAGGGTTGGGTACGAACGCGATTTACACCACCGTGATGAGGTACTGAACGGAATTCTAGAATAGCATCTTCATCGAGCGCATCGTCATCCTCCTCGTCCGAATCTGAATCATCTACCATCATAATTTATGAGAATTGATTGGCGAAGTATGTGGTTGTAATTTACCTCCATCTTTTTGTGTTCGATGTAGTGAGCTCATTTTAAAGACTGAGAGCTCGTTTTTGCTTGCTTGATCTGCTTGTGTTCCAGCGACAAGGTATGCAGTTACTGGATAACGCTGCCGCTCGTCCCCCAAATTGTCCCGGAGGACGTCGAATGACAAACAAGGCCATGTCACGTTCATTGAATGACGCATGATATACACTGAGTCGTCAGGCTCCAATATCTCGTCCTTTCCAAGGACATGCGTTCCGGGGATAAATGCCTCTGGAGCAGGAGGTAGTTCTTCGGATTCTTCGATGGCGGGCATGACTTCATCGACATCCATCCCTAGACAATATCAACTGTGAGTTCCACTCTAAAGCAACACGAAAAAAACTATCACGCACCATCTTCGCCGTCCTCGGCCTCTCCATCAACCACCTCCTCTTCGGATTCGATTTCATCCTCCCAAGCATCCTCGAACTCACCGATTTCGTTTACTTCGTTCTCATCACGCTTAGCCCCACTTCCGGAGGCCTTCGCGAATGCTTGGCCGTCTGTTTCCCTGTTGGATGCACTTCGTTTGGACATCTCGGATTGAGGTTGCTTTCCTTGCAGATCATAGCTCAGATCTCAAAATTATCGAGCACGTGGTTAAACTGTTGATTACATAAGTAATTTTCGATGGCCCACTTCTTCAACTTGAAGGTGACAGTACTTGTTACACTTACAGACTAGTACACAAAAACTGTGCAGCTGCGCACTATTGGTGCCATTATTACCTGAACTAATGTTCCTTCACAACAGTGCATGACCGGCATGTACATTGCGCGTCGCCCCGGCAAGCCTAATGGCAACACTACCTGACGGCCTTACAAATGACTCGGCTTCCATGACATTATGCCGAGGGCTGATGCGGCCTGGCATCATATGCATTGGTCTTTACACCTTGGAAATTATTATTCTGCTTTTGCCGAGCTAAAGACGGCAGATATCCTATAGGTTGACGCGCGTACGCCGTATCTGAGTACGCGTACCCTAGGTGCCTCTGAAGGCCTGAAGTACTATGATGGCTTACTATAAATACAGACCACGGTTCACCCAATATCTTCATAAACTACACTCCAAGTTACTTCTCTCGAATTTTAAGTAATCATGTCTCTACCTGAGGGGTACGTCACGGTTGACTCACTAACCATGCTCGTTTTAATGACTTCATTTCGTATAGCTATGGGTATGTTCCGAGTTCATTGATCACCATTGGGTGGGTCCTTTTCTGGCAGAGTATGATGGTTGGAAGGTACCGCAAGAGGGCAGGGATCGAGTTTCCTCAACGTGCGTCCAAGTGACTTTTTACTAGGTCTAAACTAACAGATACCCTCAATCACAGTGTATGCTGAGCAAGCTGAGGTTAAAGATTCAACTGCAGCCCTTCGTTTCAACTGCATGCAGCGTATGTTTTTTTTTCTAAATCTGTAGTTGCATGGCTTCTGATTCACTCCTGACTTAGGTGCACACCAAAATACGCTTGAAACGGCACCCGTGGTGTTCGTTTCGTAAGTCTGCATTGCATTTGAGGAGAAACTGACATAGAACAAGCGTTGTTGTCAGAACTGTTGTGGCGGGTCTGAAGTACCCTGTTCTAGCTGCTGCTATATGTGTTGCATATTCCTTCGCGCGCATCGTTTATACCATCGGGTACAAGTCAGGCCAACCAAAGAGGGTTTGTTGTTTCTTCTTGTCGTGATGCTCGATATCATCTCAATCATTTTTTTCACAGCGGGTGGGTGGAAGTATCGTCAGCGGTTTCGCAATGCTCGGTAAGTGGTATCTGTATCTTTATCTTGTCTTCCCTTTCTTAATGTCTCTCTCTAGGACTCTTGTCGACCGCTACATACGTTGCTTACCAGCTCCTTCCGTCGTGTTAATGTTAATGACATCGATCACAGTGCGAATATTTTATCTCACAGAGACTCAATTCGTGCAGCCTGAAAGACGATTGAATACCAGCGTCCACATTCTTTCTTGGCGAGCTGATTGATCCGCGGCCAAAATTTTCCACGAGGTGTACCGCATTTAGCACATGTACTTCTGCACTAACCCATGATTTTATAACAACTCACCCATATATGATGACTTTGCAGATCTTGCGATTCACGTGCTTGAAGCCTGCTGCTAGTACCCTGACAACTCATGCGACAGGGTTGCTGTGCGAGTCAGCTTTCGTTGAAGTTCATTGTTGTTCTGAGTGAATCACCCGCTTACTGGCCAAACAATACATGGATGCTCCTAGGTGATACACGTATATGCCATTAAATCGGTTTTTTGCCCTTATCAAAGTGACCAAAGTATGTAACATAATGGGAATGCCCCCTGTGAATGTGATAACTGTCCGAGAAGTCACAACGTCTACCCTGCTCCGTCAGCTTTCCTTCCTCAACCATGTCTGAATCATATCATCGTCTGCCCTTTCCAACCTCGTCCGAAGAGTTTGCGCTCCCATCAACGTCGAGCGCGGTATCTCCTACATCAGCCGACGATGGACTGCCGAATCCACTGTTCTTGAGACTGCGACGACCGACACTACTCAACAAGTCATCGTACTATTCAGACAAGAGAATACAGAGTCCATTAGCAATTTCGTTTACTGTGCCCTCTAGAAGACGAGGGAGCAATGGCGAAGAATCAGAAAGTGACCGAGAGAGAATGTGGTCTGAAAGTTCTCCATCAAGCAGCTCAGGAAATCCAACACCCCCAATTACTCTTCCTCTAGAAGGAGACGACGAAAGCAACACTAGCACACGCAGTGGTGGGCCCAGTCCCTCAACGCCACCTCCAAGTCGTAGTCTCAGCACAAATGCACTACTACCAGCCGATGCTGTAAACTCGTCTATTCCAATATTACGCCGTCCTACTTATCCAGTGAGTGCTATGCTGCTTAGTCGTTATTCGTATACTAATATTAATATCTCATGTAGCTGAAGCCTGCACGCATATTGAATCTGCTAGCAGAACCACGTCCAGAAGAGGACGAACTTCAGTCCGAGGCAGCTTTCCAACGCCTGTTGGCATCGTACTCTGACCTCCCCTCACAACCCCGTACACCTCGTGCACCGTCAGACCGTGGTCGCTATCCTGAAGAAGTTGGCCACGAGGATTCGCACGAGGATCCTTTGAGTGACGATGACGACGACGACGTGCAGGGCCTGTTTGCCTTTGATATACAGAACGACACAAACAACATCAAGCCTTGTACCCCCGCACAGAGTGTAAACGGGGATGATTTGAGCATGTCTCTGGCAGAAAGCCCGATGGGAGTGGCCATGGATGTAGATCCCGTATGTTTTCACTATCTCATTCGTTATCTCTTCCTAACCGCCGGACAGCCTATGGTATCTCCCTCCATCATTTCCACGCCCATGTCTATTCAATGGCGATACACGCCACCACCAACTACAAGCGCGGTGCGCTCGAACAAACGTAAATGTAAGGTAGCCGCACTCACTTAGAGGCATCACATTAACAACTCGTGGCAGTGGACGACCGATATGATCCATATCCTACATCCGCGAAACGCCGTGCTGTATCGCCTTCCATATCGTATTTACGAGAAACACACCCCTCACTCGTGTCGTACCCTCGGACACCTGGTTCCAGGCCTCCAGTTCCAATCCCTCTTTCTATCCCTCCATCCAATTCTGGTACTTCAGCCACCTCATCACCTACCATCACGTCCGGTTATTCCTTCCAAGGTTATCCGGGCTCACGGCAGGTAAACATAGGAACCATGAGCTTATCTTCTAGCCCCGTACTTCGGCCTTCTTTAGGGCTTGTGAGTCCGATTTTACGGCCGATTCTGCGGACACGGAGAGGAACTGATGGTGAGGAAAGAGAAATCGAGGGTGCAGGCGAAGCCGTGAATGGATTGTCACTAGGCTGAGTGGCGGTAAAATGGCACCTTAAGTGGCATGCATAATAGTGGTTCTGGTTGCTTCAAGTTTACCGGGGCTGACACGGCAAGTTGGGCAAACTACGTGGTCATTTATTTCCACGCACACTCGACTCGGACTGCTTTCCAGGTGTTTGAGTCCCTTCGCTCTATAGCATCCGATCGATGGGCTGGTGGCATCCCTCTGCGAATCTGTCCCGCATTGCGCAATTGCCTTGGCAAGTTGTTTAAAGGTGGGGCGTCTCTCGCACACTCGGCGACACTACGTATAACATCACGTGATATAATTGCTCGCTTCTTGCCACAATATATGCTTTATATATCCAAGCTTGTCTATTCGCTTCACACAAGGAACCTCACAAAAGACGCGCCCGGGATCCTATATAAATGTCTTCAACTCCCAAGCTCACCAAACGCCAGAAAAAAGGCATAGCTTTCCGCGAGGGTAAAGGCAAAGCAAAAAATCAAGGAGACCTGGAGCACGATGTCCCTATTCTCGAACTTCAAGACCTTATTGAGGGTCGGGCTGGCAGCGAGGAGGGTGGGGAGGTCATTCAAGGCGCTCAAAGGAGTGCTGGGGGGGAAAGCAGGGGAAGGAAAGAGGCCGTGGTTCAGGAGGACGGAGAGAAAAAAGGGCTGGTGGTGGCAACGAAAAAGCGAAAGAGGGAAGTTGCGGAAGATGCACAAGGAACCGGAGATCTAGAGGGAGAGGACGCGCAGTCAGGGAAGCGGAAAGTTAAGAGAACCAAGGGAGATGCTGGGGATGATGCAGAGGAAGCTGAGCAGGGAGAATCAAAAACTGAAAAATCAAGACAACGTTTTATTCTGTTTCTTGGTATGATCGAGCATCCTGATGGGTCTTTCCGCTCAGCTGAGACTTTGACTTCAGGAAATCTTAAATATACTACCACCTTAGAATCAATACAGGCTCATTTCGCAGCATGCGGTAAGTCATCGCAGTAATCTGCAGCACACAAGGAGGTTCTGACATCGGCGCTTAGATCCACCACCTACTGTCCGTTTACTTGCACCTAAACCAGCTGCCAATAAACCACCTGTGAGACCCATGATGAAATCCAAGGGATGCGCTTTTCTCGAATTCAAGCATCGCAATGCTCTTCAGCAGGGCCTCAAGCTGCACCATTCCAGCTTAGATGGCCGTCAGATCAATGTGGAGCTTACTGCTGGTGGTGGTGGCAAGGGCGAAGCGAGGGTGTCGAAGTTGAAGGAACGGAACAAAGAATTGGAGAGTCAGCGAGTAAGCCATATTTCCAGCGTAGTCTACTCGGTGCTAACTTAATTGCACAGCAAAAACAACTTCAGAAGAAAGCCAAGTCAAAAGGTGAAGAGCCAGCGTCTAGGATGGATGGGGCAAAGAGATTCTCCACAACATCAGGCGCCGATCAGGAGGTGCAGAAAAAGCGGACATGGACGGTCGGTGACACGCAAGACTCCACGACACATCGCGGAGGAAAGAGACACGCGAAGGATGGTAAAGCACGGCAGACCAAAAGCAAAGATTGGGGTACTGGCGTTAATGCTATCCCTGTTGGCTGAAGCTTCATTTTGTGGACCATTCTGTGATTCTTTCCTATGCTGTTGGATATTAAATTATGATATGAATATTGTCCCAGTAAATATGCGACAAAACGGCGCTCAGCGTCCAATCATGAGACAAGAATGAATATAAGGAACTGGTGAAGGGGTTTAGAACTCGTGCCTGTATCTCTCGAAAAGGACAAACTCACGAAGACAATCAAAACGCCAAAGACCTTGAGCATCAGCCAGCGATTGCTCGAGATGCTCGCATAATACTTGAGCAGCTCTCTCTGCGCACCACTCACATTCGACGCGATATCCACCGTGTCTGCGTCAATACGTTGAACTGTTTCTCGTTGCTCGGCAACCATATTGGCCAGCTGAGTGAATATCTGTCCCAGTTCTGCAATTGTCGATTCGATAGATTCTATGGCCGTTGATCTCGATTGGATATATGAGTCCTAAAAGTCCCTCAGTATAAAGTTTAATTAAATCCACTCAATTGAATCACCTGTTGTTCAATTTGCTGCATTTGCATGAATGCATTGCCTCCGTGCTTTGTTGAGCCTTCCTCGGCTGAATCAAGGTCCAATGCGAGAACGTCTTCATTTTGAAAAGCTCGGCCTTTGCCTTTGGAGTTAGGTCGGCTTCCGTCGCCCATAGGGTCCTGTCTCCCGTTCAGAAGTAGCGAACCTGGTGGGCGAATTGGTCGTGAGAGCTCGTTTATGCACCAATGGTGACTTACTCGGTGGAGCCTGGTGGGTTGCGGCTGCCGTAGAGAACATGAACTGCTCTGTACGATCTTTGCTTTCTTTCATGTTCTAGAATCCCATTTAGCCTGAGTTGCTGTCATGCAATTTAGCGGCTCACTTGTGTCCTAACTTCCAGAACATCCTTGAAGCTCATACTTGTATTTGCCAACTTGCTCTGCAGCATCATGACGACATTGTGGTTGTGTTCCTCAATCTGTTTCCCCTCTGAAGATTTTGATGCTTGTGCATTCCTTTGCTTAACATAGGATTGCAGAGCCGCTATTTGCCTGTTTATGTTCGCAATATCTTGTTTAATGATAAATGTCAATTCCTGAAAGACCCATGTTAGCGTACTGCGGACACGTCGGCGAAAAAGCATACACTAATTTCCACCGGTCTGTCGTCAAACAGTGTCTTCCGTTTCGCGACTGGAAACTGGTCAATAGACGTAACAAACAATGAGACTTTACACTTACGTTGCGCGAGCTTTCCTAGTTTTATGGTAGTGCTGCTGATATCTTTCCCAATGGCAGAGGCCATGCGCGAGAACTCGCTTTTTGCGCCTCCATTGCTGTGTGATTGAAACAACTTCTGTTTTGCTTCAGCGGTTCGGGGTGGTACAGCGGACCTGTTTCGTATGGACTCGACGCATGAACGAAACTCATGTGTTCTATCTTGTATTGCCATGGCGGGTTGTGTCTATAAAGAAAGAATAAGGTATTAAATATAGAAGACAAGTATGCGTTGGACCAAGGGTGAGTTGTAAACACCGGCCCCGGCCGGCATCATCCGGCCAGCCGATCCAACTCCGGCAACAATGCCGTGACCTTTTTGCTGTATATGATACTTGCTCCTTCAATACTCCTTGCTACTTTATGCCATTCAACTAATTGAAGCATCTTGGCCAGTTGTGCATGCTGCGTTATATTGCTATTCGACGTAATAATATCGTCAAGAGCAAGTTACATTCACGAGCCAGTGTTGTCCTCTGCTTTCATCGTAACCTTTTCTCCAGGCGTAGTACTCACTCCACTGTGACCACCTCCCTCTCTACCGCAAAATTCACTATGCTGTCGTTACCATCGACTCCACCCCCAAAGTCGAAAATTCTCATCTTTGGAGCAGGCAATTTTGGAAGCTGTTTGGCGGACCATCTCGGAGACTCAGATCATGAAGTATTCATGTGGTCTCGAGAAACTCGTTTCGTGGAATACTTTAACAAGCATCATCGGAACCCAGACTACCTGAAGGATCACGAATTTTCAACAAATATTCACGTTGTTGGCCCGGAGATACCCAGCAAGGCGATGATGAAACAGATGGATGTTTTACTTTTTGCAATACCAACGCAAGGCGTCAGGTGAATGTCTCATGGACCTGTCCCCGATTCACGTAGTTTATTTAGAATCGGAACCAACAGAGAAACACTCATCAAAATACAACACAGCTTGGACCGCGCAAACTTACCTTTGATGATTTTTGTCAACAAAGGTATTGAAACAGGCACACAGGCACTAACGCTCGAGATCATCGCTGATACTTGTGGAAGTGAGATTGCGCGCGCGGCAACTTTTATTGTAAGCGCTGTCTTGTATGCTGATCTCCGTAGTTGTGACTCTAGTAGTCTGGACCGTCGTTTGCAACGGAAAGTACGTTCTGAATTTGAAACGAATCACGGCTCCTCCTGAGAGGAACCCCAAGTTGTTCGCAGGCAACCGACTTCTGTTTCTGTCGCGTCTCTAACAGAATCGCAAGCAAAGAAAGCGTCAGATATATTTCATCAGCCGTGGTTCCGGTGGTAGGACTTACCCTATTCTAATCTTGGCATTCTGGTTCAAGGTGCCTACAGTTACACTGGATCTGATCCGATAGGATTAGAACTAGCAGGTGCCCTAAAAAACGTTTACGCTATCGCCACAGGCCTCGCCGATGGACTCGGATTCGAGAATAACACGAGAGCCGGTCGGTTTGTTACATTCTTCAAATCAGAAACTTACTTATAGCTGAATGGTAAGGTCTTATCACTCGCGGTCTTGCCGAAATGACACGAATCGGAACCGCGTACGGAGCGTCGCCATTGACGTTCTTAGGGCTCGCTGGTGTGGGAGACTTGTTTCTTACGTGTAGTTCACCGACGAGTCGTAATTACACCGTGGGTTATCGACTGGGTAAAGGAGAGCCGCTAGAAGATATTATCAAGACGCTCGGTAGTGTAGCTGAGGGAGTCACGACAGTGAAGGGGTTGAAGAAGATTATTGACGAGATGCAAGTGTCCGCGCCTCTTGCCAATGGGGTGCGTAATATGGTCTGCCGTATCTTTGCTTTATCTTTCAGCTAAAACAAATCTCGCTTGGCTGATTGTAATCATAGATATATGCTCTTCTGTATGAAGGTGGGTACAGATGAAGCCTGATTTGCCTAATCTGAATGTCTCGTGCAGGAAAAGACCTACATGAAGGTATACAAGAATTGATGTGTCGCCCACCGTCACGAGAACTGGATCTGCCGGAGAAAGCGGGGGAGCCTGCCAAGAGGCTGATGCAAAAACTTGGATTGGATGCGTGAACCTTTTCGTGTATAAAGGCTCCCGTTTCCGTGTAACATGTGATCGCAACTTGATAACATGTCTTCCCGAAAAGGAAAATTACATCCGGTGCCTATATCAAGGACCCACGAGTCGACGTATTCATGCATACGTAAGCAAGGCGAGAAGACGATTGACCATCGTCCACGTCCAATAATTTATCGATTTATTGGTTGCTGTCTGGCCGTGAGGTGTATCGCGTGAACAACGTCCTGGCAGACAAAGATTTCCTCACGTCTACCTTCGACATTACATAAGCGTATCCAAGTAAATATTTTCTCACGCATTTTTTTTTTACTTTTTTTTAGTAGGGGCGTGCCACCCTCCGAAAGCCGATTCAAGCCAAAGTTGAGGTCGACGTGTCTGAGTTGTATCTTTTCTTCCTTTCGCTCAAGTTTCTCAGATCTGCCTCCGGTTCATTCTGCGTAGCCCTATTTGTTCTTTTTCTTCATCCATTAGATTCTATAGGATTTGCGACATGGTCTCACAGCTTTGGACCGCTTGCTCTGAGGGAAACCTCGAAACAGTTCTTGGCATACTCAATGATGCATCTTCGGTCGATATCGAGATCAGAGGTGTGTTGCTCGCATTCTTAATTTTACACTGCCAAGCTCGCAGAAACTTAATATCATTTCCTTTGTCTCCACCTGGAATTATGTTACAGATCACACAGGGTCCACCCCACTCATCGAAGCAGTCAAGAACGGACATGTTGATGTGGTGAAGGTGCTACTCGACCGAGGTAATATAATTCACGCGTCAAATTGCGATCATCTCATCGATTGTATGATCAGGTGCCGATCCTTCTTTTGCATCGGTGCATGGCCATCCAGAAATGTACACATCTGATGCTGCGATCTTGGAGCTCTTCAATAATGCCCAAAACAAGCCCGCGCCCAATGGTGTACCCGCACAAGAGCAAGGCTACACTCAGGATTCGATGATTAATCCTGTGAAACCCTACTATCCTGTCCCCGCTGGACCTTATGCTTATTACCCAGGCGTACCCCCTATGCCGACATTGCCCGATGGCTCTCCTGCGTATTATGCGCAGACCCCCATGCAAATGGGTGAAAACGGAGGTTTTGGTAACCTTCCTCCGCCGGAAGTGGCACGTTTCATTCCTTGCAGATACTTCCCTGCTTGTCGTTACGGTTCTGCTTGTCTCTTTGCGCATCCCCAAGCTGGCCCATATTATTCTGCTCCCCCACCGCCCCCTGCCCAATATCCCACTCCTTATGATCCAATGACTCAACAACCTTATGCCCCTAATTATTACGCTGTACCTCCGCCTACATATCACCCACCAAGTTCGGTCCCTCCTCACATCAACCCCGCATCGCCTACCGCAGGTCCCGTTCACACTCCTCCACACCCACCGATGGCTCATACTAGGTCTGGTTCAGAAGCGATATCGCCTGTCCAGGTTCCGTTCAGCCCTTCCGCTGCGCCTGCACCGGTACCATACGGTGCTGTATCACCTGTATCACCATCGTACCCACCACCATCTCATGTACCTCTTCCACTTTCTATCCCTTCGCTTCCACCTCCCCATCAACCACCTAGTGCGCCAGGTCCGCAATCACCGCAGACAGTATATCCGAATGGGCCGATTTCTGCACCTCCATTCGCTGTTCGTCAAGATCCTGTACCATATCAATCTCATGGCCCGCACCACCAGCACCACCATGGATTCAATGAAACCAATGGTGGGCCAAAGCCGCCTCATACTGAGGGCTTTGGCCACGGTCCAGTGTTTCGCCAGGGCGTGAATCAAAATCGCCGGGGTAGTATGAGGCGTGGATCCTTCGGTGGGAGTCGTAAACCGGCCTGCCTATTTTACCCTACAGGCAGGTGTAGAAATGGGTGAGTCATTCTGATCCCACTATCCATTGCTTTATATTTAATCCAAATACTTAGCGATGATTGTCGTTTCCCTCATGTTCTTCCTGACGTTACGAATACTCATCCTACTCATTTTAATGGGAGGGGACCACGTCCAAAAGATAACGCGCGGAACGGACCGAACGGTATTCCTACGATTGAGGAAAAAATGGCTAACTTGAATGTTCGAGAAGTATGATCATAATTCTAATTCTGTGATTTGCCCTGATTTGTGCACGGTTTAAAGGATGCTCAGCCTCGCGTGAACGGCACCGCAGCTTCTAGCCGATCTCAATCGACAGACGGCAGCCGCTCGAGGGGAACAAAATCCAATGGTCCGTCTCGGGCGGAGAAAAAACTTACCCCAAAGCAGAGGGTTCCCAATGCAGATGAGTTCCCTGTACTTGGGGGTTCGACAAATTCGTCGAGAAGCTCCGTCAATGGGTCGTGCGGTCCGACGGCAGCACAAGTGCTTCAAGCTCCCGCGCCCGCCCGCAAAGAAACTGCAAAAGACCTAGCGACTCGAGCTGCATCTCCAGAACAGAATTCTGTAAAAAACCAGGCTGTAAGTTTTATTGACAGAAGTTTTGTTTGCTAGACTGATTGGTTCTCAGGAATCGAAGCCTGCTGGGGTCAATGGCGTACAGCCTCATGGCACGCCTGCTACTGTCCCACCACCTGCCAAGTTGCCCCTCTCTTTTGCAGCTGCAGCGACGGGTACCGCGCCTGACGTCGCGAAGGAGGTGTCTGTCTCTGCGTAAAACGGACCTATCTTTACATCTATGACATCATCGGGTTCTGGCTTTACTTTAATATGATATTTCTTGTTTCATTCATTCGACTCCATTTATTTATCCTTGCTACCATATTTTTCCGCTTCTGTTTCTGGATCTTTTCCGCATACACATTATTCATTGCCATGATTTCACAGTTGTCCTTTTCGTCTGGTCAACACAGCATTACAGTTTTTTCCACTCGGCTCGGTACCCTTGATATCTAGAAGAGTCCAATTTTTTTTCTCTCATTGTGCTCTTGTCTCATCTATCTACTGGTGTTGATCTGTCTGCTGGGGTATACATACTATTTACATCTACTTCGACACTGACTCCCTCTCCCATCTCATATCATGTCTTGCTCACATTCAGTATCAATATCGCAATGTTTTCATGCATGCTGTACCTATGATCAAGGCGTTGTCCTGCGAAAGCAATAACATGGCGCTCTCGCGTCTCGTTTATGGAACGAATGTAGCTTGAACGCATCCTGGTACTTCGACAAACATTGAGAAAATGTGAAACTCTGTCTGTTCCTGCTACGTTTTTAGCGGCACATACATATAATCAAGTATTTCGCTATTGGCGACTCCAACACTCTAAATTCCTCATCTCAATACCGCTTTTATGCGTCACCTCACCAATTCGATAAACAGCAGCATCGGCAGTCTCCCGCAAGGCCTGCACAGCATTATCTACATCCTCCCGGCCCACAATAAGCACCAACCCAATACCATTATTGAACGTACGAGCCATTTCCAAAGGCGCGATCCCCCCACGCTGCATCAGGAACCGGAACACAGGAGGGAGTTGCCAAGTCGACGCGTCGATGGACGCGCCCATTCCTTTTGGTAGCACTCGCGGGATGTTCTCGATGAAGCCACCCCCTGTAATGTGAGACATGCCTTTTAGAAGTCCTTGGCGTGCAGCTGGGAGGACTTGCTTGATGTATATCCTAGTCGGCTCCAGAAGACTGAGCGCAAGAGTCTTTTGATCATCCCACGGACATGCCGAGGAGTAAGACAGGTCTGTCATCTCGATGACTTTTCGAACGAGCGAGAACCCGTTCGAGTGGATTCCAGAAGAAGCGATTCCGAGGAGGATGTCCCCTGGCATGATATCCGCCCGAGGGAGGATCAAACTGCGCTCGACTGCGCCGACTGCAAAGCCTGCGAGGTCGTAATCGCCTGTTTGTTTGTGTTGTTATGATGAGGGGTGAATTCCGTGGGTGGAGGACACTCTCACCATCGTGATATATCCCTGGCATCTCTGCCGTTTCGCCACCGATCAAGGCACAGCCGGCTTGTTGGCAGCCCTGTGCGATACCCTTGATGACTTCCGCGGCGGTAGCGACGTCTAGTTTGCTGCATCCGTAATAGTCGAGGAAATAAAGCGGCTCCGCGCCCTGCACAAGCAGGTCGTTGACTGACATCGCAACAAGGTCGATTCCTGGGAACAGAGTTGTCATACTTGGTTAGCAGATTAGATGTGACCCACTCACCGACTAAATGGTGGATGCCGGCATCGACAGCGATACGAAGTTTCGTACCCACGCCATCTGTCCCGCTGACCAGCACGGGATCTTTGTAGCCGGTCGCTTTGAGGTCAAAGATACCTCCAAAACCCCCTATTTCCACATCAGCGCCAGAGCGCTTAGTGGCGCGCACGTATGGCTTGATGGCTTCTACGAGCGCATTTCCGGCATCCACCGAAACTCCAGCCTGCGCATATGTCAAGCCGTTTGATGGAGCTTGATTTGATGTCAGTGCTCTACGATCTGTCAGCTTTAGTTATGATCCAATGAATGAGGCGCCTGCCTGTGTGCGATGTCTCGCCTGTAGAACTTGCCCTCGAATGAGATTTTGTCGACAGCCGCATAAACTTGCGTAAGAGCTTGTTCCAGGGTTGGTGCAGAGCATGTTACTGCCATAACACGGCCACCAGATGTGATCAGATCATTTCCGCTCATCGATGTTCCGCAATGGAACACCACGACATCTAATACACAAAAGGTTAATCGATTGCCCAAGATCAGCAAATTGAAAAGGCTATACCAGATGGGACCTCGCCCACTTGGATTAGCTTCCCTTTGACATAGCTCTCGGGATATCCTCCAGAAACGAGGATAACAGAGACTGAGAAGCCTGGACGCGTGTTGATCTGGACTGAATCTAGGTGGCGTTCTGCGCACGCCTGTTGGATAGGAGAATCAACAGCCTCTCGGAAAAGCTGATGATGGATGGACGCACAAGAAGAACTGCAGCAAGATCAACATCGTCACTCAGGAGCATCATAAGTGCCTCAGTTTCGGGGTCCCCGAAACGCACGTTGTATTCCAGGACCTTGGGCCCATCGGCAGTGAGCATGAAGCCTGTGAAGAGAAGGCCGACGAAAGGGAATCCTGAAGAAGGTGAGCGAAAGACGGGCTAGAAAAGAGATAGGATATACCTTCTTTGCGCATACCGTCGATAGTGGGACGTAAAGATTCGGACATGATACGATCCATGATCGCAGGCGTTGCGACAGGGGCAGGGGCATAGGCACCCATGCCTCCAGTATTGAGGCCGGTGTCCCCTTCGCCAATACGCTTGTGATCTTGTGCGGCTGGTAGGGGTAGGATAGTATATCCATCAGAAAATGCGAGAACAGAGATCTCGGGACCTTGGAGAAGCTCCTCGATCACGACCTCATCGCCTACGAAATGGCATCATTGTATTTATAGGCAAAAAAAAATGCTAGGAACAAACCTGCTGATCCAAAGGCATTGTCTACCATGATGGACCGCAAACCTTGGATAGCCTCATGAGTAGAGGAAGGAATGAGGACACCCTTTCCGCCTGCAAGGCCACTGGCTTTTAAAACGACAGTGTGGCCACATGTTTGAATGTAGTCGGTGGCGTCCTGAAGTTGAGAAGAAGAGAATGTTCTAAATTTGGCGGTGGGTATAGCATGACGGTGCATGAATGCCTTGGAGAAAGCTTTGGAGCCTTCCATCCTAGCTGCTAGCTTTGTGGGACCGAATACGGGTATGCCAACTGGATAAAAGATGAGTAGATGCCAGGTGGTGACCGAGGAGGGGAGTAATGACCGTCACGAAAGCATTTTTCTACGCCAAGAACCAGAGGATCCTCTGGACCGGGTACCACGAGATCGATCTAGTAGTTGAATAAGGATCAAATATCAGATGAAGTGGATAGAGAAATACCTTGTTGTTTACAGCGAAATCGACGATATCGTTGTAAGGGTGTATGAGGGGAAGGTTAATATTTGAAGTTTTTTGATTTTTAGCGGATCCTGGATTACCAGGACATACGAAAATATGTTTTACGAGAGAGGACTGCGCAAGTTTCCATGCGAGGGCATGTTCTCTGCCTCCACTGCCAAGAATCAAGATTTGCGTGCTCATCGCAAAGATGAGTGAAAAGATGATAAATAAGACGGATCTAATTGACGCTGGCAGCCAGCTGTTGTCATGTCGAATTACAGAAATCCAGTATTCTCAACTGTTCTTGAACCATTTGAAGAGGTACAAACTTTCTTCAAATCAGAGGATCAAGTCGACCGTCGACCGGCTTACGGTTTCCTTGGTTCTCCCGCGTTACGCGATCGCTAATTTCTTTTTTTCCCTTGCACTAGATTCAAGGCGTCGGCGTGTTTGACCGCCGTCTGGTTGCAACGAACCTTCATGAAGAGTTCATGGAAGAACAATCTCAACCACAGCGTAAACTTTCAAGATCTTCAAAAAGCACATCAGCAAGGTCTTTATGGAATAGAAAATCCACAAAGAAGACCACCGCAGGTACAGCCGCTGGACCTGCACTTAAACACCTGGACCTGCAATCATCTCAATCTCTAGTCTCCATGGACTCAAAACTCGCAAACGACACTTCAGACGAGGACCACGATTTTTCTACTTTCATCTCTCGTTCAATAATACCAGATCCTTTAGGTGAACTGCCAGCCTGGTTCAAGAAAGAGAACAGCATGGCTGCTGCAAACACATCATCTTACAGGATAAAATATCCTTTGCATAATCCAACAGGTCCTAAGTGGTACAAGAACTACCACCTTATTCCCCCTGCTCAGCTCAATCCTGGTAATCGTCCTCCATCTGTCTTCTCCCCTTCATTTCCACCAATGGCTTCCACTCTCAACGACCGTTCAGAGGACTCCATCCGCTTGCCTGGCCCAAGCCGCACTCCCTCAGGCACTTCCCTTCAAACTCCCTCTTCCTCTCAGATTCGCATCCCAGAATCAGGTGGTAAACCTCGCAGCAGAAAGACTTCACAGGATAACGCTGATTTACTCGACGCCTCTGACCCCTGGGGTACTCACTGGCATCACCAGTCCCCGTATGACACAGGCACAACTATAAGTCCGGTCTCAGTTGACCCTCCCGAGGCAAGTGGCTTCTATCCTCACGTTTTCACTCAAAACCTTATCTCTCTCTTCAGGGTCGCTCTCGTTCTCGTTTGTCAAGCATGAATGCCGCACCGACTCGTCGTAAAACAGTCACCCCATCTCCATTGTCTCAGTCTACATCCGCACTACATACACAACCATCTGAACCGAACATCACCCGTAAACTCAGTAAACGCCGAAAACCCGTGTTGGGCAACCTGTTTAATGGACAGGACTCGTTGCAAGTGCCGGATACATCTGCGCGTCGTCACTCCACTATATTTCCCGCCTCTGTGCCTAATGCATCCACTGTAGCTCTATCAACGCATTCATCAAAGAAGGAGCGACGAACAAGTGTCCTAGGTCGACTGGTGAGGAAGTTCAGCATGTTGACCAAGTCTACTCAAGATGTGGGACCTACCATCAGCGAACGAGCAGAGGATGAAGTTGCTGCACCTTCTGAGCCTCGCCGCTCTTTTTTCTCCCAACGACAGTCTTCTCCAGAGAAGCCGTCAATGGAGAAGAAGCACTCAGATCCATCCAAGCGCGTACCGCCGCCACAGATAAACATCGACTTACAGACAACGGATGTGTTGAGTCGTTCGATAGAATTGGAGCGCGAGATACATGACCATCGCTCGTCTATTTCGTTAGAGGTGCCGTTTTCGCCTGGACGGTTAACGATAGCAAACCCAGATTCGCCGAGTACTGGAGGGAATACGCCGATCAGGCAAAGCCTTACTGAGGACTCGCTTCACATAGATACTTCACCGCTGCTGCAGCCCGTGCAGCACCGTCACGATAGGAACCCAAGCAGAGAGTCGGTGGCTCATCCCAGTGGCAAGACATCGCCTGTCAAACGCAAAAGCCCCGCGCCTGCACCTTCAGCCTCTATTCCTGACGCAGTTCGCTCTCCCGCGAGTGTTCAGTCACTCCCACCGCTATCCATCCATCGCCACCCCCCAACTATTCCATCGTTATCTA